AATTCGTCGAATAAGGAAGGATCGAGGAGAATCGATTATACCGACGATAACAATGAGGGAACAGAGCATATCGGAGAGAGGCTCGTCTGAGAGAGGAATGAAGGAGACGAAGACGAGAAGAAGCGAAAGAGAGATAGAGAGAGAGGAGGTCACGTGGGAAGGAAGGAGATAGTGAAGAAAGATGGAGGGAGAGGTCACGTGACTTTTGGGAGTACGGATCGAAGAAGGGACCCACTTGACGGAAATCCAGCTGGCAATGGGCTGTTGGGCCTAGCGACTGTCTCCCAGATTTCGAATGCTTCCAAGTCAATGGCTGCTCCTATTGGACCCTACTTCCTTAATTTATTCGTACGTTACTATCTGTAAATCTTTATTTTTTTAATGTCTGACTATTTAAGTGAAAAACTACAAACTATTGCAGTTACGAAAACACTCTTGAATATCAGCAGTAAATAAAAGAAAAAGATAAACATTGAAAGGAAATGCATGTATAATCAAGGGACTATGAGTTTGAGATTCCTATGAAAATGTGGAAAAGAAAAAAAAAGGTGAAAGGTACTAGTGGTCTGTACGAGTGTACGAATAAGACTGACCACAGTGAGAAACTGTCGGCAAAGGACATAAAAACAAAATAACGCACGTGCGAGATAAGAGACCACACGAATCTTGCTAAATATCTTCGTCCTCCATAATTTGACTTTCGGTATTTTTTTAAAAGATAAACACTCTGAATACCAATTTCACGATTATGAATTGGTCACTTATGTAGATGAACCACACGATCCTGTATTTCACGGGGCAATTTTTGGTCTTTTAGAGTGTTGAGATAGCATTGGTTTAAGTTTAACTATACAGAATAAAGTAAAGTAAGCTAGCATGTGTCTGAGATAGTTTTACCCAAAAAAAAATGTGTTTGAGATAGCATTGGTTTAAGTTTAAGTCTAAGTGTAATGTTTAACGGACTCCGTTTAGTAGTTAACAGCTGACACTTTTAAACCTGATTTTGCTAAGTCCACTACATGTTGATGTATATCAAGGTATTGAGAAATAATATGTGCAATTTCAAATAATTAATTAAAGAATCAAATGGTTGATAGGTTGTGAAATTTACATTCTATCAAATTGTATCTTATCGAATTGTTGTGTTGATTTTTGGATTTTTCTTTTAAAAAAAAAATAAAACAAAGTAGAAGTATAGGAAGGAAGCTGTTGGCAAAGGCTAGAATGGCCAAGCCAATTATGAAGTAAACAAAATGGTTTTAGATTGGGCCAATCCAGTTCTAAGCCTATTGCCCATTTCAAAAGTCATTCTCAAACATTTTGGTGGTCATTCTCAAACATTAATACACAGCAAATCTTAATTAGTTTTTTGTTTGTTGTTGGGGTGAAAATCTTATTCAGTTAGTTTGTTAAAAAGCAATGTGAATTTATTATCTTGAAACATTCAAACCATTTAAACTAGTCACTCTGTTTCATATTATAAGGGGTTTAAGGGTTAGGACACAAGAATTAATAATTCATTTAATTTTTTAAGTTTTCAAAATAAAGCATGTTTTATCATCAATTCCAAAACAATTCAACCAATGAAAAAACAATATGCACAATTAATAAAGTAAAAAGCAACCAAAAAGTTGAAAACACCTTCCTTATATTATGAAACAAAAAAAAATCTTAAACCCCTTATATTTTGAAACAGAAAGAGTACATGTTAACGATATCAACAAAAAAAACATGATATGCTGTGGCTAGTAAGTAGAAAAACTACGTGTAAAATCAAGAAATCCTACTCTTGATCGTCTAGTGAGATGGGGCTGCAATCTAGAACATACTTGCCTTCTCTGTGGTGTTTGTGCAGAATCAAGAAATCATCTTTTTTCTCTTATTCCTACTCGGTCCAAATCTGGAAAGACTTTAATCTATTATTCAAGCAAATCCTTTATCAAAAATAAAATAAAACAAAACAAAAACTATAACATTTTATTTGAATTTGGGTGTATTAATATGATATGAGCTATCGAGTTGAGTAACGTGGATGTATTTACTATTTTGATCGATAAAAGGGAAGAAACCTGTTGATGATTTCACCTTCTCAAAGTCTCAAACGGGTGGAAACAAACTACATTTATTTAATAATTATCAAAAGGTATTAAGGAAAATAAAAATGTGACGTATATTATTGTCTTCATCTCATTTAGTCCTATGTGTATTGATTGCTTATCCCGTAGTCCGTAGATGATGATACGAGTCATACGACCATGTAATCTTTATAGGATCCCGACGCATTGATGGACTCTTGTTTTTAATACAGTACATGGAATAGTTTAATTTTCTAGTTGAAGGTTGAAAGGAATTGCAAAGGAAAAGTTCTATTTGATGGGAGGAGATCAGTCCATCTCCAGCAAGAAATAAAACATATTATAATATCTCACATCTAAATAAGTACATTACATATAAAAAATATCGATTTAAATAAATTTCATAAAGCCATTGCATAAAACCAGCTTTTAAATTTTAGTATTGGATTATTCAGTTATTACGTACAAATTCCGGATCACATATTACTAGGATCACTGAATTTTTTTTAGTTAAGGACTAACTATCGATAAATAAAATAATCTAATTAATTAGCTACAAACTAAATAGATTAGTTAATAATTGCCGACAACAAAAAGAAGATTTGTTAATGATTTTCTTTTGAATAGAACTTTTTAAATGATCCTTTTTCTTTCGTCGGTGTGTCTTTCAAGTGGCTTATTACATTGGCCGGTATTGTGATACTCACCTTCTATTTTGAACTAAACTTATAGATTAAGGCCAACCCATTTAATTACTAACACAAACTGCATTTGTGAACATGTAAAATTCCAGATATAATGCAATGAACGAAACTTTGTTGTATATAAGTGGACCACCAGACCAGTAACGTTGATCATATATTCGATATTTAAGTCTATATTTTTATAAGTATTTAATTGTGCAACTTCCCGTCACGAATTCCGCACGTCAATAAATACCAAATACAAGTAACCGACGACCATCCTCTCACATGATTCAGTGACGAAAGAATGGAGACATGATTAAGTACCCCATTGTCCTTGAAAGGAAAACACATTTTTGATTGAGTATGATCATGATTAGTCTAGATCTTATGAAAATTTGTTAAAACAGAGTATGATGATTAGTCTAGATCTTGACTAGTTACTTAGAGCATCTCCAACCCCATGCTAAATATGACATATATGCTATTTTGCCATAATTTTTGCTCCAACCAATTGCATATGCTATTGCAAAATAGCATCATGCTATTTTTGCTTCTATATTTGGCATGAGATTATGCAATATGCTATTTTGCCATTGAACTTTTTTATTTATAAAATAGTCCTTCAATTTGTAATTACTTTTAATTTAACAGTTTAATTATATTGATTATGATTTATTTAAATAAATAAACAATACTCATAACTTTTTCAAAATATAAATAATATTTATTTCATAGAAATATAAAAACATAACCATAATAAACTTCAAATTTTATTTTTAAAAATACTGAAATTCAAAAAACATAAAACAATAGGTTAAAATCTTTGTTTTCTATAATTTTTATGTAATATGATGTATTTTGTTTTAATATTATAATAATAAAAAAAATAAAAATATAATTCTGGTTGTTTTTGCAAAAAAGAAAAACAAATGATTCACTTTGTAAAATTTGAAGAAATCAAGTAGTTTTAACAATTAATAATAAGTTGGAAAAAAATTATAGCATGATATATGGCATGAGGGGTTGGAGAGAAACCCAATGCTATTGCTATATTTTTGCCATTTGCAATAACATATAGCATGAGGGATTGGAGATCGTTTTAGTAAAAAATTGTTAAAGGTAAACAAATTCTGTTTGTCACACAGCCCTAGATTTTGTGACTAATAGTAGTATCAAGTATCATTAAGTTGGGAAAAAGGTAATGTATCATTGTCTACATTCCCAATGCTAGAAAAAGGTTCCTTTCTTTCTCGTTTTGGTCACTACTGTCGATTTCTGTAAACACTCTACTTTTGACAACCTAGCAGCTGCTATATTCTCCCCACTACATACTCTCTCCTTCATACTTTAATGATTTATTTTTGCACTTTTGTTATTTGTTTGCATCCATCTCTTGTAATTAAGTTGGATCTGTCCCCATACTTTATTCTCATCTGATTTATGAAAGTTGGATGTATCCATGTTATCTTAATTGTGAAAACATGTTTAGAATATGCAATTTTATTTTTGAAAATGTTATTTTCTGTAAAAACCTTTTTTGTTCATAAAAAAAATTATGAATATTTGTTTCATAATCTTTTCTCGGTCCAAAATCGACCATCGATAATATTTGGTTAAAGTGGAGTAAGTTATACTTGAATTTTTTTTTAACTTGAAAGCAAAAACTCAACTTCCTTGAAAAATGTATTACTAATCAAGTGAACTGATCCTACAAAAATGTACTAAAGAAAAAAAAAACTCAAATCATACAAAATTGTGTAGTTCTTGTGGCCAAAACCTAACCTTTAGAGATTAGTATATACTTATCCTCCCATCTTGTATGACAGAAAAGTTCAAAAACACCATGTGGTTGTTATGTTATCCATTTGTTTTCATTCTTGTGCCAACTATTCTTTAGTTGATTCTAGCTAATCTCTGAAATGTCCAATTAATGAATACAGTTATAAATGATTACACAGCAAATTAAAGAATGCTTATATGCATGCCTACTAAATTCCCCCTATTATACGAAGCACATTTTTTTTGTTAAAGATTATACGAAGCACATGATATGGTCGTTTAAAAAAAGTATGTTGATAGAGACATATGGGCAAAGGTAAACTAGTGTGAACAAACAAAAAAACGAAGAAAAATAAAGTTCCATTTTCAGTATTACTAAATTAATCAACATGCATTATAAAATTATATAAAAAAATATAAAAAAGGAGTAAATGACACAGCATAAAGACGAATTACGAGTATGAGACAACCTCATATTTATTCCTTTCCTGTCACCACCTCTCGTCATTATTTTCTCTTCTCTAATCTCTCCTTCTCTCTTCCTCGCTTTCTCTCTTCAATCCCGCGTGTTTCCTCAGGTATCTCTCTCACTTCCTCTTTCTCTTTCTATACCTCTGTGTGTATATTTTCATGGAAGCTACTTCTCTTACTCTGTTTCTTGAAAACGAAACTCAATCTTCAGCTTAGTTTGATTTTCCTCTCTGTTCATCTGCTTTTTACACAGTGAGTACGAATATGTATCTGCGTATTCATGGCAGATTTCGATTGGAAAGAGAAAGAAAAAAACAAAAAAATTCAATCTTTTTTCTTCGTTTTTTCCTCTGTTCTTGTAGTTGATTTTGGATTCATAAATAATGGGCTCACGCGTCTGTCTACATTTGAAATCTGTACTTTGTGGGGTTTATCCTCTTGTGGGGCTTTTAAAAATTAAATCTTTTGCCTGCAAAAATTATAATATTTGTCCAAGAAAGAAATTCTTGAAAAGTTTTCAAGAAGCTGAGAAAAAAACTTATGCATTATGATCTGGTTTCTTGGTATAACAAGACGCATTCTTTCTCTCTATTTGACTATTGAGTTTTGATTTTTGGTTTCAAAATTAACGTTTCCGTGACATTAGTGATAATCTTGGCTTAGATTAGTGACAAAGAAGAACAAAGTTTTCTGCAATTTACATGATGTCTTGAAGTTTATTGCAAGTCTTCTGATGATAAATTTGGTTACTGCAGAAACAAGAGATTTCATGTTAATGGGGAGCTTAACGATGGAAGAGAAGCAACTAGATTTCAACCGACCTCTTATATCCATTAGACGTCCTACACAAACTTCAGAAACCGAGAGCAAAGATTCAGCAACCAACAAGAATCCTCCTCCTCCTTCTCCACCTGTATACAAGTCTGATATCAAGTCAGGTCCTGTGAGAAATCCAGGAACAGTCCCTTTTCAATGGGAACACATTCCCGGAAAACCAAAAGACGAAAGGAAACCGGTTTTACAAGGTCTTGTGGAGACACATTTTGTGCCAAAGCTTCCTCCTGGGAGGATTATAAACTGTAGAGAACCACAAGAACCTGAAACTAGAGACGCAAAGAGTTATAGTTCTCGGTATGAAGATGATGATAGTGATGGTACTTATCTTGATGCAAATGATACACTTTCAAGATCTGAATCATTCTTCTTCAACTGTAGTAATGTTAGTGGTTTGAGCGGTTTGGATGGTCCGGGGATAGTGGTAGAGCCGTTTGGAACTTTATCTAGCGATCGACAAACTCAAGATCTAATGATGGGGAGGTTCTTGCCTGCAGCTAAGGCCTTGACTTCAGAGACACCTCAGAATCTTGCTAGGAAACCACCTAAACCAGAAGAACCGGCTAGGCAGATGATGGTAATGAAGAAGGAGAAACATAGAAAAGCTGAGCAGAATCCGTATCGGTTCCAACAAGAGGAAGATGGAAACACAAGCAGCATGATGGCTTCTGGTGTTTGTGGTTTAGTCCCTCAGATATGTTCTTTTGGAATATTGAGTTCTGTTCCATCTGTGAGAGTGCAGACACAGAGAGCTGTTTCTGTTCGTCGTATGCGTTCTAAGTATCAAGATTCTACTCAGAACAAGGTAAATGGCTTACCTCTTCTTTTAACCGCCTTGTTCAGAGGTTTATTTTCTGATCAGCTTTCTTTCTTTCATAGCAAACCAATGAAACTGTGAATGAAGATAAGAGGAAGTTGAAGATAAATGGATCAACTGTAGAAAGGTCTTCTCAAGGTGAGTCATTATCAGTAAAAGAGAACTTCAGCGCCACTAAAATCAGTAAAAACTTTGGTGAGCTCTTGGCTAGCGATGATAACACATGGAAGCCAGTGGCGGAGAAAACTCTGTATGTTGATACTGTGCATTCAGTAGACAAGAATGTACAAGAAGAGTCCAAGGAGCAATCTTTATCAAAAGAGTTTCCTCCACTAGACATTGTTCCTGTTAAAGAAGATGAGGATATCATTGTGGAAGAATGTTCTGATCAAGCTATAGTTGCAGTGCAAGAATGTAATGTGGTAGTAGAGATTACAAAGGAGAAGACTGATCTTGAAGTCAAGTTGTTGCAGAGAAAGACAACAAATCTTGAAAGTTCAAGGTTTCATCATCGTTCAACTTATCACATTGTTCCTCCACCACCATTGCCAAAAGCTCCATCAGATTCTTGGCTAAAGCGTACATTACCAACAATTCCATCCAAGAACAACTCGTTCACATGGTTACAGTCTCTAGGCACTGATAATAATCATTTCACTAAGATTCAAGCAAACCCCAAGTGGGAAACTTTGGTCAAAACCTCCAATACAGAACAAGGGTTTATGTGCTTCTCCAAGGTAAACAAATGTTACTTTTCAAAGTCAATGCTTAGGCGAAATGTATTGTTTTTTTTTTCTTCTTAGCAAGTTGATTAGCTTAATTACTTGATGTGCACATGATTTGTTATTTCAGGAAACACTCAACCCTATACCAGAGGCCTAGCAAGACAAACAAAAATTCTGACTGGAAGGTACTGTAGAAGAAGCTGTAAAAAATTTCACACCACATTACTTGTATATTTCAACAATAAAGAAGAGCTGTGCCAATAAATCTTGGGTTGTTATAACTAGTTTATATGGAAGCCCATTATCGGCCCATATTCTAGAATGTTCTAGCTTGTTCTCCAAATGTATTCCTCTCCAAGGAAAACCCTATATTGTAATCCTATATAAGGAGCTCATTACTAATGGAATAACACACAACCAATTCATCTCTTCTTTTGTTCTCTCTTCTCACTATAACACGTTATCAGCACGAGTCTCTAACCATTAGGTTAAAACCCTAGCCGTCTGAGTAACCATCAAACGGTAGCCGTCAAAGCAAAACCCTAATCATCATCCTTCGAGATTTTTGATTCTGTCGTAACTCAATATACGACTCCATCCTCTACCTTCATCAAAGATAAGTATTGTATATTATTAGATCAATAGATCAGATCACTAATTGAGATGTCTTTGTGAACTTTAAAATATTGTAATATACATATTCATGGTATACGATATTTTATATGTGTCAGATTCTTTGGCTTGGTGTATGTTCGGTTTGTTGCTGCATAGCCTACGTGTCTCCAATCTCTCTCGTCGTCATTACGGATTGAGCTAAGTACCACTCTAATATCTATTGCATTATCGTTTGGTTTGATTAATAAATTGAAACCAAAACCGTTAAATATTTCTATATTATTTGCTGTGTGATGGAATCTTACTCTTAACCATGCTTATTCAGTCATATGTGTTGAGATATAGTCGCATGATTGATTCTTCTATTGTTTGACTAAAAAGCTGTGCTGTATAATTTGATTTGGTCTGTTTGTTTACTAATGTTTGGCTTGAAAAATCACTGAGTAAGCTTAGTAAATCGTTGGTTGGTTTAGTTCTGTTTCTTTTATATTTCTTGCATTATGCTTAAATACATGATTCTTATAATACTTAAACTATGAGTTAATTATTTTTATAAGGCATGTTTACAAGAACTAAGAATAAACGTTTAAGCATGTAAAGCTATTCTAGTTGCAAATAATGTTTTGTATATGTCTAGAGTATGTATTAGCAATTTTGGTGTCATACTTACACTTTTGCTTGCTATAGTGATATATTGTTAATTTAAGATCCTATGAATCATGATTATGACTTGGCTGGCTTATGATCTTATTTAAGTTCTGATATTAATTTGATTATGATTTGACATGAATCCTTGTTTCGTCTAATTGAGAAATGTTAGATCATTGGTTCATTGATTTTCAATATTAATTTATAACTCATTGGTTTCCTTCATTTTATTGTTAATTACATGTTAATTATGTTTATAATTTCTTTAAGAAATTTAAAAAAAGGTAAAATCACCGGAAGTGATATGATATTATTCTAAAGAAAATAAATAATCACCAGAAGTGATATCACCAAGAGAGCAATCTAAAGAAAATATTGCATCTAAGAACATATAAACCTGAAGTTTATAAATGGAAATAATACTACTAATACAAATATGTTAAAAGAAATTAAAAATTGTTGTCCTGTAGACACAATAGTATAAATATATCTTAGTAGTATTTATAAAATATTGTTGTCCAGTAGACACAATAGCAAAGAAATTCTTAATGATTTTTAATATTATTTTCTTTTAAAATTAAATTTGTCACCTGAAGTGATAATAAAATAGTACATGTTACTAATATTAATTGTTATTATCATGTTTTACTTATACATTTATGTAGCTTGATAATATTTATTTATTTTATATTTTATATATTTAGTATTTGCATCAAAAACCACATGACCTGAAGTCTATAAGTGGAGATAATAAATATTATGAAGATGTTAAAATACATCAAGAAAATTTTGTTGTCTTGCAGACACAAAAAACATTATCACCTGAAGTGATAATATAATTTGAGAATTTATTCAAATTATATCTTATCTTTCTAATTTTATTTTAAACTAAATTTGTCACCAGAAGTGATAATAAATGGTATATATTATTAATATTTATTTTGATTATGCTCTATTTATTTATATATACTTATTTTTATTTTTATTTTATTATTCTCTATATGATATCTTAAATTTTCATGAAAGATTACAAGACCTGAAGTCTGTAAATAACTTTTAACTATATAGAAGATAATGTATATCAATAGAGATGCTAAAAAGCATACTCTAAATAATATTGTCATATTGTCCTGTAGACAAAATAATCTTAGACAATTTTACATTATTTTGAGAAAATATTGAATTATTGATGAAAATCATATCCAATTGGTTATGATCAATTCCCTGAAGTGAATGTGATATACAAGTAAATGGTTAAAGAGGTTATTGATTTTATATTGGAATTCAATTCGAGATAGATGAACCTGAAGTATCATCATCTCGAGGGGGAGAATGGATGAATCCCACAATCAATAATAAATGGAACATCTAGAAGATTATGTTCACACTCAAGATAAACTTGATCATTGATCAAGAAAAGTGTAAGAATCCCAAACTTCATAATCCAGAAGATTATACTAAAAATGAGTAATCTTGATGAATCATATATAAAGTAATTCCAAGGAATTTCAATATACAATAAATGAGGAAAAGTTAAATAGATGTCATATAGTAAACCAGAAGTTTGCTGAATCTAACATAATTTGGCATGAACTGGTTAGACCATTCCAGTTCAAGAATTATGCGAAGTAAAATACAACATGTAACATTTATTGAAGAACTAGAAATTTCTTCTTAATGATTTCTAATGTGATATTTTATCATAAGAGATTATGATAATACAACAATTATCACTAGCCAAAATAGATTTTGATTCAATTCATTTTCTAGAGAATATACAAGAAATGTGGTTTAATAACCCATTTTGTGGACTAGTCATCCTCTGTAAGAAATTTCATTGTGTTTTGTAATGCATCAACAAAATAGTTGTATGTATCAATGAAATAAATTTGCAACCTGAAGTTTGCAAGATGACTTAGTAATGCTAGTGAAATCACATCTTAAGTCTATGGTGAAAGAAAAACATGTTTGTAAGAATAAATGTTGAACATCAATAGAAAATGTTCATCATTGGACATAATGCACAAGCATTAACTCGCATAAAGCCAACAAGTAACTAAAAGTTCTCCCCATCAAAATTAGGTTTTGGGTCAGAAACCTTTGGATGTGCAACATCCACATTGCTCCACCACAGCAATATAAGATGGATCTTCAAAAGAGATTGTAGATGTTGGATATGAATCTCCATTGATAATATCTAGAGCTATCCCTGAAGGATTTAAGTAAGGCTCGATTTATAGACTACCATGTTAATGGATAAGTCTTTCCAACATCAGGGGGAGAAAAAAAGGCTGGAAAGAAAAGTAGTTTGAATGAATTATCATTGATCCTCGGACTATAGAATGTGAAATAGAAGTCCAAAAGATAGTTCATTCACAAAACTTATTGTATCAGTTGCCAGATACATTTACTGACCCAAATATAGTGATTGAGTCACTTACCAGCTGTAAATGCTCTAATAAGAATTGATGTCCCAGAAGGACAATATCAAGCTGCTAGTGAGTCTAAAGAACGCATGAAGCGTGATAGACTTGTCGGTTCCAAATATTATAATCCTCGAAAAAGTAAAAGAGCATAAATTGACAATGGTCAAACCGAGGAAACAAATATTTTTGAGTGATCTCCAGAAGAGACATTAAACATGACAAATAAGAAATTCAGGTACCTGAGACAATGATGAGATCTCGAGAAATTACTTATGTCATGTATAGAATAAAATGGAACCAGAAGCAAATCGACGTCGTAAATAATATATTTGCATGCAATGTAGCAGTTGATATTATGAATGAGAAAGAGGATCATGAAACAAAGTCTATTGCATTGTGTACACAAAGTAATGATTTGGCCAAATCAAAAGAAGCAATAGACACAAAACTCTTAGAAAGAGAAAAGTATTTGGACCAGAAGTCCTTTCACCTAAAAAGTGTGAAACAAGTGAGTTATAAAGGCATTTGTGCCGAAGAAAATGAGTATGAAGAGATATACTCTCATGTGGTGGATGCAACTTTCAAGTTCATTAAGTCTGGCAATGAAAGAAGAACTTGACTTATCAACTCACTAAACAATGACATTTATATAAAAGTCCCTGAAGGATATAATCATTGAAGAATTAATGATATAATCGTTATGTTCCCGGAGAACATTAGCTATTCAATCAAATGAATAAAATATGTTCATGGATATAATCACGAAAGTGAAATACCCATGTATATTTAACAAAGTATTATAGATCAAAAGAGATCATGAAACTAAACATCGAAATTCTGAAGCATTTTCGAAATTAGTATCACAAAAGATATGGGATAAAGATCTTGGAAAGACAAAGTTGTCTTAAGATATCCCAAATTCCCAGAAATGTTATGGCATGATTTACATAAACAATGCTCACATATATTTGGTCCTGAAGTACCATACTTCAAATGCTATTTGAAAAATATGTTAGTCTCTTTCATAATTGAAAATGAGCAAAATGAGATGAGATTATATATACAAGATAGATGTTTACAAGAATGTATATAAAAGAGAAAATTTGGCCAGAAGTCCAAATGATTGTTTATAGAAAAAGATGTCATAGACTAAAAGTCTAAATGACTTTCATCAAAGTTATACTTATAGTAATCTCCAAAAGATAGTATTGGAATGCATCTCCTGAAGAAGATGCTTCCAAGGGGGAGAATATGATGATATGTGTGGTTGTACTCTTTTTCCTTATCATGGTTTTTATCCCATTGGGTTTTTCCATGAAAGGTTTTAATGAGGCAACAAAGAACACACAAATGAGAAACATCTAAAGAAGTCTTGTCATCTATTTATGAGATCAAGTGAAGCAAGGAGATTGATCAAGATGAATCATCTTGATCCATGCAACCAAGAAGAATGGCGATGTCAATGTTCTAAAGACTGTTCAAGTGAAGATTTTAAAGGAGTTTCCATCTGCTATTATCAAGAAGTTCATTCACCTAATCTACACGGATGTTCTCATGAGGGGGAGTAGTTGCGCGCTGTACTCTTTTTCCTTAACTAAGGTTTTTCCCTTTGGGTTTTCCTGGTAAGGTTTTAACGAGGCAGCACATGCGCACTTAGAAGATATTTTTAGATAATGGACTTCCAAGGGGGAGTGTTATAACTAGTTTATATGGAAGCCCATTATCGGCCCATATTCTAGAATGTTCTAGCTTGTTCTCCAAGTGTATTCCTCTCCAAGGAAAACCCTATATTGTAATCCTATATAAGGAGCTCATTACTAATGGAATAATACACAACCAATTCCTCTCTTCTCTTGTTCTCTCTTCTCACTATAACATGGGTTTTTTTTTCTTCTATTTTCCGAGTTTTCCTTTTAATTATTTGTGTAAAAATCTGAATAAAAAAGTTCCTACAAAGAGAAATCTATGGAGATAATTGTCTGTCACTTGTTGTAAGTGATGTACAGCTCATGTTAACAAGAGATTTTGTGGCAAATAATACTCCATAATTCCACGTGACATGGTTTCTTTTGGCCTTCTTTGTTCTTCAATCTTCACTAATAGACTTTTTTTTTTTTTGTGTAATTATGTTTTCAAATATAGAGCATGAGCATTAGAAAGGGAACCTGAAAACTACAGAACTGATTTAGATTCACTGACTAAAGGAGGTATTGAAACAATAATTGGTCTAGTAAATTCAAGTAATAATTTGACTCTTCCATTACACATATTCCTTCAAGAAAGAGGGTTCTTCATCAGGTAGATAGACATGAAAGAATCAGTTGATTTAGGGAATGTTTTGTTCTTGATCTTCATGATTCTTCTTTCTTTATCACTTGTATCCATGTCGGTTTTTGCTTACTCCAAAAACAAGAAAAGGAAGAAGGATTCCGGCGGTTGCATTGGTGGTGTCTTTATCACTTTTGAACTGCTAGATTCAATCATTAAATTATAAAACTACTTTCTGTTTTGTTTTCGTCTTATAAATGAAAGGGAAAAACCCAGAATGAAAAAGACCAATGAACATTAGTTATAAACCAGTTACTTTTCACAAAACATAACTTATTGGAGAATACAGAGAAAGTTTTTGATGTATTAAGGTAAGGAGGAACAAGAGTACCAAAACCTCTATACCAAAAAGTTGTAGGTAAGATTTATGAAAGCAAAAACATAAAAAAGAGAGAAAACAAGAGCATATAATTAAACAGCGATTTTCAAATGAGATGACTTGTATTTCATTGAGTAAAATTATACAAACATAATATATAGTGACAAATATTGTTTTTTTCTTCTTCTAGCAATTCACTTCAAATTGAATATATAATTCCAAATTAAAATCATTGATGTTACAATTTTTTTTCCTATTTAACTTAATAGATTTATTTCATCCTTGACTTTTGGTTTTGTTTGGTGTTTAATTTGTGGTTAGATATAATTTGCGAGGTCAAAATCATTTGGTAAAATCTTATTGGTCAACCATTATTTTCGATACTAAAGTGTTTTGTGGCCATATATTTAACTGGTTCATGTTTGAGTTTAAATTTAGTTAACTAGCTAAGACCATGAATGTGTGGTAACTAAACAGAACAATATTTACCGTATAGAAACTATAAATAGTACCCTTTCATGTTCTTAGAATCATAATACTCTTCAAGCAAAAAAAAAAAAAAAAGAAAGAATAACTTAGATTCAGAAAATGAATCATCTCATTGTTTTTTTGTTAGTTATTTCCATATATATTGGTTTGGGTGAAGCAATTGTACAAATCAAATGTGACGACAATGCACTAAATATAGTGAACCAACTTGGTGGTGGTAAGAAGCTCGAGTACCATTGTAATTCCGAGGACAACAAACAAACCGTCGAGTTGTTGCCCGACACTGCCACAAAACGTTTTACGTTCGGAGAAAGTGCAAATATTTTCAAGAAGACAAAATGGAATTGTGTTTTGAGGCACGGGCCGCGGAAACAGTTTATTGCAGACATTGAAGCATACAAGGGAGGCAAAACTCGTCGATGTGGACAAGAGCGCACATGGATTGCTAGAATGGATGGAATTTTCTTTGAAAAAAATAATATAAAACCGCCGTCTTTTGTATTTGGTTGGAAAAAAACTAAGTAGTGTTGTTGACACTAAATTAGAATATATAGTAAAATAAAGCTAACAAAGCTAGTAATAAAGCTAATAAAGCTAGTAAAGCTAATAAAGCTAATAAAGTGTGTGTGTGATATATTTCTATGTGTTGTACTATATCAACGGTATAGAGAATATCACATTATTTTATTTTACATTCCCATTGTTTCGTTGTGTAGTTTATAATGATGTTTTTTAATATTTTTTTAAGAGACATGTCTATCTAAATTGTTTTTATTTATTAGAATGAACTTTTCTAAAAATCAAGCATGGTTCTTTATCATGGAATTTATCTATTATACACACTACAACTGACTTGCTTTTGTTATTTATCATGAATTTGTTTTACTTAATGATTGTTACTGTCGTCATACTTATTAATTTCAAGATATTTTCTAGACATTAGATATAGGAGATTCTACAGAGACCAATTCAAGATTCAATTTCAATTATATATAATTGAAAAAATGAATAAGAATCTAATCAAAATCGCTAGAAAAACATAGGTCTGTACGGTTTTACTTAGATGACGACTCCAGAAAAGTATTTGGGACTAGATTGTTCGAAGGCTTTGTTTGATGATCAATGTTGTGGCACCCAATTATAGAAGATAAGGATTTTTCTGTTAAAAATAAAATAAAATGCAAATGCGCTAAATATTGTGATTAATTTGAATAAATGATTCGGTAACAAATATTAACCTCCGCAGTTAAATTGACCAGTCATTATTGATTGCAAGGTTCATACTTTTCAGTACTGTATTCACTTCACTGCTTATTAATTAACGAGTGCCAGATTAGCGTTCTCATTGGAGCGTTGACCCACGCGGTCCAGTCGCGCGTGGGTCTTCCTTCTATCTTTGAACGATTTCTGAAATTTAGAGACACATGAGATGAGATAGAGAGAGAGAGAAATATACTCTTTTACTCTTCAGTGGGGATAGAGAGAGAAAGTTAGAGAGAAAAGAGAGCTGTAAAGCACATGACCTCAAAACCATTGGGGCCTCAGCCTCCGGTTCTAGCTCCACAGCCGCCGCATCTTCACGGCGGAGATGCTTTAAAACGTCTTCCCGATATGGATACAGACAAGGTTTTTCTCTCTCTCTCTCTGTTCTGTTCATTTACGTCTGTGTTTGGTAAACAAAGCATTTCAAATTTTACGTTTTTGGTTGGCTTGTTCTAGATCTATCGGCTAGATCTAGCTCCGATTTTTCTTCCTTCGGTTTTTCTCAGCGAATCGATCTGGTGTCTTCTTTCCGATTCGCGTTCCTGATTTGAGCTCACCTCAAGTGGCTTTCTCTCATCGGAGATTTGCTGAATTTGACTTCGTAGCAGCTAGTCATACTTGAGCTGAAAATTTTAACCATTCTTAGAGAAGATCCTGACCTCTTCATGTCTTTTTGATTACTAGTAATAACCTTTGAATCCTCAAGTAAAAACAACAAAATTAGGGTAACTAAATTTTCTTGTATCCAGAAAAGATTCCTGAGCTGATTTTCTTGCTTTATTCTTTAGATTTTGTTTTTCACATTTCGGCTTCAACACTATAATTACTCCGAGTTTTCTCCTGACAGCTTTTTGAGTGTTCTTGGCCCATTCTTTCTTTTTACTCTCTGTATTGATTCTCAACTCTCTTTTGTTTTGTTTCTGTGTTCTTTAGTCTGTCATTGTTTTGTACCATGGTGTGTAATGATTGTATCTTTTTGGTTTTGTACGATTTTTCTATGTCCACAAAATGCTTTTCCGTTATCTTGAAAGAAAGCTCTTTTCAGTATTCCATTGTTTCTATCAAGTTACCAGTTTCCTTTTATTCTTTGGTTGACAAGAATTACTTAAGATGTTCAGTTTTTGATTGCAGGAAATGTCTGCTGCTGCTGCTGTTGTAGAGGGAAATGATGCTGTTACCGGTCACATCATCTCCACTACAATTGGAGGCAAAAACGGTGAACCTAAACAGGTCAAAGCCCATTCTTTGTTAACTCTTTATATGATCTTTAATCATTTGTTAAGACACTTATGTTTTCCTCCTCCTGATGTGTTTTCACAGACCATTAGTTACATGGCCGAACGTGTTGTTGGAACAGGATCGTTCGGAATTGTGTTCCAGGTACTACCTTTTGAGCTTGTCTCTGGTAGCATTTTGTAAGCAATATAGTTTCTGCTTTCCTTTTTCTGATCAGATTTATTAACTTACTTACCATTTCTAGGCAAAGTGCTTGGAAACCGGAGAATCAGTAGCCATTAAGAAGGTTTTGCAAGATCGGCGCTACAAAAACCGCGAGTTGCAATTAATGCGACTCATGGACCACCCGAATGTGGTTTCCTTGAAGCATTGTTTCTTCTCTACGACGAGTAGAGACGAGCTCTTCCTCAACCTTGTTATGGAGTATGTACCAGAGACTTTGTACCGGGTTTTGAAGCACTATACTAGTTCAAACCAGAGAATGCCTATTTTCTATGTCAAACTTTACACATACCAAGTATGTATTCATTTTTATCTCTTTACTGTTTCCCCATTCAAACACTCTTTGCTCTATGTTGATCCTGAAACTGTTTGGAAATTGTTTTGTGCAGATCTTCAGAGGCTTGGCTTATATCCATACTGCTCCTGGTGTATGCCACAGAGACGTGAAACCACAAAATCTTTTGGTACGTTTTATATCTTTTGGTAGGTTTGTCTTTGGTAACCTTAACTAGATTGTAATCTAATTCTCTGGTGTGTTCTGTAGGTTGATCCCCTCACCCATCAGTGTAAGCTGTGTGATTTTGGCAGTGCAAAAGTACTGGTAAGAGTTTTATCCTCTTATTCATTCTCTTTTCTTTATGTTCCATTGTTCTTATATGTTCTGTCTCATGAAATATCAGTTAGATGTTTCTCTGTTATAGTGACGTTTTGAAACATTTGACTATTCTGCACATTAGGTGAAAGGTGAAGCAAACATATCATACATCTGCTCTCGGTATTACCGAGCTCCAGAGCTCATCTTTGGGGCCACTGAGTATACATCATCCATAGATATATGGTCTGCTGGTTGTGTTTTAGCTGAGCTCCTTCTTGGCCAGGTTAGTCTAAACTATTTATCTATCAAGTATCTTGAGAACTAAAGCATCTTCTCCAGAAATCTTCCGCAGTCATTTTGATTATTATTTATCTCCAGCCTTTGTTCCCGGGAGAAAATTCTGTGGACCAGCTAGTGGAGATCATCAAGGTGAAGTCTCATTTTGATTTAGATTTTACCTTTCTGTCTGGTATATTAAATTCCTTTAATCTAATGGATCTGTCATGATATATGTTCTGTGTTGGTTTAGGTTCTTGGTACTCCAACTCGAGAAGAAATCCGATGCATGAATCCAAACTACACAGACTTTAGATTCCCACAAATCAAAGCTCATCCGTGGCATAAGGTATTTTATATACATGTTACGTTTTAACTTTTCTGATCATACAGTGGCTTAATAGTTAATTCACTACCTAAACAAGATTCATAAAAGAAAGAAAAGCTAAAACAATCCATATACTCCTTTATGACCCCTCCAGGTTTTCCATAAGCGGATGCCTCCAGAAGCCATTGACCTTGCATCTCGGCTTCTTCAATATTCACCGAGCCTACGTTGCACTGCGGTAAGTATCTCTAAACCATGTAACTCATAATTGTTAAGAGTGGTTCTCTCTGGAATTGTTTGGACCTGTATTGTTCAATGATGGCTGAGGCTTTTTTAACTGACATATGTTTGTTTCCATATCTAAAGCTTGAAGCATGTGCTCATCCATTTTTCAATGAACTGCGTGATCCCAATGCTCGTCTTCCAAACGGCCGCCCTCTTCCACCGTTGTTCAACTTCAAACAAGAGGTACGTTAAATTCACTTTCCTTAAACCATCTATAAATGAGTGTTTAAGTTCAAATAAATACTTAATCTGCTATATCTCTCTCTCTGTCTGTTTGGAATGTTCAAAACAGTTGTCTGGAGCTTCACCAGAGCTTATAAACAGGCTAATACCGGAGCACGTTAGGCGACAGATGAGTGGAGGCTTTCCATATCAAGGTGGTTCGTAGAGACGACTTTTGGAAAGTGAGATTGCTTTTGCAGAGCAAATGCCTGATGGAAACAGCTTCTGAGTAGAGATGAGATCTCCTCCTTATATACATGGCCAATTCAGCTTTTTGAGAAATCAGGAGGTGATAATGATTATGTCTATTATATTCTTTTTCTTTCTGTTAACTTTGCCTTGTAGAGATACTTTTATCTCTTGTATTTGTTGTATATGTTTTTTTTGTCCGTAAGACGATTCCAATGGATCTGCAAATCAAAACAAATTACCGTAATATGATGAAGCAGTGAAATGATGATGTCTCAAACCTTATATATCAGAAACAATGTAAAGTTTGGCAGGTTAAGATATCGGTCTTAAAACTGTAGTAATTTGTAAACAATCAAAACATGTGATATCAGTTTCAGAAAAATTGCATGACTGAAAATTTACGAAGCATGTAAAGACGCACGCTTCAACTCGTTTGTTTAAACAAGACGTTGCTCCTTGACTCTTTAGAAACTTAGGTACGTATAATGTATTCATATCCATATTATCTTGTACTCGTTGGTTCAAGTTATCACCAAATCTGAAATCCAAAATACTTATGTTTCTTGGGCATAAGGGAATGTGCAATTTAAGTTTGGCATATTTTCATGTACTAGATTCCACTGATAATAAAAAACAAAAAAAATCAACCGTACCATATAGCGTTTAGAGTTCACACCTACTTTTACATGATACCTAAGGAAGAGATACAAATTAGAGTTTACAGATTAAAACACTAATTAACCAAATCTACAGGAACGATTGAAGCTGTGAACTGACTAAACTGGATCTCTTCTTCGTTCAAATAATCTCCAATATCGATCATGCAATCTTCTTCGTTCAAATAATCCCCAATATCGATCATGTAATCCTCCTCTTCAGTGTTGGTGTTCGCCTGAGGGTTGAGACAGTAGTCGCTATCAGAACCGAACACGTTGTCGACGTCGTTCAAGAATTGATCCCAAAAACTCTCATCATCATGACATTGTGATGATGACTCGCCGCCTTGTATCCCTGTAACAGAGGAGAAGTTAGGGTTTTGATCAAAAGCAGCTACTTGAGAAGAAACGATCTGGTCAAGACAAGAGTAAGAGGAATTCCGATCAAAAGAAGCAATTTGCGAGAAAGACGGAGGCGACAAGTTAGGGTTTTGATCGAGATCAGAGACGAGTTGGGAAGAAGACCCGGAACAAGAAGCAGGGGTTTGATCGGAATTAGAAACAAGTTGTTGTTTTTGTTTCTTCTCAAGACAAGCCATAACATCTGCCTTCATTCGCTCAAGACGATCCTCCAAGATATTCAATTCGGAGATATCGTCACAGTTATGGTAGAGATCAGGGTCTTCCCACAGAAACCCTACCTTGGATTGGGGGTTACTAATCTCGGGAGGAGGCTTGCCGTTGAGGTAGCGATCGGCGATCTCGTAGGCAGAAGAGTAGCCGGAGAAGGAGTAGACGGCGTCGTTACTCTCGGCGGGAGAAGTCACGAAGACGGCGATGCTGGCACCGGAGAGACGACAAAGATTGGCCGCTTTGGAGAAGACGGTTTTACGGCGTCTATTGCAAGCCAAGGATCGTTGTTGCTTCGTCTCGCGTTTCTCGATTGGGATCTTTCGCTTTGTTCCTCTAATTTTCATCATTCTGCAACCAAATACAACACTTGACGGCTTTGTTTCTTTCTTGCTGATCAAAGAGAGAGAGAATGGAAGAGAGATAGAGAGAGAGTGTGTGTGTGTGTGAAGCACGCAAATATATATAGGCAGCGGCTGAATATGCATCTTCATTGTTAAAATTCAGGTGAATATTTGTAGTGGGCCCATGGGCCGATTTTTTCAATACGTTTGTGCCGACAGATTCCAAATCCCGTAGCTTGGGTTTCTATTACGTTTTCTTGACAAAAGCAGTGAACAGTAATCTCTGTAAATATTCTCCTTACAGTAGTTGGGCCAGTATTGTTAGTTTGTTGCTTTGATGGGTTCTTTTACTTGGCCCCCAAGCGAACGCATGTTGAGTAAAATAGAAAAAAGGAGACTTCCAATTGGTTTTTGGGGAAAAAAGGAAATTTGTGGTCGATCTCAAACAGTTTGATGAAATCAACGGACGTAATTTAATCTCCCCAACAAAATAAAATAAAATAAAATGTTTATCCTTTTTCTCGTTATTTCCTTTTTCCGAAACCCAATTCCAACGTTCATCTATATAAACTAGTAATAGTTTCCTTTTGCCCACATCATTCATCAATCTGTCTCTACCTCTCTCTCTCTCTCTCTCTCTGATAGTCTGATCTACGATCTTCAGATATCTCTGTAATCTGACATTGTTTTCTCTCGAAACGATGGATTTTTCCGATGATTTACCACCGCAGTACACAAAAGTCGTGAAGAGAAGCGGAAGCAAAAGAAGGGTGGTGAAAAGGAGAGAAGTCAAGGAATTAGTCAGCACCGCCATTAGAGCCGCTCATGTTGCAAGAGACAAAGGATACTACATCGCCTCTCCAGAAGCCGTAAAGTGCGTTGGGATTCTCAGGCTTTTGCGAAGCTTGCCTCTGACTCCTCGGCTTATTATCAAAGCAGACGCCTTTCGCACGCTTCAATTCCTCGCTAAGAATGGTAACCCTAAAATCCGGTCTGAGTCAAAAGCCGTCGTTGATCACTGGTGGAGTATTCTGAAAAACGAAACAAGCTAATGGATCGGAAAAGAGATTCAAGAAGGAGTTTTTGCTTGGACAACGAGAAAGGACGATGAAGATTTTCATCATCGATTAAAGAATATAAACATGAATAGGCTAGGGTTTATTCCTTTTTTTTCCGCTAAATTGTAAACATTCATTATCAATGAAAGGCTTGGTTTTACTGTAAGTAACAAGCTTATTTCTGAGTAGGGTGTAACGAATTCTTATGAATCGCAAAGTAATATGTCTGTATTTTGGTTTTTGTCTCAACTTCAATATTTGTCATGTGTTTATCTTTACAAGAACCAAATTTGATCGATATCAAAACAAAGTTGCTAGGGCAGAGAATTGGGTGATTATGTATCAATTGAGAATTATGGGCTAAAAAGGAGTTTATCAAATAGTAAGGGGTCAAAAACATAAAACGAAAATGCTCTGTTTTATGGGTAAACTTTCAGTTCCCACGGTAACAATTGCAGAAGAACAACAAATCTAGCCTCCTCTGTCTTATTGACTCTTCAAAAGAAAAAGAAAAATGTATGTTTGGCTTTGAGACATGTAAATGATTTAAGATGACTTGGTGACTTCATGTATAGCATTCGCAAGGTATCCCACATTTCCTGTCGTAACACCAGCCATACTGCAACCAAAAACATCATTAAAATCTCACTGATTTTGCAAACACTTCAAATGCACTAAAATTATAAAAAATATGGAGAAGAGAAGTATACCTGATACGGCCATTTCGAGTCATGTAGATGTGATATTCGCTTGTTAAGCGATCAACTTGTTCCGGTGTTAGTCCACTGTAGCAGAACATTCCAATCTGTTTCCCCATAAAAATATATACAATCATGTAATTGTGTGAATCATAAGAGAGACATTACAATCTTCTCAAAATTTAAAAACGTTTTGCAAATCACCTGCTTGGTTACGTGCTCCCATGAAAGAGGCGATCCTAACTTCTCAAGGCTTTCTCTCAAAGTAGTTCTCATGCCAATTATCCGATCAGCCATAATCTGCACAGTTATAAATTTTACATCTCATCAAACACAAAAGAGACAACATGGGACACAAACGTGTTTCATAAGATGAGAGTCTCGATGTTGTAGCTAATGAGTGCACATGAATGGAATAGCTTGCAAGCCGATGGATGGAATGTTGTTACCTTAACTTCCTTAAGCCACAGACTCTTCAACTCTGGGTCTCCAAGAATGGTTGAGACTATTTGAGCTCCATGTAAAGGTGGGTTGCTGTACATTGGTCTAGCTAGTTGCTGCAACTGGCTTTTCACAGTCACGGCTTGCTTTTCGTCTTCACAAAGCACGCTGCAGAAGAAATTCATCACTAAATGAATCTGTGTAGGTATGCTCAGTGTCAATGATGTTTAAAAGTGTTTAATGAATACCTGAGACATCCGACCCTCTGGCCGTATAGTCCCATGTTTTTAGCATAGGACTGAGAGATTCCAATATGATGACCATCCTCGAGAAAGATCCTGATGGATTTGGCATCTTTCGCTGGATCACCACTAGCAAAGCCTTGATAGGCCATGTCGAAGAACGCAAAATGATTCTTGGCCTGAAATGAGAACTCGTTGTTTAGTCTGTGGTGGAATGATCAAGAAGAAGAAAAAGTGAATGAGAGAACATGGATGAGTTATCACCTTGAATAGCTGTGATATCTCTCTCCACTGTTCCTCTGTAGGGTCTACTCCGGTAGGATTATGAGCACAAGCATGAAGAAGGAAGAAGGAGCCTTCCGGAGCATTCTATGAGAAAAAAAAGGCTTAACAGAATTAGGATGACATTAACAAGAATAAAATGTCAAAATTTGCTTGTTGAAGAAGTTTGTTCCTTGCTAACCTTCACATCATCCATCAATCCTGAGAAATTCAACCCCTTGGTTTCTGGATGATAGTAATGATATGTCTTTTGAGTGACTTGTGCATCTCTCCAGATGTTGTGGTGGCTGTTCACAGAAGACAACATAAGCCATTGCTATTTTGGTGAAACAAAAGAAGGCTTATAGTTAATTGTATGAAACTCACTTGGACCAGGTTGGTACAGGAATGTAGATCTGTGAATCGGGACGAAAACGTTTGTGGAAGTCTGCAAACAGTCGGCATGCTCCAGTTCCAGACAGAGACTGAACTGCAGCTATTCTCTTGTCTTTGATAAACTCAGAGTTGTCTCCATAGGCAAGCTTCAATGTTTCCTCCACCATTTTGACACTCCCTCCCATCGGAAGGTACTCCCTTTAGTACAATAGATATATAGTTCAGATCAGTCTTATGTTGTGCATACAAATCAAACGTCACACACTATAATACCAAAACGAGAGAAGTTTGAACAGAATTTGGCACATCGATTTGAGTGGATTCACAATTACATAGTTTTAACAAAATCATTCATCATAAAATCATTCGGTTACAATTCAAGAACTTTACGAAATTATTGAAAATCAATTATGTCATGCCAATCAAGAGAAGCATTAAAGTTAGCTCATTTGGAAAGAAGAAAGCAAATCTTACATGAAGGAGCTTCCAGCAATTCTTCGCTCAGCTTCTCTGACACATTCCAAGACCACAGGCTTGCCATTATCATCACGATATGCTCCCTAATTGATTATCCCAATTTCAAAACATAAAGTGAGTAATTAATTACAGATATCTTCATCAAACAAACCAAAATGTAAAGCCAACATGCAAACAGAGCTATGCAAACGCACAATGAAGAAATGGATTTGAAAATTTTTCAGCTCAAAATTCAGATTTTCAATTCAGAAATTCTAGAGAAAAAAAGAGAGAGAGAGAGTGACTTACCACACCAACATTAACTTTATCGGGACTGGGATCAGCGAGAAAAGCCTCGGTGACTCCGAGGATCGGATCTTTGGGAGCAGGCTCGACGTTCTTCCACCACGAAGACATAGATCTCAAACTGAAATCTCCGGAGATCGGACTCATTGCTCGCCGCGAAGCAGCGTTCCGGATTCTCATCGCCATCGCCATAACTCTTCTTTAATGTAAAAAACACAGAGAGAGAGGAAGAGAATCGTCGGGGAGGCTGCTTTTTATAGAGGGGAGCGATGGAGAAGTAGCGACTCGTTCGAAGTTTGGCAGATGAGGACGAAGGAGAGTCGCAAGTTGCTTTACAAAAATGGTCTTGGACTGTGTGTGTGAGATAAGATTATTAAAAAATAAAAATAAATAAATATTATCTGTTTAATGGATTTTATGTCTTTTGTATCAGATTTATTTCCCTTTTTAATCTTCCGACACCTGAATTCTTAATTTAACGAACACACACGTCGTATTAAAGTAACTTATTTGGATTCTCTAGCATGTTAAGGTAATGTAAGTTATGTAACATAGAGATTTGATTGTTTATCAATCAAATAATTGTTACATCTTCTTGGTCAAAAATAATAATTGGTTACATCAAAGTCAACTAAAAGTTATTATATTATTGGTGGACCCCTTATGAAATAATTTGCCTTTGAAAACTTGTTATAAAATAATCGGTGATTGAATGTGAGAATAAGATAAAACAAATCTTTTCATCTAAATTTCAACATGAGTGCTAGAAAATTTCTGAAGACAACATTTAACATGTGTTCTTAAACTTTTTAAGCTTCCAAGTTCCAACATATTCATCATTTCTTAAGCGAGGCCGCGATCAAATCAAAGTTATTTTTCTCAGCAAAAACAAACAATCTGTTATCAGGTTTAAAAAGTTTTTCTTAATCCTATGTTTCATACTACTAATTGAAAACATTTGTCTCCTGTTTTTTTTTTCCCCCCCCCCCCCCCCCCCCACACACATTGATTCCTGAGTTTATGTAGACGATAAATCAAAACTGCCACAATCTAACATTTTTTTTCACACATATATTGTGAAAAGAAAAACGATGATTACATTGCTAATGCTTTGAAATAATAGACATATCTATGTTCAAAATTTCATTCGATGTCGAATGATCAAATTATGTCTAGTGCTTTGTAGAAAAATATAAGAAATTTACTTTTAAGATTATTTTGTGTAATTTTAACAGAAAAAAACATTGGTTTACATATTAACTTTAGAGACATATGGCAATGAAATTAACCCTATATAGTTCTCCTCCATACTTTCACTCCAAAACAGATCAGAAGTTCAGAACCTTGAATCAAATTTCGGATCCTAATTGAAAATCACTTGAAAAATAAACGAAAAATCAGATGTACCTAATGGGCCTCTATGGTCGAAGGCCCACTACGTATAATCTTTTTACCCTTCTGGTTTGCATATTGACTGTACACATTCTTTATTTCAGCTCGGTCGAGTGACGGACGACGAAGGGTTTGAGTAAAGATATGTCAATGGAGGAGAGCAACAGTGACGGCAAAAGGAAGACGACTCCTTCCCTTCCTGCTAACTACATCAGCATCCTCCAGCTCCAGGAGCGTTGGAACAAAGAGAAAGAGCGAAAGCGAAAGGAAGAAGAAGAAGAGGAAGAGAGACGACGGAAACAACTGGCTGAAGACCAGCAGAGGATAGAGGAAGATCTGAAGAGAGCGTATGCTAAAGGAAAACAGGAGAATCTCGATGAGAAGCCTTTGAATCGAAATAATCGGAAGGATTGGGACAGGAATAGAAAGAAAAAGGAATCTATTGACGGCGAGGAATCGGCGGCGATTAGAAGCGAGAGAGGTGAAGAAGAAGCGGCTCCGAGAGATGAGGGTTTACCGGAGCAGAGCAGAGGACGTAGGAAACGATATGATAGTAAGAAGAAGAAAAAGAAAGATGCGGCGGCGGCGGCGGCTGTGAAGGGAAATGTCGTCGACGAGTGTGAATCAATCGCGCCGCCTGAGCTTGTCGCGACGGAGGATAATAGACCGGTGAAAGGTGCGATTCAAGTTAAGAGGAAGAAAGGTAAAAAAGCGACGGGGAAGAAAACTGTTACGGACGATGCGACGGCCATTGATACAAAACTTGAGAATCTTTCTATCAAAAGAGGAGGAGAAACCGAAAATCTGAAGGCACAAACCGGATTGAGTAACCGTAATCAGCAAAACCAGAGGCATGATTTGCATCAGAATGTTGTCGAGTGTGGAACGGAGAATCATACTCCGGTGAAGGATGGGATTCGAGTTTATAGGAAGAAAGGAGAAAATGCGACGGGGAAGAAAAGTGTTGAATATCGCGAGAAAGCTGTAACGGATGATGAGAAGGCCATAGAAACACTATGTGCGAGTCTCTCTATCGAAAGAGGAGAATCCAAAAATCTGAAGGCTCAAACCGGACCGAGATACCGTAATAACCGGCCGAATTTGCCTCCTCGAAATGTGAGAATGCCGATTAGGGATGCTACAATGGTGTGGGTGAAGAAAGGGCAAAATGAGAGAGCTGGTGATGGAACTGGAAGTGGCATGTAACGTTTTGCTCAAGGTTTGATAAATGTTGCTTCTTGGTTTCTCTGCTGCTTTAGCTGTGAGAGGATGAGCAAAACAAAAACAGTATCTGCTTGGTAATATTCTTTACTAGTATTGGCTTAAAGACAATGTTCTTGCTTTTCCTAAGCGCTAGGGACTAAAAGTCTGATTATTGTTGGAATGTGGATGAATGTGAATGCAATTGTATATAAGTTTCAGTTTCTGAACATGATCGCAAGATCTTTCTGGTGATATATGCTTGTACAAAATTTGAAAATGCTTCTGAATCTGACTTAAGAGTGTTGCAAATCTGGAGTACTAGTGTGAATACATTCAGTAAAGATTGTTGAACTGAGTACTAAAGAAGTGTTGAAGCTTGGAACACACTAATTGATGCAGACTTTGGTGCATATACATTTACTTGTTACACAGAATTGGGATAGTACCACATTCCTAGATAAAGTTTTTGACTGTAAAAATTTACAGAAAATTTAAAGTATCACAAAGTATACAGAATCATTACTTAGACAGAAGCTGGTGTTGGTGTTGAGACTGGAGTTGCTGTTGTGGAGACGGGAACGATGTTTTCCGGTGGGATCTCAGTAAACTCAGAGAGAATCGCCCGGAACTCGTCGCCGCCGATAGTTTCTTTCTCGAGAAGCACTTCAACGAGTTTATCCATGGCTTCACGATTGTTCTTTATGTGGCTAAGAGCTATCTCATACGCTCTGTCTGATAGCTTCTTAACCGCAGAGTCAATATCCTCTGCAAGCCTCTCAGACATGGAGTTTCTCGCCATCATCCTCATGATGACATCGCTTTGAGCCGATGAATCCATCAACGACCATGGTCCAATCTCAGACATTCCAAACGTAACAACCATCTGCAATACTCTAGTTAGTATAAGATCAAACTCATCACCACAATGTGAAGCTAAAAGTGTTGTAGGTGAGTACCTGCTTGGCCAAACCGGTGATCTGTTGCAAGTCACCGACGGCGCCAGTAGTCACCTCCGGCTCACCAAAGATGACTTCTTCAGCGGCTCTACCACCGAGCCCACCAACGATTCTCGCAAAGAGTTGCTGCTTGGAGATGAGAGTCGGGTCATCTGATGGAATAAACCAAGTCAGACCTCTCGCTTGTCCTCTCGGTATCAACGTCACCTTTTGCACCGCGTCATGTCCTGGAGTCAACGTTCTGCAGCAAACAACAAAGATTTATAAACTTCTTGCTTAAGAGAGTTACACAGAGAAATGACTTCTCACTTTCACTTACCCACAAACCGCATGGCCAACTTCATGGTAAGCAACCAAGCTCTTGCTCTTGCTATCTGTCATCACAGTTCCTTCCATGCCAGCAACGATTCTGTCAATGGAGTCATCAATCTCTTTAGACGATATCCCCGTCCTCCCACGCCGTCCAGCCAATATCGCAGCCTCGTTCAAAAGATTAGCAAGATCCGCTCCGCTGAATCCAGGCGTTCTCATCGCTATCACTTCAAGCGAGACATCATTCTCAAACTTCTTGTTACCTGCATGAACCTTGAGAATATCTGTTCTCCCCTTAATATCCGGAACGTCAACACTCACCTGCCGGTCAAACCTTCCTGGCCTCAACAAAGCAGAGTCAAGAATATCTGCTCTGTTAGTTGCAGCAACAACGATGATACCTGTGTTACCTTCAAAGCCATCCATCTCAGTAAGGAGCTGATTCAGAGTCTGTTCTCTCTCATCATTACCTCCACCGATTCCAGTCCCTCTCGACCTACCAACAGCGTCAATCTCATCAACAAAGACAATGCAAGGAGCGTTCTCCTTGGCTTTCTTGAAAAGATCTCTGACTCTCGAGGCACCAACACCAACAAACATCTCAACAAACTCAGAACCGGAGATGGAGAAGAACGGCACACCGGCTTCACCAGCGATAGCTTTAGCCAAAAGCGTCTTCCCAGTACCAGGAGGACCAATCAAGAGCACACCTTTCGGAATCCTCGCACCAACCGCAGTGAACCTCTCAGGCTTCTTCAGAAACTCCACCACTTCCATGAAATCTTGCTTTGCCTCATCAACTCCAGCGACGTCATCGAACGTCACACCTGTGTTGGGCTCCATCTGGAACTTGGCTTTAGACTGACCAAACTGTGGGAAGCCAGGACCACCGGGCCCACCCATTCCTCCAGGGGACCGTCTCGAGAGAAGGAACAAACCACCAATCAGAAGCGCAGGGAAAGCGAGATTCCCAATCAGGTTGAACAACACTGAGCCTTGATCCTCCTGAGCGTTGTGTGCTGCAAAATCAATGTTCTTGGCTCTAAGCTTTTGGAGAAGCTCTTGGCTTAGTCCCGGAAGCTGAACACGCACACGTTGAACACGGTTACCTAACTCGGGAGACACAGCTTCCACAATAGCTATTGTTCCGTTCTCATACAAATCCACTTTGTTCACTCTATCTTTATCCAAATACTCTAGGAACCGAGAATATGACATTCTGGAGGAAGAGCCTTCTTGTTCATCTGCTGCGTTTGCTTTGCCACTTCCAAGCAAACCGATTCCGGCGTTTCCTAACAAGATCTTGAGAAAGTTTCTTCTTTCTTGGTATTTCTTCACATCCAAAGAAGCTTTCACGACGTTATTAACCTTTGATGTTCTAATAGCTGAAGAGGAAAGGCCAAATTTTTGATTCCGGGAAAAGTTATTGCTTAGCGTTTGTTTGGTTGTGTGTAGTGATAATCCATTTCCCACAAGACAAGCAGATGAAGCTGCCATCTGATATTCAACGAAATCAATCAGGAACGAATAAAAGAAGTAATTCGATGATAGCAAACGAAGTATAAAACTTAAACCAGAAATGTCACCGAAGATTTTCGAATTGGAACCGATGAACTAAAACTTGAACAAAGCGAAGAAAAATCGGATTTTCCAGTAGAAATAACCCAGTCAGATTCATGTAACGAAGAAAGAGGAAGAAGAAGAAGTGAAGAACCTGTATCGACTGCAGATGAGAGTGAACAAGGAGAAGCACGCTGAGCAAATTTGGAAGATGGAAATTGGGAAGAGAAGAAAGAAAGAGTGAAAGAGAGGATTTTTTTTGTTTGAAAGGAACAGATGTGGTTCGTGAAGAGCTTACGTGTCTTTCATTTAGTGGCCGATTAAGTTAACCGAATCTAATCAAAAACTGAATTGGATTCTCCAAACCAAAACCAAATTAAAATTGGTTTACTCGACAGAAGTGTCTGTGATCAAGATCACCGGTGTCCTATGAGAGAATCGACCTTGAGGAGCCTGTTGATGGATGGTTGAAGTAAATCTATCCAAAGGACCAAACATACGAGGCATTTTGTTAACCATCCCTTCTACCTCAATCACTTCATCTTACGCTTCTCTTCTCTGATTAACATTTACTGTGCCTCTAATCTCAGCGTCATTAAGTCGGACTCGTTTCTTTTTGTTTCTTGCTTCGATAATTGCTTGCCTGCACACGTCTTGCTCTTCTTTATTTGACTTTGGACAACCAGCGACATTTCCTTGGATTCTAGCAATGTGTTCTTTCAATCTGTATACTCCTCCCGAAAACTCTTTATCACAAAGTTTGCACTTCACCTTGTCCAAATTGTTGGGGTTGATCAAGACTCCAAATTCCCAACCAACGTCACCTGATTTCTCTGTAAACTTGGGGTCTCATTCGGTTCCTCAGAATTTGATGCCATTGTTTGAAAAACTGCTTAAGACAATATATGCACACCAATTTTGGTCAGACATGTGATCATCACACATAAAATAATATCAGGTTTAAATAATCAGGTTTAAATAAACGATGTTAGACTAATACATTGATTATTGAATCACCCACCAGTCCCCAGTATTTCTATATTTCAATATTTCTTAATAGACTAATAGTTGATACGAAAGTCAAAAGGCAGGAGAAAGAAGAACAGAAAAAAACAAAAAATAGAAAACAGAACATGAATTCGTGAAGCTTACCGGAGTGACGGAGTCGTAAATGCTTGAAACAGCGCCGCTTCTTTCGTCTATGCAGGTTTTAGTGATGAAAGAAAAGAAAAGAATCGACTCAGATACAAAACCAATTTAGGTTAGAGGAAGCTTAGACGACAAAACGTTTCCGTTTCCATATTTGTTTATCATTTTTACATTAAAAAAAGAAGAAAATTTAACCCGCTTAACCCGCTTAAACCGCCTATACCCGCCTAATAACCGCTTAAACCGCTGAATGATTCATTCCGCTTAACCAGGTCGATTTACATGTAATCCAATCGGCTAAGGCCCGCCTAACGCTTACGCTCTGCCTAGGCGGCCGCCTAGGCCGCTTTTTTTAAGCTTGGTATAATGTATGGTTTAGATTGGTTTAATAGGATTTGTCACATTTTTCTGTTTTTGTCACATTGTTGTGTATGCGAGAGAGAGACTTCACCTTAAACAACACAAGAGATTAATGAAAATGGAGATATATCATATTCATATTTTATTACATTATATAATTTGAAATAAAGAATGGTAAGGTAGCTGATAAAGGTATATGCAATTATTTGGATGTATCTAGATGTGTTTTGTCCAGATTCATCGAAATAATTGCAGATACATTTTTCCAAACTGATAGAAATACTATTTGTTCCTTTGCTTTGAGGGAAATATAGCAAATTGATTGATTTGACTTAATGTCGTGAAGATGAATAAATATACAGAAAAATAATGTACACAGAGTTGTCCTACTTCCATTTTTAGAGTTCCGACGACAACAAACGGGAAAGATTTCTCTTCTTCTGTTTCTCTGTTATTCAAATTTGTTCTTAAATAGAGCATCTCATTCTTCATCATCCACAAATTTTTCTATTCCTGATATTTCTTTTTCGTCCATGGCTTCAAAGATTTTAGAACTTTTCAAAGCTTCACTTACCAGCCATTTCCTTAAGTCATAGCCCGTCAATTGAATGGAGAGTTGTCATTTGTCAACCTACACCTCCAGTCACTTTGAGATTGATGTGAAAGGTGAGGGCACCTATGCAATGCTTCATGAGCAAAATCAAATGAATGCTTCTTTTATAGGAACACAATGTAACCACATTAGATATATGATACATCAACCATAAAAACTAAAATTGTTTGTCTTTTTATTTATTTTCTTCTTCTGTATAACCAATTTTTTTATCACATAACTATATTCTCTTAGATTTGATTTCATGTCACCGGTCTCTATCAACAAATTGTCTGTTTTTTCATGTCTTTAGTTCGTTAACTTAGATGAGACAACATGTTCCTAGAGTAACAATCAATTTCACTCTAAAGACTATCTAATCGAAGCTCACTTTCATGAGATGGTTTGTAAGACCAAAGACAAGCTGAGTAAAAGCTGTGCAAAACGCTATTTTTTTAATCAAAAGTTATATTAACCAAAAAGATAATTAATATTTAAACAAGCTTGTAGAAATACGAATTAAAAAGATTTACCAACTACTATGTGAAACAAATGAATAAATTTGTTTTAATATAAAATGGTTTGATAATGTAATTACATTGTTGAAATGGAGAAATACACTTAGCAAACCATCAAATCAGATACTAATGGCGTTAAACATTTGAGCTTCGCTGTTTTTTTAATGTGTTGAATTGCCATGATATCTGGAGCAATAGCAGCGTGGCAGCTGCCTCCCTTGTAGCTCGCCAGCTGAATGGAGAGTTGTCAACGTTCAACAAGAACCATTTTGAGTTCGAAGTCAAAGATGAGGGAACGTATGTCATGAGTCAGGAGCAAAGTCTGATTAGTGCTTCCTTTCTAGGAGCAGGAGACTCAAACATTTTTGAGGAGGAGGAAGAGTGTGGATATGGGATTGCTGAAGATTTGCTTGATTTGTACGGCCCCAAAGAGAAGTCTCCAGATCGGAAGGCAGAGCTCATTGCGACCATAGACCGTCTGAAGAGAGTCCGCAACCGTAACCGCAGGCTGGAGAACAAGCTTTTCAGATGAGTGAATCAATGTTGGACGCCATTGTTAGACAGGAGGAGAACGAAGGCAGCAATGTGTAAGATGACGCACTGCACCAATAAGCTTAGCTTTAGTTTTTAATTTTATTTTTAGTTGCTAAATGTAAGATTTTTACGCGTTTGAATGTTATTTTGAATTATAGTTTCTAGATGTAAGGCTTTTAAGCCGTTTGAATGTTTAATGAATTATAGTTTCCAAATTTAAGGATAGAATCAAGAACCGATACAATCCATCATGTTTCTTTTTTTGTAATTTTTTCTTTGAGAAATTAATGTTGATGAAACATATAGGATCGTCAACATCAGTCTTGAAACTAATCGAATTTAAAAATTATCAGTACAAAGTTTGTACTACAAACTCAAACTGGAGAAATTTCTCTCTATTCATATCAAATTCCGTTTTGAAAGTGTATAACGTTTTGGCTTTTAGCAAATTTACTACTCGTAGTGGAAAGAAAAATCTAACTTGTGATAAGCATGAAAGTGACCCAAAATTATCAAAACCACATTCACTCTGGATTGTCAGGCAAATTTGTTTATTGAAAGTAAATGTTTTTAGGCTTTTAGCCATTGTAGTTGTAGTTTCTGGTGACTCACTTTTGACCCATGCATAATTTATTATGTTTATTTTAGTGAATGATATGAATTTACATTCACAAAGGGATACAAAAAAAAATCAATATAGCTAAGACTGCTGTGACAAGGGAAAAAAAAAAAGTTAAACCCCTAATGTTGAAAATAGCAGAAAGAAGTTTTAAATTAGCAACCATTTGATGTTTGCTTTGTGTTTGGGGTTTCAGGTTCTGATACTGATTGCAGAAACCTCGTTTGTCCGTGTAATCTTCTGAGGCTTATGTATTGCCTGCACCAGTGAAAGAACAAAGTAAAGGATAAGAGATGATGGATATTGGTTTAGCTAGCTTGAGGTACAAGCAACGAAATGTTCAAAAATTTCATTACAGTACTACTCAGTAGCAAGTCATGTGGCTGTAACATGTGAATCACATCTCCCATTTTAGGTCTTTGTTCAATCTCTGGATCCACACAGCGCAAGGCAATCAACACAATCCGTTTAAGTTCCTTCACTGTAGGAAATTCCGGCAGCTTAGGATCAAGAACATCTACTATCATGTGATTCGCCACCATCCCTTTGATCCAGTCTTCTAGATAAATCTGCAAAGTAACAACATTGTTACAGGAGAAATGATAAAATATGCGTTATATGTTAATCTCACATTTGGTGAATTTTGGTCTACAGAGACTCTTCCGGACACAAGCTCCATGATCAATGTTCCGAAGCAATGGACATCGATTTTATCATCAAGATTAGTAGACGAAGGAAGAAAAGCTGAGTTCATTGGAATATCACTGTGACTGGGAATAGAGAGAATGATCTTAGGGTTCCATTGATGATCAAGAAGAATCTTGGTTGGTCTTATGTCTTGATGAGTTATTCTTGGTTCAATGTCTTCGTGAAAATACGCGAGTCTGAGAACACAAAACGTAATGAACCACAATGTTCTCCCGCAATCTTGCATATCAAGAAATCAACAAACAAGCAAAAAAACATGATTTGAATTCCACAGAGAAGAGATCATCAAACCCTTTTGCTACTCCTTGAATGATGTTCATCCTATTTCTCCAGGTCAGAGGCTGATTCCTCCCTGAAGATCCATGAAGCCATTCGTGCAAATCTCCTTTTTCAGCATACTCGTAAACAAGAACCCTAAAATTCATACACACTTGTGAGTTTAGATTCCTACGCAAGACACACAAGATAGTTTATATAATTACCTCTCGTCTCCTTCAATGCAATATCCGAGGAGTCTCATGACATTCCTGTGTCTAACGTTTGCTATCATCTCAGCTCTTGTTATAAAATAGTTATCTTCATACCTGAATTTTACTCTTTTATCAGATCAAAATATTAAGATTCTAAGCGTGGAGATCAAGAAAAGAAAGTAAAAAAAAAAACCTTTGATGGATGGGGAAGAGCCGTTTGACAGCAACAGTGACTGTACCCATCAAGATTCCTAGATACACCATTGAAGACTCTCCTTTACCGATCAGATTTTCCTCTGCAAATCCGTTTGTTATACTCTGGATCTCTATGAAAGTAAACACGGTGAAGCTTCCAAATCCGCCGGTGGAGGAGAAGCTGTGAGTGTAGTAGGGAAGATGAGCAGAGTACCGACCGACGTAAGAGATTCTATGGCTCTCTACATCATTAACGAAACGGTTGTACGGATTTAAGGGAATGTGTGACAAAGGCAGACAAAGATTTGATTTTAGTCTGAATGGTTCTTGTTGACATCTTCTCCTGTGAAAGATGAAACAAAGGGAAACAGAAACGATCAGAGCGAGGAGGAACGCTACGGAGGCGGAAGCTGTGATGAGGATCCAGAGCTTGATGCCGAAGAATGAAGTGTGTTGAGAGAGTTTGTGCAGGATCAAGTCTGATCTTTGTGATGATATGATTCTGTTCATCACTCTGAGTCTTTGTGGTGATAAAAATGATGAATCAGTGAGAGTGTGAAACAGAAAGATCTCGAGCATTCTCATTTGATTTTTTTTGTTTCTTGTTTGAGATGCGTTTTTAAGAGAGTGCGAGTTTCCAAAAATGTAGCATAAGAGGTTAAGAACTTTGTTTGACTCTGTCTATAACAAATTCAAAGAGTTTATTACGTGATCTTGATAATGTTGTTTTTTTTTTTGAAAAAAATTGTTGATGCATTTAAGGTGATATTGTTAGAGAAAAAAAAAAACTTGCAATGGGAATATTTTAGTTTCAAAAAGGGGGTCCGCATTAAGAATAATCGATTCTTAATTTTGGATAGAGTCGGTCCAAAATAATCTCTTTTCATCATTTGCTATGCTGTTGCTAACCAATTTGTGTGTCCCACTTTGCTTTTCTTTTCATTTGTTCCTCAATCTGTACCCTATTATTATTACTCAAATAAAGAGAAACAATGATATATTTATTTATGTTTTCTTATCGTCACTTTTGAAACACCGAAAGTTGTATCTTTGGTTGTTTTGGTTTGTCCACTAAAAATCCATGGCACAGATTTTAACGAAGGTTGCACTTGAATATATCCTACAATTAGCATTTTGTGGTCTTCTTTAACCACAATCTTACCACAACTTTAGAACAAAGTGTATATCGGATCGCGATTAACGACACAAACTTTAATGATAAGGGTCTAAAACCTACAGGCTACGATGAGAAAGTAATGTGGACCTGGATGAATAATGTACGGGGAAAAAATGAATACTAAATACACAAAGTTGGTGTGAGATTAGTCAAAAGTAAGTCTTACTAATAAGTTTGTAACATATGTCGCCGCATTTCGCGTACATGTCAACAAGAGCGTTGAGGACATAGACATCGTCTCCGAAACCTTCTTTGACCAAATCACGGTGAATCGCTTCTCCGATCTGAACAGAGCCGATTCCTCCGCAAGCCTTCAACACGCGTGGGAATGTGAACCTGTCTGGCTTCACGCCTTCTTCCGCCATCTGGAAGTAGAGAGCCATGGCGTCTTCGTGCTGACCTGATTCGGCGTAGCCTGAGATGAGAGAGTTCCAAGCGAAAGCTGATGATAATGAGACTCTCTTAGACATTCGATCGAACACCTCGTGTGCGACTTCCGCGTGGCCGCAGGAAGCGTAGAGCCTGACGAGCTTCGACGAGACTCCGAGATTGTCGCGCAGGAGGTACGGAGGGATGAGACGGTGGACTCTGACGCCGTGGTCGATGGCTCTCAAGGTGTAGCATGTCTCGAGAAGAGAAGCGAAGATCTCTGGCTCGCTGATTCTGATGCCTTTTTTAGCGGAGGTTTCGAGGTCTGTGATGACGGAGTCTAAGGCGTCGAGTTTGGTACGGTGGTTCGTTTGTTTTCCGATTAAGATTGGAGTCGGAGATGGTTTGGCGAAGGAGAGAGATGTGATTCCGTTATTGTTGTTGTTGTCTTGAATTTGTCTTTGCTTTAGCTGTTCGTGGTGTCTGGGTTTCTTTTTCATTGAAGAAGACGATACAGATGGATAACAAAAGCTTGGTTTGTGTATAATACTCACCATCTTCTCTTTTCTCTGTTTTCTTATCTCTTTAAAAGGAGGGAATCAGAGGTTATAGGAATATTAAAGTTACATTCGTCTTTTGTTTTTTTTAGCTTATGATAATACAAACAAAACGATGCAATGAGTATTGCATAGTGCATCAAAAGTTCAAGTAATGAACAAATTTAAAAAAGTCCTTATTGTCATTAAAAAAAGTAGGAAAAAGGAGGAACCAGGGAATAGAAGAATCAAAAATGTGATAGAAAAACCATCATTACAGTCACTCACTCACTAGAAGCAGCCCACATTACATATTACACTGCCCACAAAACCTAAATCCTAAACAAACATTACTCTCTTCTCTGTCTCTCTCTTTCTCTCTCTCATTTCTCCAGCAATCTTTCCTCCTTTTTCAAGTTCCAAACTCACAGCTTCTTTCTCAAAGTTGGTAAGAAATATCTGGAGAGAACAGACGGGAAGATTCAGAGATTTAAGAGAGAAGAGTTTGAGTCTTGGAATGGGAAAAAACTTCACATTAGTAACCAGTCTTCTTCTTTTCTCCTTCCTCTTCTCAGGTTACTTTTCTCAACCATCACTGAAAGAAGCATAAAGATTTTGCTACTTTTTTATTTATTATATATATATATATATATATATATATATATATATTTTTTCTTTTCTTTTGAAAGTAAATTTTTTATTTATTTTTCTTGACCAAAGGCTTGTAAAATTTGGTTGTTGCAAATTTCTGTTATAAATTGTTTTGAGAAATACAGTCTTATTTGGTTTCGTTTTCGTTAGAACTTAGAAGGTAGGGGTTTTCTAACCCACATTTAGAAGAGTTTTAATGTATAAACGTCGTAGAAATATAACCCATAGCTTTTGAATTTCTTTTCAATGGAAACTCCAAAAAATAAAGATAACGTTTATAGCTTGGAGTTTTATAATTTAAAGATGCGGAAAGTTAATCTATGTCTTAGGACTTTTTCATTTTGGAAAATCACTAATCTATTGTCTTAGGACTTTATTCTCTTCTGCATTTCTTTTTTATTTTATAAATATTTTTCTTAGGCAACGTTCTTTTTTCTGCTCATTTTCTTCAAGATTCGAGTTTCTTTTCTTTTCGCTATTAATCAATACTCTAGGTAAATTCTTATATAAATTCAGAAAAAAAATGAAGTTACTTTTTGTTTTTTCACATGTGAATTGGAGTGGAGTCCAAGCTTGCAAATATTCTAGTCGTTACTTTTTCTTGTTCAGTTCAAAGATTCTCTATTGTCTTTTTGTTTATTGTTTCTAAGGTTTGTCTTCGTTTTTCTACCTTATCTTAATCTAACTTACAAATTAGAGGAACTCATCTTAGACATGATAATTAATGTTCTAAACTTTACCAACCAAATCTTTGACATCATTAATAATGTTTCTAACATCTTAATCACGAATAAAAGCATTAACTATATGATTTATTTACAGGTACAACGGCTAGTCATCCAATAGAAGAAGAAAAAGATATAACCACACCATTAGCCACAAACCCAACCACCACCACAACAACCGTTGTCCCTAACTCCGACTCTGACGCTTCGGCCGTGGCCACAACGCCACTAGCCATTCCATCACCACCACGCGGTGGAGCCAACCCGGGCCAAAGCTGGTGCGTCGCGAGAGAAAACGTTGCAAAAATGGCGTTACAAGCGGCTTTAGACTACGCGTGCGGGATTGGTGGAGCAGACTGCTCGGAGATCCAAGAAGGAGGAAAGTGTTATAACCCTAACTCGTTGAGAGAACATGCCTCTTTTGCATTTAACAGTTATTACCAGAAGAATCCAATCCCTAGTAGTTGCAACTTTGGTGGAACTGCTGTCACTATCAGTGGTGACCCAAGTAAGTCTCCAAATCTTACAAATTCTAGTTAAAACTAATTCAAAAGAATATGTTTTTCTTCAAGAAAATTTGACCTTTTGTGACCAGTGAACAAATCGAGTTAACAAGTGTCCTCCTTACGTACTAGTGGTATTCGAACTAGGCATGTCCACTTCCACTCCCGGCCCATACCCATCTCGGATTTTCCATGCCATAATCATTCCCATTCAAAAAAATTGTTTAATTTGATTCCCATCACGATTTACGTTTTTTATTTTTCAAAACTAATAAAAAGTATATCATAGTGATCCAAAATAACCCGAGTCTTTGGCCTAATTAGTCCTAATTTTGAACTCCTAACTTTGAATAGTCTCCTATTTTGGGTTGAACGATGGAATATTTGTTTCCAGCTTCTATCAGCTATTTTCTGTCCATTTCCTAAAGGAAGAGTCCTCATTCGAACTTCTAACTTTGAATAGTCTCATAATTTGAGTAATCAACTAAAAATAAAATTTGTAAGCAATTTAACTATTTGGAATTTAGCGATGGTGACGTATTTGATAGCTACTTAACAACCAATAATAATGGACTAGTGATAGTAGTTTAACCGGTCAACTGACAAAGAGTAACATCAGTTTCAGTTAATTGCGATGGTAGATGTATATAGGATGATGATCCAATAGGATTCATTTCAGGACTCTAGCGTCTAGATCTGATTATAAATTTAGTATTCATCAAGGTTACCAAAAAACAAAAACTATAAACATTGACTCAATTAGTACGCAACATATGCTAATGACATGACATGGTAATTTGTATGCAACCAATACATAGCACAAAAATGTTTGGGGATGCTAATGCTTTTTCCACATGATCGTGGCACGTATTTAGATCTCAAACAAAGTTAAGATTGCGTATTCCGTATAATATCAGTCTTTGTTCCATCACAAATTAATATGTCGAGGAAAATCCATCTAAATAAAGTGTTGTTCTCTGTTGACAGGTGTAGGATCATGCCACTTTCCGTCTACAAGGTGAACTATCTCTCACAAGGAAATCGATATGCATGTTATAACTTTAACAAATAGATAAGGATTTATGAATGATGTTTGAATGTGATAATTGCAGCACGAGTGAATCGATATTGAACATAACAAGTGAAGATGGATTAGGGCTTTTTGGTAGAATACCATCTCACCCAACTCCCAAACCCGAAGCTTCAAGCTCCTCTCCTCAGTTCTCTCATTTCTCTACTTTTATTCTCTGTCTTCTTTGCCTTTGTTTTTATATCCCCTCTTTAATTATGAGCTTAATTTAGTTTAATGTGATATATAATCTACAAAAATCGAAATATTAAGGCTAAAGTCTATATATAGTATTTTTCAGTTCCGAACACTATAAACTCCTAGTGGTGATATATTAATCACACTAACGCTATATATCAATATGTAGCCATTGTTTTATTCATGCATATTAAAGGTACTTTTCATTAGTCGGGCTGAATCTTTAATTTTCAGCCGTCCAATGATTCCAATCGTAACACATCAAGCTTTATCGAATTATTTCAGTTTTAACATTTGATTCGTTGAGAAAATCACTTAATTTGAAACTCTAGTGAAGAATCCTATTCTTTATAAGGGAACAAAGATCAAACCTTTCTTTCATCATTTTGGTCTACTTGACTTTTATGCAGATTTATTGTTAATCATCAGAACGTATAGGGTTTGCAATAATATACTCTTCTTGAATTTCCAAGTAGATCAAAGAAATTAAGAGTGAGGAATTAGATAAAGAATAAGAACAAGAAGAAGGTTATAAATTTTAAGATATCATTTTTTGTGATTTGGAGGTGAATGAGCTGGAATAGAGGACTTTATCTAAACACTCTTTGTTTTTTTGGGGGTTAGGTACAGATTGTGACTTTGTTTGATTAGCTTTTGGAACCTCCTTAGAATCAAACACTAATCACAAAGAAATTACCCTTTTTTTTGGTTTATTGGTTTACACAAGTTCTTGGGAACAATCAAGATATCAAAAGAAATGCAAAATAAAAAAGCAAAATAAAAAACAAAGATAGATAGACACAAAATCAAATCAAAATCAAAAAGTTTCAAGGAAATAAATAATCAAAAGTTGTTTTCGGATAGGTTTTCTTTCTTTCTAGTGCTCTGTTCTTCTTCTTCTTCATCTGGTGAAGTTCGTTAGTTTGACCATTTCTTGATCAATCATTTTGTAGTAGATGAAGATGTCTTGAGAAGATCAAGAACCCCACAACAGTTCTTCCACCACGGCGTCTCACCTCCACGCTCACCACTCAACAAAGGCTGCAAACAAACAAACACAAACACATATTTAATTTGTCAAAACATGATGAGAATTACAATCTTCTAGTATGAGTTTTTTCTTTTCTTTTCAAGAACAAAGAGTTTTGCTTAAATCTGTGACCTGATTGTCTGTGGATAAGGGAAGGTCTCGGTTTGTGCTGCTTGATGCTCCACCAACAGCATTAGTGACAGCTCCAACGAGCTTGGAGGAAACTTCAGTCCTCTTCTCCTCAAAAACACTAAGCAAGTTTTTGGCTCCTTCTATACCTCTTGATAGAGCACCGTCCACTGCATCTCTTGCCTAAAATATTACAATTTTTTTTTAGTTTTTTGGGAAAAATAAAGAAGTAAAAGGGTGTGAGAGTGACCACGAACAGACCTTTGTGGACACATCAGACGCTTTTTCCGGTACGGCTGCGGCCTCCGACTTGATCGCTTCAGTAGAGTCTGCAACGGTTTTTTGAGCATCAGTTAGAGAGGTCGTGGCGGTTTCAGTGGCGGTTTTCTGAGCATCAGTGACGGTTTTCTGAGCATCAGTGAGAGAGGCACCGACGGAATCAGCGGTGGCTGTAGCAGAATCTTTGGCTTCTGAAAGAGCAGAATTTGCCTTGTCCAAGAAAGATGCCATTCTTGTTATGCTGCTGTGTTTTGGAATATTTTGTCAGAGAAAACAGCGGTTTATATATAAATAAGCAAGAAGAAGAAGAAGATTGAGAGGAATTTTGGAATGTGAAAGGAAGTGAGCTGTTAAAGAGGGCTGTTTCAACGCCTCCAGCGAAACAGAACTATTAGTGAGAATCTCTAAAACGTGACTTCCTTTATCAACCTCCTGATATTTTGTTTGACAACAAATTTCTTAGCACTAATAATTTTTAAAAATTTGTATAAATAGTCTTGTTATATATTGTGTTGTCAACAATGGTAACGAAGTATATAATAAAACGTATCTAAGTTATAAGGTGAAATAATTGGGTTGCATTATCTGTTCAAATGGGTATGATTGAATATTGAAAGAATTGAAGTTGTCCTACATTGATTGTAATTGCCAGCTTCTTGAATCACATTACCAACTAGGAGACAGCTCCCTTTAATGCCCCACTTTTATTTGTTTATTATATATGTATAAAAAGTTTGAATATTCGGACCAAAGTTTGAAGGGGTATGGTTCTATTCACTGTGCGAGCAGTGCAAACACGGTTGATACACCATTAATTGTGATTAGCGTGGTGAAATTAAAATATTGAGTTGTAAATCAAGTTGTTAGGGAAAGTATCCAATCTTTTTGGTTTTAAATTATGAAGATCTGTTTTTCCAAGAAAAGTTACTTGTATCCTATTCCTAGTTGTATTTTTTTTATGATTTAAATAATGCATTTAACAGTATATATATATAGGTGCAATCACGAAGACATAAAGCTCCCAAAAGCTAAAGTCAATGTTTATGTCTTTTCAATGTTTATGTCTTTACAAAATTTGTTCCAAGAAAGAAAAAAAAAAGCCATGACTTGTCTAATTTCTATGAATATCAGATTTTTTCTTATCACTAATTCAAAACTTACAAGGTTTAGTTTATAACTTTATTAGTTCGTATCGTATAATTGTTATATAGAAATTGACTTGTGGAAAATCATATCAAATAGTCAATTAATGTTGTTACAAATGTCTTTGTTATATAGAAGTTGGTCTTTTAGTATGTGCTGATGATGATGTGATGCACATTTTTATGAAAGCCTATAAAGGATATTATCAATCGTAACGATAATATATAAATTTATGAGAATGAGATTTCTCATTCGATCGTGGGACCGTTGTTTGAAAACTACTATAGATGAAAATAACTGATTCCAACATATCGAAATCCAACTACTCTTTTGAATTTTGTTCGATCTTAGTATTTATTTCGATACACCAACTTTTGCTTTATAAAGAGTGCAAATGTTTCTATTTTTGATATAGTAGTACAAAATTTTGTGTGAGAGTTTATACATAAAAAAAAAGGATACAAAATTTTGTGTGAGAGTTTATACATACATTTTTTTTCTACATCTTCTCTTTTAACTCTAAAGCCTTCTAAATCTTAACCTTAAAACTAAACTCTAAGTCCTAAAAACGATACTATAAGAAAATCGACTCTTGATTCTTGATGGGCCTTCACATGGTTTCTTTGCTATGTGTTCTTATATGAAGGTTGGCTTTCATCTGCTCGACCCTCAGTCTCGCTAATTTTGTTATAGTTTTTTTCATTAGTCCTGCTCTGTTTTATTCTTCTAAAATCATTACAGAAAAGAGAAAGTCAATGTGATTTTGATCAATCTTACTCTTCTAGGTCTTCCCAAAAACAGCACTTCAAGGAAGCCTGAGAAGACTATAAAAACAAAGTTCTCAGCAACATCTCCTAATCTGACTTCATTGGGAAATGAATTTCCCACACAGCAACTTGGGAAAGAAAGTGGAAAGAGAGTTCATATGACAAATACTGGATAGACAAAAACAAAACTAGTAGTTATCCTTGAGTGAAGCAGAAGCAAAGAGAAGAGTTTATAATCCTTGGGCTACTTAATATACAAAGAAGTTACCTTCCTTAATCAGAAAGTGAATTGGCACGCAACATCTATTGAGGAGTGATTGGAGAAGAAAATACACTATTAAAAGAATGTGGTTAGAGTTTCATCCCTCCAAAGGTATACTCTTCTATCTCCCTTAGCAACATGATCAATACATATATGCAATTTGAAAAATGTGTGTAAACTAATATTATCACTATAAGATCACATTGAAAGTTGAAACTATTTGGATATGTGACGATAATAAAATAAATCATAAAAATGTTATTGTTATGCATGAAATTTGGAACAATGGAAAGAAACTGAAAGGGACACATCTACGAGTTTGAAATAGAAAGATATCTTATTAGGACTAGAATACCTAACATGTGGTATTCTGATTAACTTTATTTTTATTGGAAGAACACAAGAAGAGGAAGACCTCGGAGATTGGAGTCTCACAATTGATGATTTGTTTCAGATCCTCAAATGGCTTAAGGAAGAATTATTCCCATCAAGACTTCTAGCGACATAGTGGTTAGAGGCCTGAACATGGGTGTCTCTGTACTTTGGAAGGTTTTCTTCAGACAAAAGCTCTTTAATAGGTCCATAAAGCTTCGAACCCGGTGAAGGATGTACAAAGAAAGCCCCAACCGAGATGCGTGGCTCTTTAGATCTGTTGGCCAAAATCCTGTGCTCCACGCTTACAAACTTGTCGTTAGATAGAAGCTGCATGCAAAAACGAAAGACACATAAGATTTATGGATTTTGTATAGGTTCAAGTCACTAAAGAGACAAGCCTAACCTGTAGGAGATCTCCAACGTTAACGATAAGAGATCCTGGACTTGGAGGAACATCGATCCAATATCCTTCATGGAGAACTTGAAGTCCTCCAATCTGGCCTGGAAGAAGAACTGTGAGGAAAGATCTGTCTGTGTGTGGAGCACCTCCGAGTGTTCTGTCTGGCTCAGGGCAATACGGGAAGCAATGACATAGCAAGAACAAACCTTTTGCGCAATCCATTTCTTTGAGGTGGTTAGGTTTTAGCCCTAAAGCTTCTGATAATAGCTCAAAGAAAAGCTCTCCTAACTTCATCATCCACTTTGAGTACTCCAACATGATCTCCCTAAAACATTCACACCAATAAACATCTCAAGATCCATCCAATAGTATGAAACCAAAGTCTTAGTATTATTTCGTACCCACAAATCTGAGGCAAGTCCTCTGGTTTTGGAACATCAGGAGCCATGAAACAAGTGAAGGTATCTCTCCAGCTACCAGCAGGAGAATGATGGAGATCGGCGTTAGTGTGATACTTAAGTTTGTTCTCTCGGCTATAGAACGTTTTTCTCACTTCTGGATCTTGCTCGTGAAACCCACGAACCCCATCTCTCATCTTCTCCATGATATGGACTGGGATCCCATGGTTAATCACCTGGCAAAACCCGAACCTCTCCATCGAGTCTCTCACCTTCGCAACCACGCTCTCTCTTGTGACTTTGGATTCCAACACGCCTCCAAGATCAACTGTTGGGATTGTCACCGACGAGGGGTGTTTAGGGTATGTTATGGATGCTTGCGGGTTATGGAAAATGCGTGGGATTGTTGTGTTTCCGGCGTCGACGAGACCCTTCACTCCGGTCTTCATCTCGTCGAATGCTTTGACTTCACTGGCACGGTCGAATGTTGCCGCTACTGTGTCCTTCGGCTCCATCTTTTTACGTTCTGTGTTTGTGAGTCTGTGTCTAGAAACAGAGGATAGAGAGAAACTTGTGATGTGTGTTGGTGTGAGTCAGAGACCTCACCGTCCTTATTATTTTTCTATAAAAATACGTACAAGAATGCATGTGATATATGTCTACTTTATACTACTTGGTCTGAAAGATAGTGTTGTATAATTGGTTAATTTTTGTTTTTATCTTCGTTTTCTTTAAGTGTCAATTATTTTGCTTTGTTTTTTTAAGGAGAAACATAAATATGGTCTTTTTTACGTTATTTTGTTTGTCAGCAACAACTGTGTAGACTTAATATGTGGTCTAAAGTTGCCTAGAAAAATTAATAATATGTAACCTTGTTTAATTTTGTTTTTAATAATATGTGGTTTATAGGTCGGAGCCAAAAATAAACGTGACAGAATGAGCCCAACCTAATTCTTTTATACAAATATTATTACGTCAAGACATTCACATACTACCAAATACATGTTAGTTTTGATGTGTTTTTTTTTTTGTTAAAAGTTTTGATGTTATCCTATATATTTCTAGTTATTATACTGATTTGTCACATGTATTCTATGAAATTCAAATTATATATGACAACAAATTTGGATTTAAATATCCTGATCTTAATTTTATTATTCGTATTTGAATCCAAAAGCTTTAAATATCACAGGTAACATATTTTTGGATTACATGATCGGATCAGATTTCAGATCTTGAATGTTTTGCTCATCCTACATATACTGATATATACACATGCATCATGACACCTAATGCTTGCATGTCAATGGAAAACGTAGATCATACGACACTTATTTACCAGAGTCGGTCACTTGCCAGTGTTGATAATTATGGTTAACATGTTCTAAAATCGAATGTGGGAAAAATCGTTTAGCATATCAAAACCGCATTCAACCAATTTTGCCAATCCATATCCTGAAAAATACTAAAACCTCTAGTTCCTGTAGTTCCTGAAAATGAAATTATATAAATTCCGAATCTTCAACTCTAAAATGTAAACAATTTTTTTTTTTTTTTTTTGGCTTTCAGTAGTTTTCTAATTATCATATTACCTCAAAAATAATATCCGCTTCTCCCTGATATAGGCCCGTACCAACATTTCTTAAAAGGTGCAGAAACTGGGTAGGGCCGAAGTGATTTCACATCCGTGACCGTATCCGTAGCAAATTCCGATTTTACCCTTCATTTTTGTTTTTTTTATTTTGTTTTACCGTCGGCGACGTCAGTTACCGCCGGCCGCCGTTTCTGTAACTCTTTGATCGCTGATCTCTTGGAATCTGTGGCGCTGAGGCTAATGAATCAACTGCAAAGGATTCTCTCTGCTCGTCGTTTATCTCCCTCAGTCATACCTCCGTCGTGTTTTCTTCACCGGCGGTCGTTGTCGACCTCAGAAACCGATGCTTCGTCGGCATCGTCTTCCTCTTCGCATCATACGATGCAAACGCCTGAATTTGTAGCTTCCAGTAAAAGCCGAAGCACACCGTCGACGACAACATCTTCTCTGAAGGAACATGAACTCGCCAAATTCTCCGCCATTGCTGATAGCTGGTTCGTCTCTCAGTCATCTTAATGCATTGTACATAGGAAAAGGAATTTTTAAAAGTAAAAAAAAAATGTTTTTTCATGAAAATTATGTGGCTTTTATCTATTGAAATCGATGTTGATTCTCGTTGAACAACTGGATTTTTTGTTTTCATAGATTATCAATGAGAAAAATAGTTTCTTCATGCTATTGAATCTTCTTATGTGTAAGCAACTATGTAAATTCAAGGTAAAGACTTTAAAGGCTTCAAATGATTTGGTTGCTGTGTGCTCTTAATATTGAAGGTGGCATTCTGAAGGGCCGTTTAAACCGTTACATCTAATGAATCCGACTCGGTTGGCTTTCATCCGCTCCACCTTATGCAGACATTTCAGGTACATTTCTTGTAGTCAGATAATTTTGTTTCTTCTTCATCTTTGTATCTCTCTCTGTTGGATTAACTTTGTTCTTCTTCTCAGTAAGGATCCGAGCTCTGCAAGGCCTTTTGAAGGATTGAGACTCATTGATGTAGGTTGCGGCGGCGGACTGCTTTCTGAGGTATATACACTTGGAGTGACATTGTTGTTAGATATAAGGAAGATGTGTTGATCACCAGTGGCTTGTTATATTTTGTGTGTGTTTGAAGCCTCTAGCACGGATGGGAGCAACTGTTACAGGAGTTGATGCTGTTGATAAGAATGTCAAAATTGCTCGTCTTCACGCTGTAAGGTCTCTTCCTTAATTGTACCATTGAAAAAAAACAGATAACTTGACCACTGGCTGTATTGTTATGTGCAATGGTGTCCTCCATATCATGAATTAGTTTTGTCCAATAGCTTAAACAAGTTTTCACAATTATGGCATAGGACTAGAGATCATGAAACCCCTTGTCTAGCTTCACTTTTATTGACTGTTTGTATGTTAATAAATTGTCTGTGCAGGATATGGATCCAGTGACTTCGACTATTGAATACCATTGTACCACAGCAGGTATTTTTTTACTAATTCTTAGATGATGATCATTTAAAGTTACACTGAATCTTCTACAGAAGCTGATTCTCTGTTATCTCTTCTATGTTTAAGTACTAAGTAATATTTTCTTAGCACAGAAAAGCTAGTTGATGAAGGGAGGACGTTTGATGCTGTTCTTGCCTTAGAGGTACTTTTTTTTTTCTGGTCCCTAATATGTGCCTTCCCCTCTATTACCATTCCATTTCTTGCTTCTAATATCATTTTCATGGCAAATTTTATGACTTCTACTATGAAGGTCATCGAGCATGTAGCAAACCCTGCGGAATTCTGCAAGTCGTTGTCAGCATTGACCATCCCCAATGGGGCCACTATAGTTTCTACAATTAATCGCTCTATGCGAGCATATGCATCAGCCATTGTTGCAGCCGAGTACATTCTGAATTGGGTAAATCTTCACCGCCTATCTTCTGTTAACACCATTTTGGTGACATGTGTTGTCCGCTTACACGTTTTGTTGTTTGTATAATGAATCACCTGCAGCTTCCTAAAGGCACACACCAGTGGTCAAGTTTTCTAACTCCTGAAGAACTTACTATGATATTACAACGTGCTTCAGTCGATGTAAGCCACTTCCTTGCCCCTTCAATAATGCTAATGTCAATCTCAGTTACCTAATTTTAACGTGATTAAAACAATACAAAAGATCACGTTTCTTGTTGTGGATGATAAGGATTGTTCATCTGTTTTATCTCTATGGGATAATTGCCTATATACATGAAACTATGGTTTGCAGGTGAAAGAGATGGCTGGATTTGTCTACAACCCGATAACGGGAAGATGGTTATTGTCAGACGACATCAGCGTCAACTTCATTGCTTATGGGACGAAAAGAAGTGATCTTGGAGGCATATAATCAACCGTTCCAAGTTACGTTTCGCTGTGTAATCTGCTTCTGAGTTTAGTGTATGCTTATAAAGCTTTTGGTTATAGCTTTTCTGGAAGTTGCTTAGGTCAAGGGCAATAGTAAAATTCGCAATAAGTGAGAAAGTGAATGGAGGATACATTTCCAAATGTTAGTTGTCTATAAAGCATCAGCAGATTTTGTTCTTCCTGAGTAATACTTATAATCTTATAACATTTGAGACAATAAGATTCACGTCTGCTGATATTTATCATTCATTTTCAGAGCTACTAAGAACTTGAAAGAAAATTTGAAGAACGTTTTATGTTTTTGGTTCGGAGTTGTTTGATTTATGGATTTTGATTCAATACAGAGCTGAACATGCAATGTAATATACTACAAAAAGGGTATTACAAGACGCTAACTATAATGAACCAAATTATAAAACATTCAAGATATTACAAAGATCCAGAGGCCAAGGACATAGCTAAAACTTATTAATACCTGCCCTTACCGTTGCACAAACCAAGAAAAGTAAGACCTTTATTGTATTGTAGATTACAAAGTGAAACAATGACGAAATTGGAAAAGGGTTAAAAAAGGCTGGGATTTAGTCGGGAAAAACAAAAATCTGATATACAAATTAAGTAAACCTTACTCGTGATCCAGATTTGTTTTATTTTCTGTGTTGATTAAAACTGTTGGCCAAGTTCTTCTTCCATGTTCTCTAGATTCCATATGGCTATTTTGCCATCCAATCCTACAAATAACAAACCGATACACAAGCAAATGAAACCGTATGAATCGGCTGATTCCATGAAGAAAAATATGAATTTAAGTTGGTGACTGACCTGAAGTGCTGAATCTCATTACTTTAAGACTTCCTGCTTTGTTCAGAGGTACAATGGAACTGCAAGTTTCAGGCAAATTTACGGGGTCAGGCTCTCTAACAAACAATAGAGTAAAAGAGTTAAAGAGAAACTCTCTTGCACGTGAATATGTAAAAGCAAAGTTAGCTTAAGACGAAAGAAATTTACTTTATGCAGTTATCATGAACGCCTCCGCGTGATTTAGAGGACTCAGAAGCATCATTGGCCGTTGCAGACTTCGATTGACCGTAGAATTTCCCAAATGCTTCTGAAAACTGAAAAGAAGAATATCATAATGAACAGATAGGTTAGATTATTATGAAAAAAGCAGACATTGCAACAAATACAAGAAAATAAAATGTGGTATGTACCTGCGAACTATAACTGGAACCTGAGGATGCCGCTTTCTTCTCTCCAATGTATCTGATAAAGCTCCTACAGACCAGAAACAAAGGCTTGTAAATGAAACAATCAAAGATGGATGACAATATTTAATTGTACGAAATGGCTAAGAAGAGAGAAAATTAAGAAGATGATTCCTAGAGCTACACACCATATTCCAGTATCATCCGCAGCAAATACCATCGGGTTGCTGTCATATCCAACGCCTATCACCATTTTCTCAGAAATAAAGAGGACCTATAACAGCAAGTTCCGGATAATATATCAGTTCAAGACATAAGAGACGGGAGAAGAACAGGTTCTCAAAAGTAAAAGAAGGGTGGATGCTGACCCACATCACGAAGAGGCAAATCTCGGAATGCAACGCTTTGGGCTAGAGGAGAAGGACCAACATCATCAACAAAGTAAATCATGGAGCTATGACCTATACAAGATTACAGATACAGAGGAAGTGAGAAGGAGGGTAGTAGAAGTTATGTAACCCAGTCGAAGTTCCATTGTTTAATATCAATCGCAATGGACAAACATATAAAGTGTTAAGGATATTCTGACCTACATAAGCTAAGGTGTTTCCACTTGGAGACCATTTCACACCAAATGCCCAAGAATATGAAAGATCAAGCTGAAGAATTTGCTGTTTCAACAAAGACACGTCAGAAAAAAGCTCTCATGTGTTAGATGAGGATGGTGGAGGGAAGGCATAAGCATTGATATGAAACTAAAAAAACAGGAAAGCCAGCCAGACAAAACAAACCTCCCCAAATTTAGATTCCGCTGGTGATCCTGCTTTTGGATCCCTGTATCGGCCAAATCAGTGAAGACAAATAAGAAGCTGGCCCACGTTTGCACAAATGGTTCTAAAGTAGACGGTCAAGTAATGAGCTTACTTTGTATCAACCCCTTTGATGAATGTTGAAAAAACTCGACACTTTCCATCTGTTGATGTCGTTGCCAGAAGAATCTAATGCAAAAACAGACAATCAGAGAGCACAACAACAGGAAAAGTATACCGATAACCATCATTTAGAAGATTAGCTAGTTTATGGAGATTGATATTCTAGTTTAGGGAATGATGTACACTGGCGAACTTATTGAATACTTCCAGTAGAGAAAGAGCATATATCAAAAGCCTAATTAATATTTCAGCTACGAGATTGTGTTGATTGAACGCACATTATTAGGATGCCAAGCAACATTTGTGACTGAAGATTCATGCCGTTTCCTGATAAGTTTACTGACCCACCTGAGAACAGCAAAATCCAGCCGTGTAAGCCGACCAAAACACCGAAACTTTCCATGAAAGTCATAATATATACATTCCAGATATTTCCAAAACCTTGTCAAGATAATATCAATTAACATGCCAGTAAACACAGTACCCACCAAAAAGAAAGTAGATAACACAGTAGAGTACCCATTAATAAACACAGTATCCACCAAAACGAAAGTAGATAACACAGTAGAATACCATTAATAGACCATCAACACCATTCATAGAATAGAGATTAGAAGCCAGGAAACTTGCCAAAGAAAAGTCCATGATCAATAATGAGAATATAAGGGCAGAAGAAGAAATTACCAGTTATTCTCTTGCTCATAATAGCATATACAAACAGTTTTAGCACCGCTTCCAACAGCAAACTTGTTTTCTAAAGGAATTCAACAAAAAGATGGGAAATATAATTAGAAGCTGCAGAAACTATAAGAAAACTACATTACATATTATCCAGACAATACAACTCGTAAATTTAGGATATAATATATATTTACCTTTTGGACTCCACTGGACACAAAGTGCAGCACGATTTAGTCTAAGAATAACAAGAGTTGGTACCCATTCACCTCCTTCCAGGTTCCAGACGTACCTTCAAGAATCATTCCAAACACAGTTTAACAAACTATTAAAAACAGTGAAGATTTAAGAATTAACAGTTTTGCAGTTTCTCATGGCATTAATTTCCTCTTAAGTATATCAAAGGTTGCAACTTACGAGTTCCTGTCATGTGAAACAGTGACGATTTTGTTTGACTTTGAGCTCCAATCTATTCCAGAAACAATTTGGTCATGCTGCAACATTTTCAAACAAAAATCATGAAGTTGTAGTGAGAGAGAGATTCAAGACGTACAAAGTGTAGATCACCAAGAAGAGAAAGGAAAGGACAAAGCTTCACCTTTTCGAGAACATGTAACCTCTCCCACTGGTCTTGTGACGATTTATAGATATGAACTTCATTATTGTTGGGACAAAGTGCAACCACTACAAGAAAAGCAAAAGAAATGGTTACAGGCTTTGAAAAATGACGTTAATCTATATGAAAGAAGACATCAGGTTCATCTTTAGCTCATCAAGTAATGTACATACCAACTATTCCTAACCATACATAGATTTTCTCTGAAATATTCAACTGCTCTCTTACACATTTGAATCTAAGCTACTCAGAATATATACCTATAGTGCTCTCTTATACCTATAGTGAGGCATAACCCAATTCAATTAACCTCGAGATTCCTTCTCACCGACAAACAAACACAAGAATTTTCCAAAAAGTTGTCAATTTGCAAGCAATTTAATTCCTTCTCACCAGCCATATTATAGATCCTCTTATAATCCTAAAAAACTAAATTATTCATATTTCTGGGAAGAAAGTATGATCTGCATCTCTAGCTTCTGTTACCCATTACTGTTTTCTCATCTTTCCAAAGACCAAACGGTAAAAGAAAGAAAATTAAACAAATATAACGAAGGATCAGCATTTACAAATCACAGAGCTAGAAGCTTACTGGAGTGATCAGGACTCCAAGCATGGCAAGTGATTGACTCTGCGAATCGGTGAGCATCAACCACAGCCATGATCCTTGTCTCCACTTTTTTTTTTCTCGCGGAGAATTTGTAAATCTAGCCTTGAAGATAGTCTTCTCTCCTCAAATCGATATCCACAGATTCCTAAAGCCGCCTAAACGGCGTCGGACGGTGAACAGATCGACCGGTGACGGAACTTCGGAGGAAATAATGGGGAGATTGGTGAAACTCCGATTAGATCCGGAGCTCGATGACACTCGCAGACGTGAAGCGAAAGAGAGATGTTTGTTGTTTGTCTTTTGCGCTAAGACCAACTTTAGAATGACCAAATCAATTTCATTTTCCTTTAAAATATAGCCAAATAAATGTTTTTAATGTCAAATAAAAATGTTTCGACCGACCTTTCCGGTTCGGTTTATTCAGATTTGGGAAACATCCGGTCGAAAGAAACCAATACAATTTCGGTTCAGTAGTAATCAGTTATTTCGGCTGGGTATTGAAACAATTTAGTTCGTTTTTCCGGTTTGATTTTTTGGTTTAATATATCTGATTCATGTTCGGATTTTTTTGATTATGTTCGTTACAAACGGTTAAAAAAACAGTGAATAGTATAATTGAAAAGTTAGTGTTAAAATGGATTCACCATTATAAACCAAAATTGACTTTATGAGATATTAAATCAATGAAAACAACCAAAACGTACATAATGAATGAGGAGGAGGTACAATACACAACCATATAACCATCATGAATCAATCAAGATTTCAAGAATAAAACAACTCATTGTACAAGAGCTGGTTCCAGGTATCAGGAACTCCAGCAAGACACCAGTGGCTACAATCCGGGTTCTTGTGACCGCCAAATCCATAGACCGAAGGATGTCCGTCTTTCCTTAGCTGAGACATCAGTGTCACGTCCATTAACCTCGCCGGATGTTTCATCGTCTTTATCACTTTCTCCACCACCATCTCCGCTCGGTTTGGTCCCGCAAGATACTTCGATCCCATAACCGGCTTTGTTTGTCCAATGCAGCTTCCTTTACCACCTTTCTTCGACGACCATTCACTTGAGCTGTATTAACATATGTATCAACCCATCAACTTCAAGTTATATTTAACCTATGCATGTCAAATTTTTCTGATAGTTTTGGATTTAATCTTTATAGTTGATGGTTTAAAGTAAATTTACATTGAATAAAAAAGTTGGTTATATAAAGAAAGTAACTTACTTGGTGTGGTCAGGAGAGACACCTTGGAAGAAGACTTTAGTTTTGGAAGGATCAATGTTTTGATCGATCCACTTAGCCCAAGTCCTAATCGCTATCTCATACGCCGCATATCGGTCCATGTCTTTAACCGTTACATTCCCGTTCTGAATTACGTCCCATCTGCAATATTACCAAGTGATTACAATAGTTATATATATATATCAACTCCGTTATCGATAGAGTGAAACAAGTTTTTTCTTACGGTTGTTTTCGGCCGGTGTGAAGCCACCAATGCCAAGAGTTGAAGACCAAAACGTCTGCGTTTTTCCACAGCGAACCGCTCGAGATTGTGTCAAGTTTCATCACTCGCTTCGGTGCGGCTCCGACTATATCCACCAAAAACGCGTTTCTTGAGAACATGATCGTTGCATTGTAAGCCTGCATTGCATGCAATTATAAAACCAACCGGAACAAGAATCATTTTAAACCACATTTTAGAATATAATCCGAAATAATATCGATACCCTGAAGGAAAAAAAGAAAAATATTTTTATAGAAGTTTAGAACGTTACGGGCATGGAGAAGACGGAGAGGCCAGAAGGGGAACGAGTGAGGGTGAACTTAGCGTGTGGTGCGGCGTTGTGGAGCATACACGTTAGAGACTGCCATTGATTTAGACTCAGTGAATCTCCTACGAACATCAATCTCTTCCCTTTCATTGTTCTTTCAAGAAAATCTGAGCCATTGAATCTGCACCACACACCACCATACATATCGTTCATCAAAAAATATTTTTTGCTAAACTTTAAATTTCTACTATAGTTCATAAAAAGAAGAAAAAAACCTATTAACGACTTATTTTGTCATGATATAATTGGTTAACTAATTCATCTCTCTGATAGTTTTGGATTTATATATGTACCAGCTTCTTTTAATTACTTCTAAAACATTTACTGTCTTATTCATACCAAGAGCTCATCGTCATTAATTTATTACTAACAAATAAATGAAATAGAAGAGAGAGTTGAAATAACCTGCGGATATTGCAACCGGTGGGTTGCCAACGATACTTGAGGTAATCGGTGTCAGGACGACCATTGGCCTTGCAGTTAAACTGTCTCTCGACGAAAGGGCAAGACTTGGAATCATAGAGAGGGTAAAATTTGTCGTAGACCCAACTTCCTCTATAAATATTACAATACTTTCTGTTTGATGATGATGATGATGATGATGGTGATGGGGATGGTGATGGTGATGGTGAAGCATTTACAATAGCAGTCTCTAATTGGTTCAATACTACAAGCATCATAACCATGACTGCGACTACTCCGGTCGAAGCAGCACCTCTCATCATTGCTAAACTCACAGAGGTTGTCAATGTTTTGGGTTGTTGAGGAAGAAGAATTGTGTGATAGATTATTATTTTTTTTTTGTCTTAGTGGCTTTGGTTTTTATATATCAACATACGGTATGTATATATGTACATATATGTAAATGTGGACATTAAGATTTTGCTATTGAATTAGAGATTTTATTTTGTTTCCTATTTCGGTAATTGATATGTGAATTAATGGAATGTTATAATCTTCACTAAAGAGGAAAAGAGAAAACATCCTTTTTATGATCGATTTAGTCTTAGGGAGTGATATGTATTTGGAAGTTTAAGCTTTTTTTGTTGACATATTTGGAAATTATAGCTTCTTCAGTAACAGTATATGGAAGTTTTTATTTTTTCAACTATTGGAAGTTTATCTTCATGCATTTATTACTGTATATTTCATATAATTCGTGTTTAGAGATTTTCCTACACATTAAGAAAAACTTTTCAATCTCAATTAATTGTACCCTGAATTGAAAGTACAGCTTGTTGGATTGACGTTGGGTTCAAAACACTGAAAACTAATTCTGGAATTGCTTTGTCAAAAAATATTCTAGTTTACTACTTCTTCCGTTTCATAATAAGTGTCATTTTGACAAAATGAATCTAGACTATTTATTGATGTATTCGCATGTGTTTTGAGTCTTAATACATCTAAATACATTGGGTAAGTCAAGAGTCAAAACGACACTTATTATGAATCGGAGGAAATACTAAAAAATGTACCACAATATATATAGAAAAATAAAAAATAAATCAAATATTATATTGTTTGACGGAGAGGATCCAACAATTGTTTTGGGATTGGAAAAGATCCTTCCTCGGTTTTTACAAAGTTACGATGCAAATATTCTGGTTTGACCTTTTGTTTGTAACTAGGTGGAAGATGTTATCTCTTACCTACTGTGGGGATAGGCGAGGCTCTACAACCAGCAGGGTAACGGGCAGTAGGGAATCGGACAGCGTATGTGAGCTCACGACCAGGAGGAGCGGGAGACACGTTCAAACGGACACTTGGGACATCGCTTTCTGTGAAGGGAAAACCGTATTTATATGGGAGTGTACTTGTGAGTGTGGGGTCGACATGGTTCACAACACGAGCACATGGTTTGGTGGGGAGGAAACGGGAAGCCAAACCACAGAGACAAAACAAAGACTGATTAATAAGAGTACTTAGTTGGAATTGTCAAGGTCTGGGTAATCAATTTAAGATAAGCCATCTTCGAGAAATTTGGGGGAAATTTAAACCTGATTTTCTTTTTCTTTCTGAAACAAAACAAGGCTTTGATTTTGTTCAACAGTTTCAGTTTCATTTTGGCTATGATAGATTATTTACAGTGGAACCAGTTGGAGCGAGTGGGGGTTTGGCACTCTTCTATAAAAACATTTATGACGTTAGTATCGCTTATTCGAGTAAGCGGATTATTGACGTTGAAGCTAGACATGAAGATAAGGAGATTTTCATGTCTTTCGTCTATGGGGATCCAGTGGTAAAGCTGCGGGATCTTGTTTGGGAACGGATTACAAGGATTGGTACGACAAGGATAGACCCGTGCTTTCTGATAGGGGATTTTAATGAGATCACAGGAAATCATGAGAAACAAGGTGGAGCCTTACGCCAAGCCTCATCCTTTATCCCTTTTAACTTGATGATCAGTGATTGTGGTTTTGTGGATTTTCCAAGTCGTGGGAACACACTTTCTTGGAGGGGAAGAAGACGGGGGAAAATAGTTCGGTGTCGTCTGGATAGAGCGTTAGCAACGGAAGATTGGCATGATCTATTTCCGGTCTCCCATGTCGAGTATCTACCAATGATTGGTTCTGATCATAGACCAATATTGGCTACGCTGGATTCTAAGGTACCCAAAAGGCGAAAACAATTTCGGTTTGATAAACGATGGATTGGTCGGGAGGGACTACTCGAGTCTATTGACCAGGGATGGAATAACACTCGGGGTGGGATCGCGCCACGCCTTGTCGACAGGATTTCTAACTGCCGCCACGAAATTTCGGCCTGGAGAAAAGACAATCAACCATATGGACGAGAGAAGATAGCGGAACTGCAACGAGCACTGGAGGAGGTCCAGGAGGATGATAGCAGCACTCAAGAAGAACTGATCGATATAATTAACAAGTTGAAGGAAGCATATAGGGACGAGGAGGAATATTGGAAACAAAAAAGTAGAAATTTGTGGCTCAAAGACGGGGACCTGAATACTAAATTTTTCCATGTCTCAACAAAGCAGAGGAGGGCAGTCAACAGGATTGTTGGTTTACATAATGACGCCAATGTATGGGTAGCGGGGGAAAAAGATGTGGAAAAGGTAGCAGTCAGTTACTTTGATAAGCTATTTACGTCGATTTTACCGGGGGACTTCATAGGGGTGCTCGAACATATATCTCACCGGGTAACAGCACAAGAAAATGCAAGGTTGACTCGGCATGCGACGGAGTCGGAGGTGCGTGAAGCTTTATTCATGATGCATCCAGAGAAAGCGCCGGGTCCGGATGGCATGACGGCTTTATTTTTCCAACGGTCATGGCACATTATTAAAACTGATATCATTCAGTTGGTTAACGATTTTCTAACAAAGGGCCTTTTGGATGACCGACTGAATATAACTCATATTTGTCTAATTCCAAAGAAGGGAAGACCGAGCAGGATGACGGAACTACGACCGATAAGCTTATGTAATGTGGCCTATAAGATTATTTCTAAGGTTCTATGTCAGCGGCTCAAAGTGTTGTTACCTAGGTTAATTACGGAAACTCAGTCTGTGTTTGTACCGGGGCGGCAAATTTTGGACAACATTCTGATCGCTCAGGAGATGTTCCATGGACTCCGGACAAATAATCGTGCAAAGAAAAATATATGGCGGTTAAAACGGATATGAGCAAGGCCTATGATCGTGTAGAGTGGACTTTTATAGAGGCTCTAATGCGAAAAATGGGGTTTGCGGAACAGTGGATTTCATTGGTGATACTATGCATTACATCAGTTAAGTATAGGGTGCTACTCAATGGACAACCTAAAGGGATTATCACCCCTCATCGGGGGTTACGGCAAGGAGACCCACTCTCCCCTTATATTTTTATTCTCTGCACGGAGGTTTTGATTGCAAATATAAAAAAGCAGAGGAATTGAAAAGGATTACAGGACTTAAAGTGGCTAGGGCCAGTCCAGCTGTTTCTCATCTTCTTTTTGCGAATGATAGTCTATTCTTCTGTAGAGCAACTGGTGATGAAAGTCGGGTTTTACTCCAAATCCTAAAAGACTACGAAAATACATCTGGCCAACAGATAAATTTTGATAAATCATCGATCCAATTCGGACATACGGTGGAGGTAGAGGTACGGGCTGAGATACATCAGACCCTGGGGATCACTAATGAAGGTAGGGTCGGAAACTATCTCGGGATCCCGGAAAGCATTGGAGGCGCAAAGACAAAGATTTTCAGCTTTCTAATAGACCGCCAACAAAAACGAATCAACGGCTGGAACTCCAAGTGGCTGTCGAAAGGGGGCAAAGAGGTCCTTATTAAGTATGTGGTCTCGGCGATGCCTACGCATGTAACGGCATGCTTTCGTCTGCCCAAAGGAGTTACCAATAAGCTTTCTAGTGCGGTTTCAAATTTTTGGTGGAGTAGTAATGGACAAACACGCGGAATGCATTGGCTGGCCTGGAAAAAATTATGCAGGCACAAAAATGATGGGGGCTTGGTTTTTCGTGTTATTGAGGATTTCAACACGGCTTTACTTGCAAAACAACTCTGGAGGCTCATAGACTATCCTGATTCTTTGTTTGCAAGAGTTTTCAAAGGACGTTATTACCGGAACTCAACGCCTTTGGACCCCATTCGATCTTACTCGGCGTCTTATGGATGGCAGAGTATAGTATCGGCTAGACCTCTGGTACAAAAAGGACTTATTAAGAGAGTTGGTTCAGGAACATCTATCCTAGTTTGGGATGATCCATGGATTCCAGCTTCTCGCCCGAGGCCAGCCAAAGGAACTGGAATTAATTATTATCCCCACCTACGGGTGAGTGAACTGATTAATTCCAGTACAGCAACGTGGAATCTCCCACTATTACAACAATTATTTGACAGCACAGATGTTGCGAGGATTATCGGGATACCCACTTCACACGCCGCCCTCCCAGACTCCCTGGGTTGGTTTTTCACGAAGTCGGGTCGATATACGGTTAAATCGGGCTACACGGTCGCACAACAATTCTTGGAGGATGATACACCCAAATATTTTGGCCCAGATACACTGAGGCTTCAGGCACAGGTGTGGAAAATCGAATGTACTCAAAAACTTCAACATTTTCTATGGCAAGCTTTGACGGGATGTATAGCAGTCGGTGCGAGATTACGAAGTCGAGGTATGCAGATAGATCCCCTGTGCATGCGTTGTGGAATGGCACCGGAGACTGTCAATCACACATTATTTGAGTGTCCGTCGGCCCTACAAGTTTGGGCACTATCCCCGATCCCAACGGCACCGGACCACTTTCTAACAGGAGGACTATTTACAAATATAACTCAACTGTTCTGGCATTTGCCAAATGATGAGAGGATGAAGATGTACCCTTGGCTAATTTGGTATATTTGGAAAGCTCGAAATGACAAGGTTATGGCCAATGTAGTTTGGGACCCAATGAGATCATTACTAAAGCAGAAGTGGAATCTATAGCATGGGCAAAGGCGCAGGAACGCCAAGAGATGGCCCCCACATAGAACCAAGTGGAATCATTGGCGACAGGTGATATATGTCAGGTGGATGGTACTTGGAAGGAAACTGAGTGCAGAGCTGGTATTGGATGGTATTATTTTAATACCAACACTCATGAAAAACTACTGGGCACCTGTAATCTTAGGCGGGGGATATCACCACTCCAAACGGAGCTGGAAGCTCTCATTTGGGCTATGCAATGTATGATAAGGAATAACAAGTTAGTAACGGTTTTCCAGACGGACTGTTCCGATGTGGTGAAGATGGTGTCTAAACCAGAGGAGTGGCCGACGTTCTCACTACTACTTGACGAGGTTGTCAGATGCAAAGGGAGGTTCACCTCGTTTTCCATCCAGCATATACCAAGGACGAAAAACACGAAGGCAGACAAGTTAGCACGAAGTGCTCGAGCTCTACCTACTGATGTGTACTATGTAAACTCTGTTTCACCAGTTTGGATTCCCGAGCTGTTCTAGAGATAGAGGCTGTTGACAAAAAAAAAAAAAAATCAAATATTATATTAGAAAATAAATTTTAAATAATCGTGAAATTGATTATTTTATAATATAGTGATTGTCATAAACATTTCATATTTGTAACTTAATTAGCTTAGGTGAATCACTTACTATATGTAAGTGTAACTTCAATTATAAAAAGTTTAGGCAAATCGTCTATCGCTAAATATTCATAGTACCGATTACTGACCAAATAATTTGGACTTATACATCAACGTACTGTTCATTAGAGCCAAACTCAAACGATCAAACCTCCCATAGAGCATGAAGAGAGGACAATAAGCAAGAAAAGTGGTACAACATTAAATTTCAAGGCCATTGCTACTTCTCACTGAAAAACATAACTTTGTTTTAAATTAGTTTAGACTTTGTAATCACACCCTATCATCACCAGCTCATCAGCAATAGCCAAAAACCAATAAAATGTCGATACTCAAAAGTTAGTTAATACTTTACCACCACATATGAATTGAAATCCCCTTTAAACCCTTTCTATCCAGGAAAAAAAAACAATCTCACAAGAGGCAAGACCAAATTACTTATAGCATCTCGGGGGCTTTTAGCATTGCTCTAATGCCGGTTTAGCCTCTTGGACGTCATCTCCGTGACTAGTCTCTACTGTTGAGATGTTGCTGTTATGATCAACGGCTTGGGATCTATTAACAGTAGTTTGGCTTTGGATATAAGACCACTTGTCTTGAAAAAGATAGAAAAAGACGATACAAGAGACTTGTGCCGTGAAGAGTATGGTCGAAAGCTTTGCACTTCTTGATGTCTTTTGCGTGTAAGCGTTTAAGCCTGTGTATATATTTATTATTCCAAGAATAGCCACTGATGTGCCTAATATCCAGTGTCCTACAAACCATTTCATTCTAGCTTTTGCTCCCCTGCAATGAGGTATAAATCAATTAAAGATCCCTTTGTTCGTCATCATAACTTTGAATTGGGTCTAATTGATTTGCAGTTGTATATATTGTTCTTATATATAGAGATTAATACCTTAAATACCATATACTTGCATCATTAAAATGTGCAAAATCTAAAAACCCAAACACAGAAATACAAAAATAGTAATCATTGTTACTTTTAAGCAGTTAACCTGCATGTCTTAGTTTCGTCGCTAAAAATCTATCCGTGTAAGTTTGTTTTTTTACTGATATAGAAGAGTCAAAATTAATAGAAGTACCTTGAAGGTCGGAGGAAGCCAAGAAGAGCTTGGAACCATACAATGGCGTAAAGTCCAATTCCTAGCCGTTGGTGATGATTATTGAAGGAATTGTTGAAGTTTTTTATTGACATAATTGCCCCTATGGTCACAAGTATCACTGCAACCATCTGTTGAGAAATTAGTAACTTTGTTAATTTCTCTTTTAATCTTCCAAGTAAGCCATGAGCCGCCTGCTGATTACTAAGTACAATAGCTAAAACCGTAAAAGTGATTGTTGTTGATCAACAATAGTTCAAAGTTATATTAACAAAGAATTTTTTTTTTGTATTTTCTTAAAAATAATAGGTTTTCATAGTTCAGTATTAAAAAAGCAAAAACATAAAAGGAGAAAGAGCGAATTAAAGGTTAAGAAGATATTGACGCTTTTGCTTGTCATACAAGTCTTCATGATTATCAGTGTGATTAACAATCTAGAACAACTTAAAAAGGCCCTACTAATTACCAATTAAACTAAAATATTACAAAAAGTGGTTAATTGGATGCAATATTCATTTGCTTTACTCTCTATCCACCAATATGAATATTCAGTAAAGAGGCATCTTTGCTTTACTCTCTATCCACCAATATTCATTTTACACTCACACCGACTATTGAATTTCGTTTTCAACTCATGTCATATTTTCAACATTTTTATGATTTGCTTTGTTGAATTAGAATAAATGATATATATCAAAAACAAAATAAGAGAGCCAAAAAAGGGGAAACCTGCCTGAGAAGTGACATGAAGAAAGAAGAGTCGTCGACGAGTGATTAAAGGTTGGTCTTTGGTAGACATTAATCTGATGGAGATTATACCAATTGGCATTAAAACACCCATCGCTGCCCAAAGTGTAAAGCCATGCACTTTGATTTCGTACACAAGCTTTGGATTTAGTTTCTGGTTCAACAAGAAAAATTCCAAAAAATTGTTACATACAAATTAAGAGTTATTGATAATGTAATTATCAAGCACGCAGGTTATACATGAAATAAACAAACAAACAAAGTTATAGTGAAAATTTCTCATTTCTCAATTCTTAAATAATTCATGTGTAAGAAATTATTTATTCAGATGATTTAAAGGCTCTTCATGGTTTCATGTATAACCATATATATGGAATATATACAAAAAGAAAGAGAAAAAGAGTACAACGGTGCCCTTGACTTATCAAATGAAATGCTTGAGTTAAGATATGTCAAGAGATGATGTATTAAGTTTCAATACCAAAGGAAATGCTTGGAACTTGAACGTAAAGATTATGACTTATAAACTAGCTAAATCAATGAAAACAATGGCCAAGCTTTAGTTTTGAGGTTATCTAATTAGTTACGATGATAGAGAGCGAGAGAGAAGAACATGTTTACCTCGGAGATTGTATAAGTTTGAAGTCGACCATTGACATCAATAGCCAAGCTTCTGGTGTTTTCTTGGGAGGAGCATAGGGGAAGAAGAAGAAAAAGGAGATAGACTAACATGTGATGATGAATCTCCATGATTTCATGTGGTTTCAAGTGGAACAACAGATGCATAAATAATCCATTAGTAATCCATAATTTCTTATTTCATAGATATATAAGTATATGTGTGTGTGTGGTTGTATTATATGTGTGTGTGTATAGAAGGATGAAGATGTGAAACTTGATCCACTAGTTTTCTAGCTATAGAAGAAGAGAAAAGAAAAGTGGCGTTGTAGCTTTTAGAGTGTAAAGAAATGTAATAAAAACTTAAAGTGCTCACTTTGTTATATAAAATTGTTTTGCATGGAGGTCGATGGTTTATTTTTATTTTTTAGTTTAGAATGTGAATGGAGAAAAAGCAAGTGGAGGAATGGGCAATAATCTTTAAGTTACTCAATTGTTGTTATATCTACAGATTGGATTTATGATTTAAAGTGAACTTTTAAAAAAAAAGAATATAGTGTTAAGTGTAAAAGATATATATACGCATTCGTAACTAATTAGACATGAACAATGATGTTTTATCTATGAAAAAAAATGTCCAAATTTCTTGGTTGATTTTAAAAAGTCAAGAGGGCCGCACTATTTCTATAGCATTATTGATCGGGTTCTATTTGATAATTATTGATACTGAAAATTCCCTGGCTTATATTTGTCCAAAAGTGGAATTTTATTGGACTTTTATGTTTTGTGGAAGAATGTCAGAGAATTTGTAAGGGAAAAGTGAGTCATGGCAGGTTGCACTCAAAGACCACTATAACAATATGTTACTGTCAACAAACATCATGATTTCACTATGGATGGTACGTATTCAGGACCCCATGGATAAATATTTCCTTTTCAAACAGGAATCGTAAGAACATAACAAATATTGATATAAATGAAAAACTAATTAGGAAATTGATGATTATGACGAGTTATGTTAGAACTATTGTAAAACTTCTATAAAGTAATAATCTTGGGACGATAATATTTTATTACTTTAGCGATATTATTAATTTATCGAGAGATAATTAGACCAAAAACTTAAATCGGGACTTGAAAACTGTATTTATTTATCGAAGTATTACTTTATCGAGTATTACTTTATAGAGGTTATACTGTAATACAAAATAGGAAAATGATCATAAATGAAAGAATGCATGGTTGATGAAAATGCCATAGAAGTGAGAGACAAAATGAGAGAACTAGTACAAAAGGGATAAAATACGTACGCATACAAAGAAAAAGGACCACTTCACGTTTTGCAGCTCTGCCATTTCTCTTCTATTAACCCCAAAATTGCAGCTTGTCTTGGTTTACATGTCTACTACTCTTTTGTTTTTGATGCTTTCAATCCTTTTCTCCTCCCAATACTCTGTGTCTCGACCATGTCCGAATCAAATTTCACCGATAAGTGTCACTCTAATGCGATTATCAGCGATTACCATGTACAAACCAAGCTCTTTAATGTTCATTAGCCCATCCTCTAAAGCTCTGATTAAGCTCACTTCAATTAGCTTCTCTATCCTAACCTCACCTCCACATTTCTTGCTCTAATCATTAAAAGTCTTTCCATTGATACACATCATCATCATCATCATCATCATCTTTTTAAATGATAAAGTCGTACGTCTTATATTTTGTTTGTTCTTTTAGTTTACTTTCATATTAATCACTTCACTAGTAAAAACCAATTAATGAAATAGTAATAAACTTGAACCCTCCAAATGATCGATTTAAGAAAAGCTTATCCTCTTGTTTTATGGATTAGTCTCATCAAAGTGAACACATACACAACTAAAATGCTGATTGATCAACTTTTCGAGAAATGCAATAATGCATAATTTGAAAATAGCGTTTCTATTGTCCAAACCCTCCAATTCCTTTATTCGAAATGGTCTCAATGTGATGAACATAAATTAAAAACAGAATAAGACAGGAAAGAGATCTGCAAGAACCGGTTATTAGACGTGGAAGCTGGTCCACTTACGTACCGGCCGGTTAAGTTAATTTGATCGCGTTGAAAGAGTGAAGACAGATTCAACTGCAATTCCGCGAAACCAAACCTAACAGCAATTTCTGGAATCTCTTCTCCTTCTTCCACCTCGTCTTCTTCACCTCATTCCTTCAAAGAAAACCTCTAAAACCCTCCTCTCTCGATTTCATCGATCAAAGAACTTCCCGATCTCTCCGATCCCAAAACATGGCTTCCAACGGCGCTTCTCCGGTCTCTATTTTCTCTCTCGATCTGTGCTGCAATTTGTTCCAAATCTTTCCGCTGATTCTCTAATTCAACACTCTAAATTGACCCAATTTACCATTTCTTTTGTCAAACGAGCAGAAAAATGTTGATCCTACGGAGAACAGCTTAGATAAGATCAAGCGGCAACTGGCATCTGGCTCCGGTCGGAACTTGCTACAGGGACCTCTTTTCAAGCGGTCTGAAACTGTAAGTTCAATCAATTTCTCAATTAGTTTTGACGGGCTCTCTCCTATTTGAGTGAAATGATCAAAAGTCGCTTGCTTTATCGATTGGGTATTTTTAGTTAGCCGAAATAAAGTTCTCTGATTTCTCACTATTACACATAAGAAATTAAAAATCCTTTTGGTTTCTTTGGGGGCTTGCTTGATTATAGAGTTATATAGCTTAAGCATCCATTGCTTTGAGAAGTCTTGTGGCCCTGAAATGTCTTGATACCATATGTTGTCTCTGTTTATTTATGAATTAGCTGAGAAAATGGAACGAAAGATGGGTGATACTTGATCCAACAACAGGGAAAATGGAGTACAAGTGAGTGATATCATTTGCTTATGTAGCTGCATTTTGTTTTGGAGATCATCATTTCATTGGTAAATGTTTAATTTCTGATGTAATTTCCATGACTCAGGACAAGACGAAACGAACCAACGATCAAGGGAACAATTCTGTTTGACGATAACAGCACAATCTCCATCTCTCCTGTCAACTTCCAGTATGGATGCTACATTGTTATTATTTTTTTGTTCTGACTAATCAGCCTTATTAGGTATATCTATTCGTAATCTTGAATTCTTTGCTATTGTGTTTCAGGGGGCTTCCGAAATATAATGGTTGCTGTATCTGTATCCTTGTTCTAGTAGATTTTTGTCACAGAAATGTTTCTCTTTTTTGTCTAAAACGAGATGGTTGATTTGGAATCTAGAGTTGAGTTTTTCTTCAACATGATTTTAGATATTGGTACCCCACAGAAGAAAGATTACTTTTTGTGTGCAGAGACTCCTGCTGCAGCTAGAGCTTGGGTTGCAACTTTACAGTAAGTCATCTGGTTCTTCATCTTTTGTCTCTAAGAGATATGCCACTAAACTTATTTCATCTTATCTTGTTGGCAATTGGAATATTTCAGTGCGACACAGCTGGTTCTAAAGGCACATAAAGAAGCTGTTGATTCTCTAAGCGGAAGTGGTTCTTCAACACTTGGTACGGTTGCAACCGTTGTTGCCGCTGCCAATTCAACAGCATTGGAAAGTTCCAAAGAGATTCAAGCAGCAATGCAGGTCTCTCTGAGGAATGCATTGAAAATTACAGCAAATAAACCGGTCGATGAACCACTAGATGACTTGACGATAATGAAGGTTGGCTTATTTTTGCATCTCTCTTTCACTTCAGACATCCATTAGGCTGTTGAGATCCTGCAATGTTTTGTTGAGTGAAGTAAAGCATGTAGAGACATCTTACAGAAAATTAGCATAAAGCATATCGTCCATCTTTATTCTATTTTCTTTCTAGGTTAGCGTTATTGAGCCACTTACGTTTTACAGGAAACTCTGCGTGTCAAAGATGACGAACTACGGAATCTGGCGCGAGAACTTCGTTCTCGTGACTCAACGATAAAGGAGATAGCAGATAAGCTAACTGAGACGGCTGAAGCAGCTGTAGCTGCAGCATCTGCAGCTCATACAATGGACGAACAAAGGAAAATCGTTTGTTTGGAATTTGAGCGCTTATCTAAAGACACAGAGAGACAGCAAGAAGCGGCTATATCGAAGGTAATGAGAAGACTCATACATATGCATCTTAATTTATATTTATTGATCTCTTTATCTCCCATGTAGCTTAAGGAATTGGATGAGAAGACATCTACTTTGAGTAAGGAAAAAGATCAGCTGGTGAAGGAAAGAGACTCTGCTCTTCAAGAGGCGCATATGTGGCGATCTGAGCTTGCAAAAGCCAGAGAGCGTGCCGTGATACTTGAAGGAGCTGTTGTGCGAGCCGAAGAGAAAGCGAGGGTTGCAGAAGCAAGTGGTGAAGCAAAAGCAAAGGAAGCTTCTCAGAGAGAGGCAACTGCTTGGACAGAGAAGCAAGAGCTTTTAGCTTATGTGAATATGTTACAATCCCAGCTTCAAAGGTAATCTATTTCCCAAGGCAACTTTATCTTATTGAGAAGTGTCATAAATCTGTTTTATGTTTTGAATAAACAGGCAGCAACTAGAGACGAAGCAAGTGTTTGAAGAGAAGACAGAATCGACTAACGGCGACACATCTCTTCCAATGACAAAAGAAACAGAAAAGGATGTGGATAAAGCATGCCTGAGCGTTTCAAGGACAGCCTCTGTTCCGGGAGAGAATGTAGTCCATATGAGTGAAGATCAGGTGGTAAATGCTCAGCCTCCGGTGGGAGAGAACGAATGGAATGATATTCAGGCAACAGAGGCAAGAGTTTCTGATGTAAGAGAAATACCAACAGAGACTGAACGGGACAGAAGTAACAGCTTGGATATCACGATAGTAACTCCTGATGAATCTAATGTTCCACGCAATGATCTGCCTCCAGAATCTTTCCATCATCAGCCTTGATGAATGATTGGTAGAGAGATCTTTCGTACATTATCTATATAATCTTGATGTTTCCGTATAATGTTTGAAGAGTTGATTGTTCTAACAACAAGAAAAAGAGTTGCCTTACTGGTTTTCTTGTGCCTGAAGAGTTGTCTTATGTATCAGCAACTCCTGAGTTTCTGTCTGACTAGGGAAGAATTCTTTATTTCCCCTCTTTTACAAACATGAATGATAAAGAGATGTGATGTTTTGGATTCATTTGCAATTTAAATTTTATAATTTTGAGATCACAATTCTACTTCTTCTTTTTTAACATATATACTTTATTTTTTGTTTTTACGATTTCCTTCCTTATTTTTATTGAGATAATATTTTTCCTTGTTTCTCAAGTCATATCGGACCCTTCTAGGTGGATTGAAACCCTAGATTCAGAGCCCTATTTATATCGCTTTTGTTCCTCTTTCATTATTCAGCAGCTTTGAAAGAGAATTTTCTCAAAACCCTACTATACTTTGTTCCTTCGCCATGGCTCCGACAGACGCAGAGAGACTCACGCATCTCCAAGAACAGATCCAGCAGTTGGCGTCGGCTGTGCAAGCTATCGCCCTCAAGCAGAACGAATACATCAATGTCCAGCAAGAAGAAAAATCCGACAGTGATGAACAAGATAGTCCACTGGCAGAACATACCGAAAACACTATCATTGAACTTCTACCGGAATATCATGGCGGACAATCGGCCGAGGAGCTCCTCGATTGGATCGCCACGGTGGAAGAGACCCTTGAGTGCAAACGCGTATCTTTGGAGCGATGCGTTCCCATGATCACCGTGCGATTCCGTGGCGCAGCAGCAGCTTGGTGGGCGCAAGAAAAGGTGTCTCGCGAACGTTCAGGAAAACCTAGAATCTTGTCGTGGGATAAGTTGAAGAAGAAGATGCGTAAGAGCTTCTTGCCATTCAACTACGACCAAGGGATGTTCCAACGCTTTAACAACTTGAAACAAGGATGCCTATCAACGGTAGACGAGTACGCGACCGAGTTTTCTTCGCTTTTGAGGCGTGTCGATCTTCAGGAATCAGACCAACAAATCGCGGCGCGCTTCGTCGGGGGATTGAGGAGACAGAAGATCAGGTACACTCTTAGTTTGTTGAACCCTCTCACACTTGCTGAAGCACATCAAAAGGCCCTCATCGTGGAAGCTCATATGAAGGCGAATGTTGGGAGGGAACGAGCAAAGGATTTCGTGTTTTTGTGGTGTGCCTTTGGCTTCTCATTGACTGTGACCTTAGGTTGCTTCATTGGTTATAATTGTTGTCGGAGTGAATCAAAATAAGGTCAAGAACAATTTCTGACAGAAGAAAGCAGAGCTTTTTGACATTGTGGTGATGTTTGACGAGCTTTTGTGTTAGTGTGTTACAAGTATTTCATTTTAATATACTTTTGATATTAATTTACTTTAGCTTCATTTTAGGTGGATTTGGAGTCACTTCTAGCTTTTTGTTTCTTTCCATTGTTCAGCACCTTGTTTTTTTGTTTTTCACAAAAAATGTCACAAATCGTTAATTAGAGCCACCATCAAGCCAATGCTATACTTGTCCTCACTCTTCAATTGTCTTCCCAATAAGGTCAAGTGTTAATGATCACATCATACAAATCTTGCTCAATCCACAAATACATCATTCATGTTAGTTATTTTCTCATGACTCTGCAACATAGAAATCTCCGAGAATTTTCAACCATATCTTCCATGCTACCCCATTGGTCAATCAAATTCAGTAATATAAATTCTTGGTCTTTATATTTTCATAAATCTGTTATTAGCACTAACGGCGTGCGATACATCTCTTCCAGTGACAAAAGAAACAGTAAAGGATATGTGGATAAAGCATGTATGTGCATGTCAAGAACATCCTCTATACCGGGAGAGAATTAATGTAGTACATATGAGTGAAGATCGATCAGGTCGTAAACGATCAGCGCCTCCGGTTGGAGAGAGCGAATGGAATGATGTTCAGGCAACAGAGGCATGAGTTTATTTTATATACTCTTTATGTTTCCGTAAGATGTTTGAAGAGTTGATTATTCTAAGAACAACAACAACAGCAAAAAAAGAGTTGCATTTTGGTTTTCTTGTGCCTCAAGAGTTTGTCTATATATGTAACAGAGTGTCTGTCTGACTAGGGAAGGATTATTTTTCTCTCATTTATAACCAACATGAATAACAAAGAGATCTGTTTTTATTTTGGATTTTTCATATCTTATTATATAAATTGGATGCGCGCGGGTTACGAAAACGCTATCATTGAACTTGTTCCGGAGTTTCACGGCGGAGAATCGGCCGAGAAACTCCTCGACTGGATCGCCACGGTCGAAGAGACCCTTGAGTGCAAACGCGTATCTTTTGAGCGATGCGTTCCCATGATCACCGTGCGATTCCGTGGCGCAGCAGCAGCTTGGTGGGCGAAAGAAAAGGTGGCTCGCGCACGTTTGGGAAAACCTAGAATCTTGTCGTGGGATAAGTTGAAGAAGAAGATGCGCAAGAGCTTCTTGCCATTCAACTACGACCAAGTCATGTTCCAACGCTTTCACAACTTGAAACAAGGAAGCCGATCAGTAGGAGAGTACGCGACCAAGTTTTCTTCGCTTTTGAGGCGTGTTGATCTTCAGGAATCGGAACAACAAATTGCGGCGCGTTTCGTCGGCGGTTTGAGGAGCCAGGAGGTGAGATACAATCTTAACTTGTTGAACCCTCTCACTCTTGCTGAAGCAAAACAAAAGGCCCTCATCGTGGACAATCGAATCAAGCGAAAACTTGAGAGGAAATTCTGGATTGTGTGGTGCTGCTTGATGTTGTGGTTGTGTCTGGAGAGCTTCGGTGTTAAAGTGTCTGGAATATTTCCTTGAATTTACTTTAGCTTCGTTTTAGGTCGATTTGGAGCTCACTTCTAGCTTTTTGTTTCTTTCAATCATGAGCTTTGTTTTATTGTTTTTTTCTTTATCAAAAACGTTCTCTTTGAATCAGATAGAGTTCATCATCTATTCATGACTCATTCGATCATCATCTAAGCACCACTCGTGTGGTAGCTAAAAGACAGAGTTCTGTTTTTTATTTATTTATTAAAACCATAAGACATTGACCCGAAAACAGACACCTTCACTATAACACAAAAGGCTCACACGCAAACCCAAAAATCAACATCACACAATAAAACAAACCCATGTATATCTCAAATTTTTTAAACCGGTAATGCATACGTACTTCTCAGAAACTTCCTTCCACGCACTGAAGGTGGCACATGCGTCCTATCTTTGATCACATAAGCCTTCCCGATAACACCAAGTGATCTAAATCAGATAGACTCACAAAATCTCCAGCCAAGTGCTCGTTCTTTGAGAGCTGTGTATCCATAGACATCAAGCACTTCTTCGCTCTCTTTTATAACTTTCTCATCAGCCGGAGAACCCATGGGCGGTTCAAACATAATCTTCAGCGTTAGAGCCAATAGTTTGCGTGGTAGCTTGTTGCGTCCACGTCAAGCCATTGCTCTACTTGTCCTCTCTCTCTCTCTCTCTCTCTTCAATTTTCTTCCCCCAACAAGTCTGCCTCCTCCTTTCATGAGATTGACGTTGACAGTGTCCAACTCTACTCCCTCCTCCACCAAAGTCACCACAGTTTTCTTGGAATAAGCGAATAAAGGCCGCATAGATCGTTATCACCATTTTTTTTTTCTTTCTTTCTTTTTCTTCTCTATCAGTTCCAATCTCATTGTAGCAGGACGCCATTTTATGTCTGTGCAACAGAAAAGGATGTGGATAAAGCATGTCTGTTCATTTCAAGAACATCTCTATACGGGGAGAGAATGTAGTCCATATGAGTGAAGATCAGGTCGTAAATGCTCAGCCTCTGGTTGGAGAGAACGAATGGAATAATATTCAGGCAACAGAGGCATGAGTTTATTTATATTCTCTTGATGTTTCCGTAAGATGTTTGAAGAGTTTATTGTTCTAACAACAACAACAGCAGCAAAAAAAGAGTTGCATTTTGGTTTTCTTGTGCCTCAAGAGATAATACTTTACTATTATTGTAGATAATGTGTTTCCTTGTTTCTCAAGTCTTATCGGATCCTTCTAGGTCGATTGAAACCCTAGATTTAGAGCCCTGTTTTGTTGGTACATATCCGTTTGTTGTACCAAAAAATAAAGGAATCTCACTCAAGTACAAACGAAATTCAACAAAAAAGTGAAAAAGAAAAACCAAGACAAAAGGAAAAGAAGTAAAAGGGAAACCAAGCAACAAAAGGATTAGCAAAAAGGATATCACGAAACAAAGGCAAACAAGGAGAAAGGAAACTGTAACAAAAAGAATAAGCAAATTTCTATCTTGTTTAGAATCACAAGTCTATAAATAGAGGTCTAGGCTTAAGGTTTACTATATCGCAAACATCATCATATAGCTTTTGTTTCTCTTTCGTTATTTCAGCAGCTTTTTTCTCAAAACCCTATTGTACGGTGTTCCTTCGCCATGGCTCCGACAGATGCAGAGACACTCACGCAGCTCCGAGAACAGATCCAACAGTTGGCTGCGGCTGTGCAAGCCATCGCCCTCAAGCAGGAAGAATACATCAATGTCCAGCAACAAGAAAAATACGACAGCGAACAAGACAGTTCGTTTGAAGAAGATGCCGAAAACGCTATCACTGAGCTTGTTCCGGAGTTTCACGGCGGAGAATCGGCCGAGAAACTCCTCGACTGGATCGCCACGGTCGAAGAGACCCTTGAGTGCAAACGCATATCCTTTGAGCGATGCGTTCCCATGATCACCGTGCGATTCCGTGGCTCAGCAGCAGCTTGGTGGGCGAAAGAAACGGCGTCTCGGGAACGTTTGGGAAAACCTAGAATCTTGTCGTGGGATAAGTTGAAGAAGAAGATGCGTAAAAGCTTCTTGCCAGTCAACTACGACCACGTGGTGTACCAACGCTTTGACAACTTGAAACAAGGAAGTCTATCAACAGTAGAAGAGTACGCGACCGAGTTTTCATCGCTTTTGAGGCGTGTTGATCTTCAGGAATCGGACCAACAAATCGTGGCGCGTTTCGTCGGCGGTTTGTGGATGGGGAAGATGAGATACACTCTTAGGTTGTTGAACCCTCTCACTCTTGCTGAAGCAAAACAAAAGGCCCTCATCGTCGACGATCGCGTTAAGGGAAATCTTACGTGGGATGTCATTGCAGCACTAGTCAACCTTTTTTTAATTTTTTTAATTTTCTATAAATAGTAATTTACTTTAGCTTCATGTAGGTCGCTTTGGAGCTGACTTCTAGCTTTTTGTTTCTTTCATTCATCAGCTTTGTTTTATTGTTTTTTCTTTCTCAAAAACGTTCTCTTTAAATCAGATAGAGCCAAGTATGCTTTCTTTCTCAAAAACGTTCTCTTTGAATTAGATAAACTTCAAGCACTTCTCCAAGCTTCTTTTCTCAAAAATATTCAACCATATCATCCACGTCTCCCATTGGTCAATTTCAGTAATATAAATTCGTATTATTTATTTTCATAAATCCTTTATTGTATATATACTGCTAGTGTCATGCATGCAAATAATGAAAAAAGGTAAATCATCATCACTATTCATAACTCATTCGATCATCATCTAAGCATTACTCGTGTGGTAGCTAAAGAGACATAGTTCTGTTTTTGTATCTATTTATTAAAACCAAAAGACATTGACCCGAAAACAGACACCTTCACTAATAACACAAAAGGCTCACACGCAAACCCAAAAATCAACATCACACAAATACACAATAAAACAAACCCATGCATATCTCAAATATTTTAAACCGGTAATGCATACTTCTAAGAAACTTCCTTCCACGCAGTGAAGGTGTCACATGCGTCCACATAAGCCTTCCCGATAACACCAAGTGAGCTAAATATCAGATAGACTCACAAAATCTCCAGCGAAGTGCTCGTTCTTTGATAGCTGTGTATCCATAGACATCAAGCACTTCTTCGCTCTCTCTTATCAGCCGGAGAACCGAGGAGCGGTGCAAATACAATGTTTAGTGTTAGAGCCAGTAGTGGTGCGTGGTAGCTTGTTGCGTCCACGTCAAGCCATTGCTCTACTTGTCCTCTCTCTCTCTTCAATTGTCTTCCCCAACAAGTCTACCTCTGCTCTTCTTTCATAAGACCGACGTTGACAGTCTCCAACTCTACTCCCTGCTCCACCAAAGTCACCACACTTTTGTTGGAAGAAGCGAATTAAGGCGCATAGATCGTCAACACCATTTTCACTTCTTCTTTTTCTCTATCTCTCTATCAGTTTCAATCTCAAGGTAGCAGGAAGCCATTTTATGTCTGTGCAACAGAAAAGGATGTGGATAAAGCATGTCTGTGCATTTCAAGAACATCTCTATACCGGGAGAGAACTAATGGAATGATATTCATGCAACAGAGGCTAGAGTTTATTTATACTCTCTTGATGTTTCCGATTAATGTTTGAAGAGTTGATTGTTCTAACAACAACCACCAAAAAGAGTTGCATTTTGGTTTTGTTGTGCTTCAAGAGTTTGTCTATATATGTAGCAAACTCTGACTCCTGATTGTCGTGTGACTAGGGAAGAATTCTTTTTCTCTCCTTTATTACAAACATCAATGACAAAGATATTTTTTTTTTTTTTTGATTCATATAATCCCATTTTTCATATATATAAGTATGCATTTTTTACTTAACTTTTTGTTCTTACGATTTCCTTATTTTTATTCAGAATACTTAATATTATTGTAGATAATGTGTTTCCTTGTTTCTCACGTCTCATCGGATCCTTCTAGATACCCTAGATTTAGAGCCCTATTTTGTTGGAAAAAAAAAAGAATCTCACCCAAGTACAAACGAAATTCAACAAAAGTGAAAATGGAAAATCAAGACAAAGGAAAAGAAGCAAAAGGCAAATCAAACAACAAAAGGATATCACGAAACAAAGGCAAACAAGGAGAAAGGAAATTGTAAGAACAAGAATAAGCAAATTTCTATCTTGTTTAGAATCACAAGTCTATAAATAGAGGTCTAGGCGTAAGGTTTACTGCATCGCAAACATCATATAGCTTTTGTTTCTCTTTCGTTATTTCAGCAGCTTTTTTTCTCAAAACCCTATTGTACGGTGTTCCTTCGCCATGGCTCCGACAGATGCAGAGACACTCACGCAGCTCCAAGAACAGATCCGTTTTCTGTACCAAAAAAAATTAAAAAAAGAATCTCACCCAAGTACAAACGAAATTCAACAAAAGTGAAAAAGAAAAATCAAGACAAAGGAAAAGAAGCAAAAGGGAAATCAAGCAACAAAGGATATCACGAAACAAAGGCAAACAAGGAGAAAGGAAATTGCAACAAAAAGAATAAGCAAATTTCTATCTTGTTTAGAATCACAAGTCTATAAATAGAGGTCTATGCTTTAGGTTTACTGCATCGCAAACATCATATAGCTTTTGTTTCTCTTTCGTTATTCAGCAGCTTTTTTTCTCAAAACCCTATTGTACGGTGTTCCTTCGCCATGGCTCGGACAGATGCAGAGACACTCACGCAGCTCCGAGAACAGATCCAGCAGTTGACGGCGGCTGTGCAAGCCATCGCCCTCAAGCAGGAAGAATACATCAATGTCCAGCAACAAGAAAAATACGACAGCGAACAAGACAATCCATTGGAAGAACATGCCGAAAACGATATCATTGAACTAGTTCCGGAGTTTCACGGCGGAGAATCGGCCGAGAAACTCCTCGACTGGATCGCCACGGTCGAAGAGACCCTTGAGTGCAAACGCGTATCCTTTGAGCGATGCGTTTCCATGATAACCGTGCGATTCCGTGGCTCAGCAGCAGCTTGGTGGGCGAAAGAAACGGCGTCTCGGGAACGTTTGGGAAAACCTAGAATCTTGTCGTGGGATAAGTTGAAGAAGAAGATGCGTAAGAGCTTCTTGCCAGTCAACTACGACCATGTGGTGTACCAACGCTTTGACAACTTGAAACAAGGATGGCTATCACCAGTAGAAGAGTAGGCGACAGAGTTTACTTCGCTTTTGAGGCGTGTTGATCTTCAGGAATCGGAACAACAAATCGTGGCGCGCTTCGTCGGCGGTTTGAAGATAGGGAAGATGAGATACACTCTTAGGTTGTTGAACCCTCTCACTCTTGCTGAAGCAAAACAAAAAGCCATCATCATGGACGATCGAGCCAAGGGAAAACTTACGTGGGATGTCATTGCAGCACTAGTCAACCTTTTTTTAATTTTTTTAATTTTCTATAAATAGTAATTTACTTTAGCTTCATGTAGGTCGCTTTGGAGCTGACTTCTAGGTTTTTGTTTCTTTCATTCATTCATCAGCTTTGTTTTATTGTTTTTTTTCTTTCTCAAAAACGTTCTCTTTGAATCAGATAGACTCACTAAAATCTCCAGCCAAGTACCCATTCTTTGAAAGCTATGATTCAGCTATACTTGTCCACAATCTTTGATTGTCTTGCTCAATAAGGTCAAGCCCTGATGATCACATCATACACATCTTGCACAATCCACAAATACATCATTCATGATTGCACGCTAAACCAATGACTCACACAACAATCTCCTTTAACAATTCCACCAGAAACTCTGTTAATTATATCTTCTCCGTTTGGTCAATCAAACAAATTTTGAAACTGTGAATATTAAAGCAGTGAGAAAACTTGATTAATTCCATTGGAAAAAAAAAGAGTATTCAAAGTGAATATGCAATTCCATCATACACGCCCGTATTTTATGGTCCAACTTGTTTTAACAATTTTTCGATTTTTGCTATCCATTGTATACATGCAAATACATCAACACATGATCACCTAGTGCGTACAGCCAAATTTTATCTTAATAAACGAGCACTTCGATCATTCCAAGTGCTACAAAAATTTTGTTAGAAAGTGAAATTAAGACTAAAGCCAATAGGAAAAAAATAGATAATCAAGTTCCTCTAATTGAAAAGCCTTGCAAAAAGTTTCGAAATACAGAGGAGACAAAAACACATAGATAAGATTAAGAAGGAGGCATATAGTTCCACTTTTTTATTAAACCTCGCTTGAAAACACACCACATGACTCACTCAAGAACCCAAACAACCAACAACAAGAACAAGAACAAGAACAAGAACCATCATGTCTTAACCAGGGAACGAATACTTCTCAAGAACCTCCTTCCACGCAGGACGGCTGCTAATATCATCCCACCACGCGCTCACATGCTTCCTGTCTTTGATCAGATGAGGCTTCCCGATCGGACCAACCAAGTAGTCAGTGAACGGGAGGTGAGCCAGATCAGCCAAGCTCACAAAGTCACCAGCCAAGTACTTGCTCTTTGCCAAATGCGCCTCGTACACGTCAAGAACCCCCGCGAGCTTCTCCTCGCTCTCCTTGATCAGGTTCTGGTCAGCTGGGAATCCCATGACCGACGAGAACATCACGTGAAGTGTCAGGTTGAGTAGCGGTGGGTGGAAACTGGTCGCTTCCACGTCGAGCCATTGCTCAACTTGTCCTCTCTCTTCCACGGTCTTCCCCAAAAGCTCGGGTCCTTGTGACCTGTACTTCTCCGCTACGTACCTCATCACCGCACGCGACTCTGTTCAAACAATTCCAAAAAAAATGAATTGAGTTAACCGGAATCAATTTGAACTAAACCGATCTGTGATGAATTAACCAAGCATAACCATAGAAAAGAAAATTGAATTAAGCAGTTGAGATAACTTCAGTCGAGCTTATTATTGCGATTTTGACATCAAACAGAGCTCGGATCCATCAAACAGAGTTCGTTTTATAGTTGAATAAGTTGTGGATCGAACGAATATTGAGGATCGTACCGAAGATTTTGTAGTCTCCGTCGACAACAGCAGGAACGGTACCGAAAGGCTGCGTCGGAAAAAAAAATTAAAGGCATCATCAGAAAAAAGCTGGGAAAAAAAAAGAGAGAGAGAGAGCGAAATCAGAGACGATCAAGGAAGAAGGAGAGAAGAAAGGGAACCTGTAAGGCGAGATAAGCAGGCTGCTTGTGCTCTCCTTTGAGGAGATCGACGGGGACGGTCTCGAAGGGGACGCCCTTCTCGATAAGCGTTACGAGAGCTCGCTTCGGTGAAGCGAAGTGAGGTCCGTACACCTTTAGCACCATTTTTGCTTTCTCTTTCTCTTTCTTTTTCTCTCTCTCTAGCTTACACAGTCACAGGTGGATTGTTAAGTGAATATTTCGCAGTGTCACTGACGCCATTTTATAGAAAGAGAAATCGCGACTCGTGTCGACACGTGACGTTGCGTTTCCGTTGTGTTTCAGTGACAAGATTATAGAAAAAAAAATAAAGAAAGCTCAATCGGTCAAATAAAATTGGATTATTCTCAATCTTTTTTTCTCCGCCACCGGGAAGATTATTCTCAATCCAAAACACCCTTCAACACGAGGCATTAGTATTAGTATTTTTCCTTCTTTTCTTACCATCAATATAACTTCTTTTTATAAATATGTTTTTTGGTTTCAATATCTATAACATAATGCATGAATTCTAATCTTAATCTGAATATTATTTCTTTTTTTTTTTTAACAGAAAATGAACATTGTCAATTTGTCACCATCTTATAGATACATTACTGTCACTCCTATCTTATGTGATGAATTACATGTGTCTAATCGTCTATATGGATGGAGTTGATTGGCCCGGACGTCAATATCTTCTATGTCACCATAACCCATTTGTGTAAGAGCATATAATATTTGGTCTAGAAAAAATCTTAAAAATATTCCTCCCTCTTATTAAATTAGAAACATACTTTATTGCATAAAAGTCGAATAATGCGGATCTACTTGGTATATACTATAGGAGAAAACTTATTCTTCTGTTTAAACTTGGTAGTTTTTTTTTTTCTTTCTCAGTATCATCATTTTCAACAAAAAATTGAAAACTCAAACCTGTCAATTGTGTAGAAAAGAACCAGTTGTATAAGTCGTTTGAGAAAAAGAACTTAGTAGTTGTGTAGTTTGGTAATTGTGCTTTGTTAATAAATTAAAAGGAAGAAAGACATAGAGAAGGAAACAAGGATGGGTGGTCTGAAGTAGGTAGGTGAAGCCAAATTAAAACGTGAGAGAATGAGCACAACCGTTTATTGAACCATTGAACCACATGCCTCAATTTGTATCTTTTGGTAGGTGTGAGTCACTTGGCTTACCGTTTGTAAGATCGTTTCTTTTTGGAAAGGGATCAAATAAATACTAAGTACATGCTTAAATCTTAATCCTCCATATGAATCTAATGATCTACGTACATTTTCTCTTCACATTTGCACCCAAAAAAAAATAAATAAATAATAATAATAATAATAAAAGTTTTGTTAATTATAGTTTTTTGTTCTTGGTTTGTTTTATCTCATCTCGTTGAACTTAAGACTAGATAATAAAAAAACTATGAATTTGATAACTAGAGATACAAAAATAGTGTACCGACTAACATATTAAGATCTCTTTTAATATCGTTAGTCACCATCTCATCCACTCATTAGTCAATTTTACAATTCAACCCGAAGACTCTCAGTCAATACTCAATACTTCAATCGTCAATACAGACACGTTGACGACCTACTTTAATATTCATAATTAAATATTATATTAAATATTGTGCACTAACTAAACATCGTGGGGATGTAGCTCAGATGGTAGAGCGCTCGCTTAGCATGCGAGAGGTACGGGGATCGATACCCCGCATCTCCAGTTTATTTTTAATCGTCTTATTTCAACAAGACCACTAGATTTTTGCATGTTTAACAAAAGAACCCATTAGTTTGAAAATTGCTTTTCTAACCCTCTCTATCAAAAGGGGATGTAGCTCAGATGGTAGAGCGCTCGCTTAGCATGCGAGAGGTACGGGGATCGATACCCCGCATCTCCATTTTACATTTTCCTTTATTATTTTTTGTTTTTGTTTTTATTTAATTCAGATTCTTGCTTGACAAGTGACAAGTGTTCACTCAAAGGTATGAGGTATCGCTCAAGTTTCTTGAGAAGTCGAGAAGATTAAAGTGGGAACTCTGTTAATCAAAAGCAAAACTGACCTAAGCTGGTCAATTTAGTATTTAACCGCCGGGCGGTTCGGATATAAACAGCTGCCATTTTCAAACTCCCTTATCTTCCGACAGCGACAGGCAACAAGCTAAGAGACACACGATTACACAAGTAGACAACAAGCTAATAACTGTTTTTCAGTCAAATTAATATTTTTGATTTTTAGTCGGCCACCTACTTTTACAGAAGAAAAACAAGAAAGTCTTCTTGATATCTTTGTTCTGTTTCTGCAAACTCACAGAGAAAGAAGGAAGACGACGAAGAAGAAGATGGAAGCCAAATATGATCGTGCCAGTGAGGTCAAAGCTTTCGACGAGATGAAGATCGGAGTTAAGGGTCTCGTCGACGCCGGAATCTCACAAATCCCGCGTATCTTCCATCATCATCTCAATTCAACCGACTCAAATCCACCTCTTTCCTCGACGACGATGATCATCCCAACAATCGATCTCCAAGGAGGCAAGCTCGAGTCCACGGCCACACGAGAGAGCGTGATCGCGGAGATCAGAGACGCCGTCGAGAAATTCGGGTTTTTTCAGGCGATTAACCATGGAATCCCGATTGATGTGATGGAGAAGATGAAAGATGGGGTTCGTAACTTTCATGAGCAAGACGCAGAAGTGAGGAAGAAGTTCTACAGTCGCGATAACACCAAAAAGTTTACTTACAACAGCAACTTCGATCTCTACAGCTCTAAATCTGCGAATTGGAGAGATTCCTTAAGTTGTTTTATAGCTCCTGATGTTCCCAAAACAGAGGACTTGCCAGAGATTTGTGGGTACGAAATATACTAATTTAGTTTTCCTCGTCAATCTTTGCTTTCCTGTTTTTGATTAAAGGGTTTTGATTTTAGGGAAGTCATGTTGGAGTATTCGAAGCAAGTGATAAAATTAGGGGAAATAGTCTTTGAGCTTTTATCAGAAGCTTTAGGGCTTGATCCTAATCACCTTAAAGAAATGGATTGCACGAAAGGTTTATTGATGCTCTGTCATTACTACCCGCCTTGTCCTGAGCCTGATCGAACTTTCGGCGGAAGTCCGCATTCAGACAGATCTTTCCTCACTATTCTTCTTCAAGATCACATTGGTGGGCTTCAAGTTTTTCAGGATGGTTATTGGGTTGATGTTCCTCCTGTTCCTGGAGCTCTTCTCATTAACCTCGGAGATCTCTTACAGGCAAGTTGTTATTAACTTATTGTGACCTGAATCAAACCATACTCATTTTTGGTTTCTACGTACAGATTATAACGAACGACAAGTTTGTAAGTGTGGAGCATAGAGTTTTGGCTAATAGAGGGGAAGAGCCGCGTATTTCGGTAGCGTCGTTCTTTGTGCATCCTTTACCGAGTTTGCGAGTGTATGGACCGATAGAAGAGCTTTTGTCTGAACAAAACCCTCCCAAGTATAGAGACACGACCGTGACGGAGTATTCAAACCATTACATGGCGAGAGGACTCGATGGGAAGTCCGTGTTGCTTCAGTTCAAGATCTGACAGTGACAAGAAAGATCCGGGCTTTACCAATATATCACAAGTCTTCTAGGGTTTTCAATTAATTGTTCCGCACGTAATGAAATATAGCTTTTTGCACACTCAAAATAAATGTACAGTACCATGATGTGTTCCTTTAGCTACCCGCTTCGGCTATAATCCAAACAATTGTTGCATGTGTATCCCCATTAGTCCTTAGATATTTAAACTTTGCTATGCGATTGAGTTACGTTTATTAATACTAACTAGGTAAATACCCGCACTTCGCTGGGGGAGAATATCATTACATCTTTTCTTGTGTTTGAATTAATTAAATTAAAGATATTATAATTTGGCATTTAAATCGAATGTCAATTACTTTATTTTTTCTATTAAACTAAAATGGTTTACTAATCATTGGGCACGGGCCCAAAGAATATTGTTTTTGACGATGTTGTTTGATTGCATTCGGTGGTCGTTCCGAAACACTGAAATTATTGATCTTTAGTCTGTACAAGAGAGGATTTAATTTGTTATCTTCATTTTGTTGTCCGAATGAAACAAGGAAAACAAAATTTGGATTACGGTGCTGTCATTTTTCTGGATACGGTTTCAAAAATTAGTGTATTTTTGAGTTTAATGATGAATCGAAGGTTAGTATTTGTCAATCCGAAATTTGTGTAATGTTATTCGATTGTTTATGTAATTTAGATGAATTTGTACCAAATTGCTAAGAGGAACTTGATTGTTAGATGTGTTGGCTGGAGATGAAATTGATGATTGATGTTTTTTAGTCTTTCTTTGGAGGACTGACTTGACGACATATAAGAAATTCCATGACTGTAAAGGTAAGCTTTCTACCCAACTTAGTTTTCTGTGTTTGAATTTTGTTGAATCATTTTGTTTGCTTTGAGTTTGCGTTTTTGATTATGCATATTGTCCTCTTTTTTTTGTCACTTTAAAAAAAAAACTGAGTATATATGGTGAACACATTTGTCATAATATACTCGATAGAATTTATTGTTTTTGAATATAAACTAAGAATGGATAATTTAATTTTTTGGAAACATATTATGCGATTACAAAGATATTTTTTTGGTGAATATGTGATTACATAGATAGTTATATAAGAAATGGACTCCTGGTTTTGAGTGTATAAGAGAAGTAGGTACCATAGTTTTAATTAATGTTCTTAACTTTCCTTTCATTACATTGGTGTTACCTTTCAGCTTCTCTATCTTTAACTCCAGCTCTTGTGTTGCATTTAGCTTACTCTCCATTTAGCTATCTCTATCTCTATCTCTTACTCTTCTTGTGTTGCAGAAGCAGAAGCAAAGGAGTACATCCTATCTCAACCTCCCCTGCGATTCACAGACCCTTCTTCACGCTGCAGTTGATTCTCCTCGTCCACTCTCAAATCATCATCATCTTTCCCAAGTGGACTTAGTATAATGTACAAACCAGCAACAGCAGGAGCTCTAATAGCAACAGAGAGAGACACAACAACACCAATGGGAGGTCTCTTTGATCTTCTGTATCCAACATTAAGACCACAAAGAGCATACTGAGCAAAGAAATTCAAGTGAAGCAAGAAGATCATAACCATAATATGCATCCACTCGTTAGGTTTATAAGTCCCGTTCTTGCAATACACTTTCCTAAGCTTCGTGATATCATCACCAGTCAAAGCATGATTCAACATACCAGTCATCACCATGAAGAGAATCGCACCGGAGATTGCAACGGCTTGTATAGAGAGCCATGTTGATTGGGTTCCTAATCCATTGTTTCCCCATGTGCATCAGAGAGCTCCAGTCGATTTTCCGGTGAAGCACGCCGCTGATTCTTTCCATGAAATTATGGCTGCTCGATGATGAGCTCGTCGTCGTCGTCACTGACCTCGAAACCTCGTCTCTTTCCTCAGCTGTAGATTATACCCAGTATCCATAATCTGAGAGGAACATCATGATTTTCTTCCGAACTAAACCATAGAACAGCAACCATCACTTGTGTATCAGCGCAATGTTCTGCCTTTTAAATAACAAACATTAAGATGATGACTTGGTTTTGTTAGTACTCTCCAGCCAAAAAAAGAAGAAAAATCTTTGAAGAAATTAAGGAGCTAAGAAAAAAAGAAATGATTACCTGTTGTTGTTGGCTTTACATTATCTGCACTTGGTGCCTGAAAATGTTAGAAGGAAAACATTAATAGCCTGCAGCGCTGGATTTTCACTCTCCACAGGATTTAGACAAAAGGTCATCAAAAGGTTCATGCTAGGAGTAGATGAGGGAGCGACAGTTCATCGTCACAAATGTAATAACTCAACTAAGCTCACGTCTAATCATTTTGTGAGATGGGCTGAGACTTTGTGAAGGAAATTTATTCATAACGTTAGGCTTTTTATCTTCTGCCATGAAGAAAAAGAAAATGAGTAGCATAGTCTTCAGGCTTTACACTTTCGCAACACATGTACTGCAATTTTGATTGATCTCTTCTTGTTTCTAAGAAAATTATCACTTGAAACAAAACATATGATGAAATCCTAAAGAACACTTCCATAGCAACGAAGTAGTCAAAGATGGAACTTACTGTAAGCTTAGTTAATCTTCCAATTCCATTCAACCTCTGCGATTTGTTTTCCACATCCGATAGCCACTTCAAACTCACACCCATATAGATTCGTAATGTAAATTCCGGCTGAAAACTCTTTGGCGAAGTGTGCCTTTGATCCCTGTCGACAAATGACCAGATCGGAAACTTAATTTGCAAACGTAGATTGTCATAATCCATACTTATTGTGAGAAAATGATTTCGCGATTGAGAAACGTGATGCAAGAAAAAAGGTGGTTAAGAAATCGAGAGAGAGAGAGAGTGGGACGAACCGATACTGGATAACGGTGGCCATGAAAATCGGAGCTCCAACACAGAGCGTTGGGCGTATCGTCTTCTTGAAGAACAAATAGTTAACCCAACAGGAAACTGGAAATCGGCTCTGATCGATTTCGAAAATGACTTTTCTAATCGTGGAAGATGAAGAATGAAACCAAACCGGATTAATTAAATCAAACCGGACCAGACCAATTTTGTGGCAAATAAACCAGCGAAAATGCTGACTGGTATTATTTAAAATGTTTTGATTGGTTGGTTGTTTTTCTGAGGTGTCAGCTTAGACAGATGTGTCATCACATAGAGAGGCACATGGTTTTTACTGTATTGATTTCAGTTTGTATGTTTTTTATGTTTTTTTTTTTAATGTATTCTTGTCTTAGTCTTTTGTAATTTTGTCATTTTGTCATTTTGAGTTGTTTGAAAACAAACAAATAAACTATATTTTTAATCTTATTATAAAATGCAGATTCTATTTCGATTTAGATTTACTTAATACAAATCTCAAATTTTAAAACGTTAGTTTGTTCACTTGTGTGATGAAATTTCAAAATTCAAAATCATGCGCTCCATAAGTTCTGTTTCACAACTCACCATGCACAGAAGTGAACAAACTAACGTTTTGGTTGAGAATGAGAGTTTATTAACACATTACCATTGTGACCTACCATTTTAAATTTATTTAAATTATTTATTAACACATTACCATTTTACGTTACATAGTTTCCAAATTTTAAATTTCAAACTATTAACGTAAAATCCAAAAAGCAGAAAAAAATTAAAAGAAATTAAAAGAAGGTTTTTTCTCCGATATACTCGAAGGAAGCCAAAAGTGTGAGAGAGAGAGAGAGAGGCGAGAGAATCCCTTTTGGCTTTATAATCTCGAACTCAAAAAGGTATCACGAGCCATAGAAGATTTCATTCAGATCTGCTTCCTTTTTTCTGTAATTTGGAGAGAGAAAAAATGGGCGAAAGAGGTAGTGGCGGCGATGCCTTTGATAACGCGAGTGTGGGTGTTCCAGTGTCTTCCATAAAGATTGTTCAGACTCTGAAGGAGATCGTGAACTATTCCGACTCAGAGATCTACATGATGCTTGTGGAGTGCGACATGGATCCTGCTGAAACTCTTAATCGTCTCCTTTCTCAAGGTTTTGTTCCTTTCCTCAAGCTTTTCAATTTAATTAATTTCTGGGTTTTAGCTTCCAGTTTTCCGTACTGGATATTAACAGCAAAAGAAAAATCATCAAAATAATATAAAATTTGAAAGGGCTTTTCAATAGATTTTCTTACGATTACAGAATTTATGTTATCATGTTAAGATTTTTGATATTACTTGAAATTGCAAATATTTTTGGATATGGTTGAATCTTCATTGTTACCTGTTTCCGAAAAGAAGTTAAAACCCATTAGTTTTCTCCTTTCCTTATGGTTATTGAAACAATTGAATATGTGTCTTTTAGGTCTTGATTGGCAAAGCATTTAAAAGAGTATTAGGCTTAAGGAACATAAGTAGGGTCGGTATTTAAAAGAGCATTAAGCTCTTGAAGTATATATGCTAACTTATATGATTGATAGAGCTGTGAGTCTTTTTATGATATTTTTTGTGAAAATATTTAATATGTAATATTTATTTTAATGCCTCATATATATTCATTAATAACATAAGATTTTTTTTTAAAAAAGTTATTTAGTTATTATTTCATATTTAAATTATATTTATTAAATTTTTATGTCATTAAATTTTTATTTTATGAATAATGCTCTACTAAATGCTCTACCAATCAAGGCCTTATATATCTCCAGTTTGTTCCATTTCAGTTTCTTATAATGTTGGTTCATTTAAAACTTTGCAGATACTTTTCACGAGGTGAAGAGAAAACGAGACAAGAAGAAAGAGGTTTGTGATATATCCGAAAACAGCAAACTGGTTTAGTTATCTAGATTGCTTATTATATTGAATGTATATGTTTTGCCTTATTCTCGCTAATTGTAACTCTATGTCAGACCAAAGACCCAACAGAATTCCGAGCACTTAGCATCCCGAACCGTGGAGCAAGAAGCAGCGGTAATAATAGTTACAACACCACTCGAGGTGGAGGAAACAGATTCAACTCTAATGGTATAAGCTGCACTTTTTTTTTTTTTTTTGCTAGACAGTTTATGCTCTTTTTTGTAGTTTGATAATCTCTAAGTTGATTGTTGGATATTGATACAGAGACAGGAAGTGTTCAAGCTACACCTGCAAACATAAGAGAAAAAGCAAAAACTAATCATTGGGCTGGTTCTTCTTCAACACATAGTGTCCTCGGATGCCAACCTCGACCGAACAGGTTCTTCTTTCATGTGGTCTTTTGACACTTTTATGTTGTTAAATATCCTTATTTTGTGTTAAGCTTAGTGTATCTCCTTTTGCTTTGCAGTGATCTGCATCTTACAAACGCTGAAGTTAAGAAAGAACTCACGGTTTCGAGTGATGCAATCACTTTATCTTTGCTGCCATCTCCTCCTTCTTATCAATCCGCTTGGATCAAAGCCAACCCCGGACAGAGAACTATGGCTGATGTTGTGAAAATGGGTAGACCTCTCCATCAGAAGAATGCTGTTGGGCTTCGTTCATCATCAGAGACTAAAGAAAGCGGAAGTAAAGCTCCTTTGAAGGATGAATGGCCTTCACTTGAAAAGCAAGAATTATCTTATGTATCATCCTCTCTCTTGAAGCCTTATGCAGAATCTAAAACGTCTAACAACGACCAGTTTAGTGAGTCTCAACATCTGGATGACACTCATTTGGATGATGAGGTCCCTGAAACAAAAACAAATCCAACTGTGTTTGCTCCTGATGTAGACTCCCAGGTTCCAGTGGCTCCAATACCCAACACTCTGTTATCGTCAGGCATTCAAGATGTAAGAAAATTCCATCTTCACTACTCACCTTTCCCAATGAATTACAACACTTGCACTCCTTCTTCTCTTAGTAAATTTCTTCCTCTTTTTCAAAGAAACCTCTTCTGAGCTCTCTGTTAATACCATTGCTAACATTTTTTTTTCATGTAGGAACTAAGAGCTGCAAGTATTTCTCCTCAAAACGCAATGCCTAATGCAGGACAACAAGCACCAGCTCTTGCTCAACATCTTGCCTTAAACCCATACTCTCATCAGCCTGGGATGCCTATGGAGCATTATGGAAATGTGATACGCTATTCTTTAGTGCCGCAGAGTTACAACCCTTACATGCCTTCATCAGATTTTCAGCAAGTGTTTCTTGCTGGTAACCATCAGTCCTTACCTACCATGCTTCCCCAATACATGCCTCAAGTAAAAGCTTCTCATGTTCCTCCTCCCTCTGCTTATGGGTTTGGCGGTGGCGCTTCCTTGAGTGACAACTTTTCTACGAATCCCACTGATGATGGAGATTCCTACGAAGATATCTTGGACTCACAGTTTTTGGAGAATATTTTTTTGACATCATCACTTCAGCATCAGGTAAACCAACAAATGTGTCTCATGTTTTCATCTTGTTGATCTGAGTATTTGATGGTTGGTTTCATTCGGTTTTCTTAGTTTAGTCAAAATAGAGGGTTATATACCTTTTTGGCAAAAAAAATTGGTTCATTTCTTGGTTTGGTATAATTCAGTTTATGATAAATTTTGTTTGGATCATTTTTGCTAAGTTTGGTTTACGATAAATTTTGGATTTGAATATTATAGTCATCTATGTTTCCCAACTCTTAAGATTTAGTTTCCTTCTTTTGCTTTGATCCACAGAACGAAACCTCAGCAGCGTGGCATCAAGGACAACAACCTGAGTTGCGTGTGGTTGGTCATCAGAATCTGTTGCTGCTCGATTTCCATCAAGCCCAGCAACTGTTGCAGCAACGGCGGCAACAGCAGCAACTGCTGCAGCAACAACTACAACAGATACTACAACAGCAAGAGGAGGAAGAGGAGCAGCAGCAACAACTACAACAGCAGCAGCAACTGTCTCATCAACAACAACGTGGTGGAGGACATGATGACGATGACAATTTCACAGGGTACAATGTCATTAGAGTAACTCCCTCACAACCACCAACAACAAAACGCTAGAGACGTGTCTCAACAGCTCCAACAATAGTTATGCCCCAATAACTATTGATAAAAAAAGACAACCAATCAAATTCCTCTCTTCATGTCATGACTTTTCTCTTTTCCCAATTTCTATCTTTCATTTTTACCTTCTTGTATTACTAAAAACTATGTTTGTTTTCTTATCATTATACTCTTTTTTTAACTCCTTAGTCTTGACATTTTCTAACTGACCAAATTTTACATTATATATCGTTATGTCTTGGTATTAATCTAGATTGTTGTCTCAGTTAAATCTGGTTCGTCAAGCTCTGGCTCGTCTTGACTAGAGTGAGGCCGAATTTATTAATTTACCAAATATTATATAATTTCTTATTATGAGATTTATTGGATATGTTTACTATTTATGAGATTTATTTTTGTGTCTTTAGAAGATGTGAGAAATTTGTTTCTTTAGATAGAAAATGTTGATGCCTAAAGATTGTAGTTTTCCAGCAACAAATAAAAAAAAATGTATGGAAATAAATCTTTTGGATAAAAAATGGTTTTGGACTCTTTTTTCATAAACAAAACCAAAAGTCAAAGTAAAATCAAACAAACAAACCTTATCGTTGCATTCTTCCAAAAAAAACAGAGGAAGAAAACAAAGAAACCAACCGAACGAAGAAAGACGACGACGAAGAAGAAGATGGAAGCGAATTACGACCGTACCAGTGAGTTAAAAGCTTTCGACGAGATGAAGATCGGAGTAAAGGGTCTCGTCGACGCCGGAATCGCAGAGATCCCTCGTATTTTCCATCACCCAAATCCCATTATAACCGACTCAAATCCACCTCTTTCCTCCTCAACGAAGATGATCATCCCAGCAATCGATCTTAAAGGAGGCGTCTTCGAATCGACTCTCGAACGAGAGATCGTAGTCACGGAGATCAAAGAAGCGGTGGAGAAATTCGGGTTTTTCCAGGCGATTAACCATGGAATCCCGATCGATGTCATAGAGAAGATGAAAGATGGAGTTCGTAAGTTTCATGAGCAAGACGCGGAAGTGAGGAAGAAGTTCTACAGTCGCGATAAGACCAGAAAGTTTACTTACAACAGCAATTTCGATCTCTACAGCTCTAAATCTGCGAACTGGAGAGATACCTTGAGTTGCTTTGTAGCTCCTGATCTTCCCAAAACAGAGGACTTGCCAGAGATTTGTGGGTACGAAATTTACGATTTCTCTTATTACTAATCTGTATAGTTTACTGTCTTAATTAGTTTAAAGATCGACACTTTGGTTTCATGTTGGTGAGAATGTTTGATTTTAGGGAAATATTGTTGGAGTATTCGAAGGGAGTGATGAAACTAGGGGAGTTAATCTTTGAGCTTTTATCAGAAGCTTTAGGGCTTGATCGTAATCACCTCAAAGAAATGGATTGCATGAAAGGTTTATTGATGCTCTCTCATTATTACCCGCCTTGTCCTGAGCCTGATCGAACATTCGGCACAAGTCAGCATTCAGACATATCTTTCCTCACTATTCTTCTTCAAGATCACATTGGTGGGCTTCAGTTTCTTCAGAATGGTTCTTGGGTTGATGTTCCTCATGTTCCTGGAGCTCTTATAGTGAACCCCGGAGATTTCTTGCAGGCAAGTTGTTGTTGTGACTTAAACCAAATCGTTTTCGGATAGAATCAATACTCAGTTGTGTGAATCTTTTGGTTTAACAGCTTATAACGAATGACAAGTTTGCAAGTGTGGAGCATAGAGTTTTGGCTAATAGAAGTCAAGAGCCGCGGATTTCGGTGGCGGCTTTTTATGTGTATCCCTTACCGTTTGCGCGAGTTTATGGACCGATCAAAGAGCTTTTGTCTGAACAAAACCCTCCAAAGTATAGAGAGACAACCATGACGGAGTATATAAAGTTTTACATGGCGAGAGGACTCGGTGAGAAGTCTGCGTTGCTTCAGTTCAAGATCTGATAAGAAAGCTTCGGGCTTACCAATATATCACAAGTCAAGTCAAACAAAAAAGATCACAAGTCTTCTAGGGTTTTCACTTGATTGTTCCGCACGTTATGAAAGAAAGCTTATTACACCCAAATAAATGTATCATGATGTATAATGAGGGTGAGAACTGATAAATGTATTAGAGTATTGAAGAAAATAGAATATTTAGTCAACCAAAAGAACAGAGAAGACTAGACCACCTATGTCACATGCGTACAATGAGGGTGATAATATTGGAATTTAAACATACTTGTAGTTTCTTGATTTTTTTTGGTAACTTGTAGTTTCTTGATTTCGACATCTAAAGAAATGTTATTAAAGACAAAAATAAATACATGGTATGAAAATCACGAAAGATCCATTGCACATTCTAAAATATTACGTTTTTGATGCAATGGATTTTCCAAGCTTCCCGCAACTCAATTAAGACTATGTGACATACACAAGTACCCTAACAGAAATATCTTTAATGGTTAGAATTTTTAGAATCTTACACAACAATCATATGTACGATTGTGCATTTGTAAGGATGTCCTTTCACATTTGTGAGGATGTCCAAAAATATACAATCAAGATCAAGCAACCTACTACGAGAATCTTCAAGAGTCTTTCTTACATCAAGAAACATATATATTTACAAGAAACATTACGACATATCCAATTCATAAAATTAGAGACCCACAATGCATACAAGTACCAAAACAGAGAGAATACAATGGTTTCCAACAAGTCAAGAGAGAAATACATTCAAAATTTAAAGTAACTACTACAATAGTTTGCAAGATTCTCGCTTACACTCAATATAATTATTTACAGAGAATCTAACATAGACCTTATAATGCATACAAGCATCAAGACATAGAGAATACATTCAAGAGTCCAAGAAACTGCTACGACAGTTTGCAAGACTCATACACAGAGAGAATACACATTTTTAGTCAAGAGAGAATACATTTCTAGTCACGTAAGCAAGCAAGAGAGATAGATATATATCTATATATTGATACACGCAAACTATACAAATTGATACAAGCACCAAAACAGAGAATACACATTTCTGATCAAGAGAGATAAATACATTTAAGATTTAAAGAAACTAGCCTGAAAGAGTCTCAATTACACTCAAACTAATTATCTACAAAGACTCTAATATATATCCACTTCAAAAATGAGAGCAAACACCAAAACAGAGATATAAAAGTTTTGTAATCAAGAGATCATTGACACGGTATACTGTACACACAATGTATTGTACCAATACCAAAGAAAATCTACCCTTTTATCAATTATTATACTAGCAATAAGTTTCTATAATATGATGGATAATAGATCAAGGATAGTAATACACTAATACTTAAGAGAGCTTATTACACACCCAAATAAATGTATAATTCCGACAACCACCAAAACAGAGTATTGAAGAAAATAGAATATTTAGTCATCCAGAGAAGACTAGACCCATCTAGAATATTTAGTCAACCAAAGAAGACTAGACCCACCTATGTCACATGCTTACAATGAGGGTGATAAAATTGGAATTTAAACATACCTATAGTTTCTTGATTTCGACATCAACCTTAAGAAAAATCTTATCAAAGACAAAAATAAATACATGGTAGGAGAATCACGAAAGATCCATTGCACATTCTAAAATATTACACTACTGATGCAATAGATTTCCAAGCTTCCCTCAACTCAATTAAGACTAAGTGATATACACTAGTACCCTAACAGAAATATCTTCAATGGTTAGAATTTTTAGAATCTAACAAAACAATCATATGTATGATTATGCATTTGCGAGGATGTCCAAAAATATACATTCAAGATCAAGCAACCTACTACGAGAATCTGCAAGAGTCTTTCTTACATCAAGAAACATAGATACTTACAAGAAACACTACGACGTATCCAGTTCATAAAATGAGAGACCCACACTGCATACAAGTACCAAAACAGAGAGAATACAACATTTTCTAACAAGCCAATAGAGAGAAATACATTCAAGATTCAAAGAAACTACTACAATAGTTTGCTAGACTCTCGCTTACATTCAATATAATTATCTACAGAGAATCCAAGATAAACTTTATGATGCATACAAGTACCAAAACAGAGAGAATACAATATATTCTAACAAGTCCAGAGAGAAAAATACATTCAGGATTCACAGAAACTACTACAATAGTTTGAAAGATTCTCGCTTACATTCAATATAATTATCTACAGAGAATCCAATATAGACCTGACGATGCATACAAGCACCAAAACAGAGAGAAATACAATGTTTTCTAACAAGTCAAGAGAGAGAGATACATTCAAGATTCAAAGAAACTGCTACAAGAGTTTGCAAGACTAATACACAGAGAGAATACAAATTTCTGGTCAAGAGAAAATACATTTCTAGTCACGCAAGCAGCAAAACAGAGTGAATACACGCAAGCAAGAGAGATAGATATTAAGATATATATCTTTAAATTGATACACGCAAACTATACTTAATTGATACAAGAAAACTATATCAATTGATACAGGAAAACTATACAAATTGATACAAGCACCAAAACATAGAGAATACACGCAAGCACAAAAACAAAGAGAATACACATTTCTAGTCAAGAGAGATAGATACATTTAAGATCCAAAGAAACTAGCCTACAAGAGTCTCATATGTACAAATATCGATTTATTAAAGAAAAGTCTAAAAAGGATATACCTAATCACATTGAGCTCATTGAAATAAACTGCAAGTTTAGGCTTCATGGGCGCTCCACTCAATCAACATGATATGATGCTTATGGTATGCAAAATGTTCATCTCCAAATGATATTACATCAGAATAGTATAAAGAATTTATGGGGAAAAGATAAAGCTATGGTCTCTAGCGGACCTTGATCAGTTTCAAGATCATGGATAGAGCAACATGGCACTAGCCAACCTTCATGAAGGAGGAAACATAAAGAATCAGCCATTTGTGGGTAACACAAAATAAACAAAAAATATTAAGCTAGACATCAAAGTGGCAGACACAAAAGTTACCAACAGACACACAAGTTACCTGCAAAGTGATAATATTACTTGCAGTGTGAACATTTCATGAACCGAAAGCTGGCTCCAGAAAATTAATCATAAGTTTGAAGAAGGAAAAAAAAAACTAAGTGGTGGAAGAAGAAAAAAAAACACATAGACTATGTTGAGAAACATGTAACTGTTTCAGTACTGTGAAATTTCCGAGATAGATATACCGGAGAGAAGTCCTCCAGCGGTTGTAGAACTCAAATCTCTTTGGTCAGAAAAGTTAACTAAGGGTGATTGGTTAAAAAGCAGTGAAGTTCCATATTTACCTTCTGTTTCTGACTCCGCTAAAGAATTAAGATGAGAGCACAAGTCCCACACCTGCCTAGAAATACACAGTTGAACAACTTTATTAGGGGCACACAAATACATTAGAAGATACAAAAGTATAAGTCTTACCTGATTACAAGCCACCTATAAACTGTTTGAGGAAACTCAGTTCGATTGAAGCCAAACTTATCACCTAAAAGGTAAAAACTGGAAGAAAGAAAAGAATCCATCAAATCTCCAAACTTGCGTCCCTGAGAATATGAATACCGTCCCTGAGAATATGAATACCTTATATGAAGCATATACCTGAACAAAAAAGAATATTAGTCTTTATTCAGTTACAAAGTATGTTAACACTTAGAAATCTCCTAAAGATTTGGAAGCTTATGCAAGCATCAGTCCAGTGAAGATCAAAACTAGTATGTTTCTCTGACTAGTGATTTAATTTCATAATTGTATCAACTAATTTACAAGCAAGTTTGAAAAGCACATACTTATCATTGAAGTCTGCTACATCTCTTCAAGAGTCTCGAACACTTGAACACCTTCTGAAGCACATACTTGTATAAATCAAAATTAATTAGTCTTTGCTTCACTTAGATGCCATAGTGTAAAGAATCGGTTGCGTAGTCTTTCTTTATGTTGTCTTAAGAATTTCTCAAGCCTGTTGAAGAACCGATTTTCTTTCCAACCAAATGAAGACCAATTCATAGTCTTTTTGTCTTAGAACCTTTCTCGGCCATTTGGTCGTCATATCCATCCAAATTTCTTTCTGTTGTCTTAAGACTTTCTCAAGCCTGTTGGAGACCCTATTTCAGAATATCGTCCTTCTTTCCAACCAAATGAAGACCAACTCATAGTCTTTTGTCTTAGAACCTTTTTCGGCCATTTGGTCGTTATATCCATCAAAATGATAAGTCTCTGTCTAGTATTAAGCCTTGCGGTAACCGAACATATAGTTCTCGGTTCATAATCTTTCTTTCTGTTGTCTTGAGACTTTCTCAAGCCTTGTTGGTCGTTATATTTTCCATCCAACAAGCCTTCTTTAAGACATTAGTCTTTCTTCAGTCTTTCTTTCTATTGTCTTAAGACTTTCTCAAGCCTGTTGGTCGTTATATTTTCCATCCAACAAGCTTTCTTTAAGACATTGGTCTTTCTTTCCAACAAAATGAAAACCAACAAGCCTTCATCATAGTCTTTCTTTCAGTTGTCTTAAGACTTTCTCAATCCTGTTGGTCGTTATATTTTCCATCCAACAAAATGAAAACCAACAAGCCTTCATAGTCTTTCTTTCTGTTATCTTACGACTTTCTCAAGCCCTCTTGGTCATTATATTTTCCATCCAACAAGCCTTCTTTAAGACATTGGTCTTTCTTTCCAACAAAATCAAAACCCACAAGCCTTCATAGTCTTTCTTCAATTGTCTTAAGACTTCAACACGCCTTGTAGTCTTTCTTTCAACAAGCCTTGTAGTCTTTCTTTCGGTTGTCTTAAGACTTTCTCTCAAGCCTTCATAGTCTTTTTTTCAGTTGTCTTTAAGACTTTCTCAAGCCTTCATAGTCTTTCTTTCAACAAGCCCTCAGTCTTTCTTTCAGTTGTCTTAAGAATTTCTCAAGCCTTCATAGTCTTTCTTTCAGTTGTCTTAAGACTTTCTCAAGCCTTCATAGTCTTTCTTTCAGTTGTCTTTAAGACTTTCTCAAGCCTTCATAGTCTTTCTTTCAGTTGTCTTTAAGACTTTCACACGCCTTCATAGTCTTTCTTTCAACAAGCCCTCATAGTCTTTCTTTCAGTTGTCTTAAGACTTTCACACGCCTTCATAGTCTTTCTTTCAGTTGTCTTAAGACTTTCTCACGCCTTCATAGTCTTTCTTTCTGTTGTCTTAAGACTTTCCCAAGTCTGTTGGTCGTTATAATTTCCATCCAAACAAGCCTTCTTTAAGACATTGGTGTTTCTTTCCAACAAAAGGAAAACCAACTTATACGCCTTTGCTTTAAGACTTTTTCAGCCATTGGTCGTTAGATCCATCCAACTCATAGTCTTTCTCTACTTTTGAGCCTTGTGGTTCCCGGAACATAATAGTTTCTCAGCTCATAGTCTGTATCGTTGGTTGGTTTATTGATCTATCCATCATGTAAACTGGATCCATTGTCTCTGAGACAATACTTTTTTAAGCTGTGGGTAAAGGAATCTGTTTTCAGTTTGTAGCCTTTTGCCTTAAGACTTTGTTAATCCCTCATTATCCTCGGTTCCATCCAAACAAACCGAAAACAGATCCATCATCTTGTCAATAAAGACTTTTAATTTTCCATCTTCTAACATCATGCACTACCAACCCATATATAACCGACTTGAGGCAACAGGACAATGTTTCCCAAACGAGAATCTGACAGAACACTATTAGATTAGTGCTTGTTTATGATCTTATTTGGGGTTTTAATTTTTCCATCCTCTAACATCATGCACTACCAACCCATATATAACCGACTTGAGGCAACAGGACAATGTTTCCCAAACGAGAATCTGACAGAACACTATTAGATTAGTGCTTGTCTATGATCTTATTTGGGGTTTTAATTTTTCCATCCTCTAACATCATGCACTACCAACCCATATATAACCAACTCGAGGCAACAGGACAATGTTCCCAAACGAGAAACTGACAGAACACTATTAGATTAGTGCTTGTCTATGATCTTATTTGGGATTCTAATTTACCATCCTCTAACATCATGCACTACCAATCCATATATGACCGACTTGAGGCAACAAGACAATGTTCCCAAACGAGAATTTGACAGAACACTATTACATTAGTGCTTGTCTATGATCTTATTTGGGGTTTTAATTATCCATCCTCTAACATCATGCACTACCAATTCCATATATGACCGACTTGAAGCAACGGGACAATGTTCCCAAACGAGAATTTGACAGAACACCATTAGATTAGTGCCTGTCTATTATCTGATTTGGGGTTTTATAGGTAAGCACAATCATGTGAATTTGATAATTGCTTAGATAAATAAAGAATCTTACCTTACGAGAACTGATCAACCGTGTTCCACTTTGCAAGGCACTGACTCCAGCAGCAGAACAAAGATCCAGATGATACTATCATCTGAGGAATCACATGATTTTTGCGAGGTTCCTGAAATTAAGAAGAAAACATAGAGGTGATGAAACAATTTGAGATTCCTGAAATCTAATCTAACAATGTAGTGAAAAAATATATGCATCTTTTCACATACAGATCATAAAAGAACATCAATAATGCTGCAAAAGATCATAAAGATACGGTAGCCTTATCTATTGACACTCACCAATATTGTAAGAACCATGACGATCAAAACTGAGTGCAAATGCCCTTAAACTGGCCATCAATGAAGATCACATCTTGATGTTCACTATTTGACTTGCCAAGAAGCTGTTCCACCAAAATAGAACAATATGTGTAAGATTGCAGAACAAGAACAAAAGCAACGAAATTGGAATCTTTAATTAATTGAATCGGAAACCCAAACACAAACAAAGAAGTAAAAATTGAAAATCACTGACAAAATTGGAAACCCAAGCATAATCGGAGAACAAAAACCCTCAAAATCACCAAAGAAATTGAAAACCCAAACATGAAAAAGAGAAATTACCTCGACGATGTGAAAGAAGCATCCAACCCCTAACCAACGATCGCTGCAAAAATTAATCTTTGAACGGTTACGAAAATTGAAAAACCTAAACAAATCGCGATACATGAGATTTAGAAACCCTAACCTTGACGACGATTGAGAAATCCAGCCAATCGGGTCGCTTTCAGGAATCAAGCATGTAGGTTGCTTCGAAAGGAAACAAACAGAAAATGTTGGGAGAAAATCGCCGAAGAGTCGATCGAGAGAATTCTGCGAAAGAAAAAATGGAAACGGAGGAGAGGAAGAAATTTGGGAGAAAAGACATAAACTTTTTTGTGAAGAACTGATGAAATAAAAATGGGAGAGGATTTTTTTTTATGTACCCTTGCGTTTGACAACGCGTTTCTCAACGGTTATATTTTCTAAATGAGTCGGTTTATCTGTGGACCAAACAGGTCCTTGTATTTTCAAAATATCCCTTAAACCAAACCGATTCTGCATCTTACCAGATTAACATCACTTGATTTTGGGAGTTTCGATTTGAGAAACAACCACATTTTTCAAAATCATATTGTTTCTTCACCAACGTCACATTTTCCAAACCGAACCGGTTCTGGGTGTTACAACCAAGAACAACACATGGTCTTTCCTTTTTTTTATATAAAGGATTTTCAAATAACACGGTCTTTCCGTTTGGGGACAACTCCAGTTTCTCTTCCTCTAGGTGATTTCAGGTCCTTCTCGTCTCCATGGAAGGTGTTAAAATTTGGAAAAAATCTTGCTCTTCAAAAAATAGAACAGGATTCTGGAAAATCACCTCGTAATTTCCCAAAGTCCCAGCATATATATACTAGGTTTGAAGCCCCGCGCAAGCGCGGGGTTGTTTGATAGTTTTTCTGTTTAATTTTATTTATACTCGTTGATTTGAATTATGATGGTTTTGTGTTAACTTTCATGTTTTTGTTATGTTTTGAGTTAACTCAACCACTAACACTAAAAAATATGAATAATTTGTTTTTTAATTTATTAGGATATTAACACCCTGCTTTATCTTGAGTTTTCTATTTCTAAAATTTATCATGTTATAATATTATGTTTTTTACTTCTATTAGACTGTAAACATGTATATGTATTTGATTGAAGGTTAAAATTTATAAATATGTATATGCATTTGACTGAAGGTTAAAATTTGTAAACATATTCTTGTTTTTCACTACAATTAAATTTACATATAAAACTTCATTTCTATTTGTTTAGAAAAACAAACTCTAACTCTAATTTTCATTAGCTTTCTATTATCTTAATTAATTTATATTCAACTTTTTAACTTGTAAACACATTATAACATTTTTAAATAGGATAAATCCTTTGAATAAAAAGGTAAATATATACTATTTGAAGTTAAATATTTCTTTACTCCATCTCTATTTTATATTCCAACTTTTTGATAACTTTTAACATCAAATTATCACATACTTTCTATTAATTAATTAATTTATTTGTATATTTTTATTAAATATGAATAAATGTAAAGAAATATGAATAGTCATATATTTAATAAATATTTTAAATACAATTTAATGTTTTTGTGCTGATGTGGACACTCTAGATGGAGAGAGCAACTCCCTAATTATATATAAGATATATATATATATATGTACCATGTTCCACACACGGATATTAATCTTATTTACAGTCCTAATCTGTAGTATTAACTCATCTAAACACGTGTATCAATTTCCTTTTGTTCGTTTATTAACCTTCTACTTACCCTTAATTCTGTCAGGAGCGTAGTCCTATATTCAACTAAATCATAGTTTAAAATGTTCCACGTAAAGTAATTTACTGGAATCATTTGGTAAAAGTTAACATGCTAAGAGAGAACGCAATAGTACATGATAGAGGGATTAAATGTTCCGAGAGGACGCACACAACAGTTGGTATTAACTTGAAGGTAATAATGTTAGAGTTGGCATCATCGTAAGCCGTTGAGGTTAGCCAGAAATATAAATTGACATAAATCAAATTAGTTGGACGGTGGAGGACGATTACGAAAGAAAAAAGGACTAGTCTGCTACCATTATACGACACAAAGCTAGGTGCATTAAACACGTGCATGCAATTGAAAATTTAAGACTGGTCCTGACTCCTGAACAATTACGTCGGATGAAGCATTTTGAATAATTAAAGATACTTTTTCACAACTCAAATAAGTATTTTATATGCGGTTCTCAAAACTTGATGTTTCATGATTTTTTTATTATTTTTTTGGCTCTAGACATAATTATACGATTGGAAAAAAGAAAATAGGAAGTATAGTACAATAATTGTATAGTCAAAAAGGGATCTTAGCTTTTTTTTTTCTTTTGTTTCGTATACGAGGTCCCATATTTCTTAAACAGGACCAGCACTAGATGGATTTAAGGACGATGTAACATTGGCTCTCGCGTAAACATCAGCCAAAAAGTTGCGCAAAGACACAGTGATAATTTCGACTTTGAAGTTGTCGTTGATTCTCTCACCAAACACATTTGTACATGTTGCTGTTATATATACGGAGAGGTCATATTTAATGTCACAAAGCACTGATACAACAAAATACAATACAAAACACACAAAAGTCTTGTCTCTTCTACAAAATGGCGGAAAAATACGACCGTGCCGGTGAGGTAAAAGCATTTGACGAGAAGAAAATCGGTGTGAAGGGTCTCGTCGACGCCGGAATCACACAAATCCCTCGCATTTTCCACCACCCGAATGTCACCGTAACAAACCCCTCTAAACCCTCTTTGACTGTGGTGATTCCAACGATCGATCTCGGTCTCGGTCTCGGAGGAGGCACAGTCACACGAGAGAGTGTGGTTGCGAAAGTGAGAGACGCGGTTAGGAAATTCGGGTTTTTCCAGGCGATAAACCATGGGATACCGATTGATGTCATGGAGAAGATGAAACGTGGGATTCGTGGGTTTCATGAGCAAGACCCACAAGTGAAGAGAGGTTTTTATAGCAGAGACATCAACAGAAAGGTGAAGTATAATACGAATTTCGATCTTTATACCTCTCAGGCTGCGAACTGGAGGGATACTTTAACTACTGTTATGGCTCCTAATGTCCCTAGCGCAGAGGACTTACCAGAGACTTGTAGGTAATGATTATGAGAACTCTTGTACTTTCCAAGTTTTGATTAGAGCGAATAATGATTCTGTGAATATTTCAGGGAAATTTTGTTGGAGTACTCAGAGCGAATGATGAAGTTAGGAGAGCTAATCTTTGAGCTTTTATCAGAAGCTCTTGGTTTAAAACCAAACCACCTCAAAGAACTGGACTGCGCAAAGAGTTTGTCCTTGCTCTCTCATTACTACCCACCTTGTCCAGAGCCTGACCGAACCTTTGGCATCAGTTCACACACAGATATATCTTTCATCACTATTCTTCTTCAAGACCACATCGGAGGACTTCAAGTCCTCCATGATGGATACTGGATCGATCTTCCTCCTAATCCCGAAGCTCTTATCGTTAACCTCGGAGATTTCTTACAGGCAACAAAGATATTATCCATTCGTGAATTTTGTTTTTTTCTTAATACACGAATCCATATATATTTTGACAAATCTCAATAATCCGTGTAATGGTTTCTTTTTCGCAGCTTATAACAAACGATGAGTTTGTAAGTGTGGAGCATAGGGTTTTGGCAAACAGAAGTGAAGAACCGCGGATTTCGATCGCGTCTTTCTTCATGCACACCATAACAAATGAGCAAGTATATGGACCTATCAAAGAGCTTCTTTCTAAACAAAACCCTCCCAAGTACAGAGACACCACCACCACAGAATTTGCAAAACATTACTTGTCTAAAGGACTCGATGGCACATCTCCTTTGCTCCATTTCAGGATCTGAAATATTAAAGGTGGACTTTAAATGTCAGAGGTGCTATGGAGTTTCCACGAAAATATTTAGTATCCAATAAAATTACTAGAATAAATGTGATAGTATATGTCTGATTTCACATCTGGTCTCGTGTATCCATTTGCCTATAGACTTAAACGATCAATATCTTAAAACGTTTATGATTATCTATCACTTGATAATCATTCAAGACTTGCAGTAAATGATACTGCATCTATCATCATGTGATATTATAGTTGCAAGAAAATAAATCATGAGCAAGTATTATTGCTCTGTACGAAAGCCAATATTACTTACAGATGTTGTTCAAAAGGAAACGATTGATTTGGATTGCGCTGAATGATGCATCTGCGATATAGCTGTGTCCCTTTCAGCTTCTTCCATTACTCTAAGTTTCCTGCATAACAACATGTTTATGCATCGGTTACTATCATCAAATTGCATATATCCAAGGGAAAGGAGGGAAATATATATATATATACCTTGGAGGGACAAAACCTTGACTACTTTCTTCTGAGAGGGCTTTCTCTAATCTCTCCTCGAAACTTGTTGCGTGCCAATTCACTTTCTGGTCCTGCATCAAGAAAAAGTAACTTCTTTGTGTACAATAAATGGGAGGAGATGTGAAGAAGCTAAAGAGTTTCTGAATGAAACAAGAGAGTACCTCTTTGTACTTGTTTGTTGAGTTTGGTATTCCATTACCATCCCACCATTTGGGTGAGATTTGAGATTGCTCTTCCTCATTCCAGTGAGCAGCAACCATTCCTATGATAGGCCTGTCCCCATGAGTTATGGTGGATAAAGCTTCCATCTTTGTGTTACTGATCTCTTTGCTCTGCTTCACTCTAGGAGAAATACTAGTTTCACCTATCTCGTATTTCTCATCTGAACTCTCTTCCAAAGTTTCTGATGTGGGAGATTCAGTTTCTGTATTCGCTTTGCAAGCCTGCACTTCAGCTTGTTCTACGCTCTCCTCTGAATCTTCAGGAATGTTACATATAGAGGAATCTTCAGTTAAAGTGGAAGCTGAATGCACAAACTGCGACCTGATTCTTGGTCTTCCCCTTACTTCTGGGTCCAGATTTGCAGGAAAAATGGTTACAGGAGTTTGAATTTCATCACATAGCTTCAGTGTCGTCGGATTATGCGAGGTTGCTGAGATATTTATTTTGCTAGGCTTCTTAGGTATCCTTGAAGCGCTTTTCTTGGAAGAACTAGAAGGGTAAGGTTGATCAATATCCAATTCAAACCGCACTGACTTTGTCTTTCTCGTAATCTTTCCAGCTTTGAGTGACACCTTGCCGGTTCTATCCACCCCATCCCTGAACGAAGTACCAATGCTTTCTTGGCTTTCTTCACCAGCATCACTGAATCCAGCAGAGATCCTTGCACAACTTACCGCATCGGTTAAGCAACTGATATTGACAGAAGAAGAAAAAAGAGAGTAAATTCCAGATCCATGAAACCTCTAGAACTTCTTGCATAATGTAAGAAACATGTTAGGATATGCAGTCATGCCCAACGCTCCGCTGAAAGAGATATTTGCTAAGAAAAGTAACATCTAATACTCCACCTGCTAGGAGTTTGCTCTGAAACCTCTTCACAGGGTTCATCTGTTTTCTCATCCAAGTGAAACACAGCATCAGAGTTACTGGAAATCAAGGGATGAGACTGGGGAGATCCAAACTGTTTTCCACGTTGAGGAGTTTCCAGTTTTTCAGTGAATTCTTTTGTACCGTGGGGACAACGGCTTCGCATTTTCTTGTCTCGTAAAGATAAGTATATGACAGCATACCAATACTCTGTGTCGTGCTGAAAACAGATATAAGAACAAGTTAACTATGAAATCGCAAAGCAAAGAGAGTGCTAAACAACTAATGATATGGTGCAATGACTCACTTATTTCCATTGGTTCCACGACAACGTGTGAAGACAATTGCATCAGCACCAAGCCTCATTGTACTAGTTTTGAATCCATTCCCATCTTCATTGTTTGTTTAAATCATTAGTTATAAGATAATGCCAAGAGCAGAGCTAAAACTATAAAATCTGAACTTGAGGAAGCTTACATTGACCAACTGTATTAGCCATATTGCGTTTTCTTGAATACCCCAAAGAAAGGCACTCTCTAAACCTACTTGGATTCATCCCACCTCCATTGTCTGCAATATCAGTTAAAGAGACTTTCATAATCATGTTTTACACAAAATCAGTGTTCATCAGAAACTATCCAAAGTGATTAATTAACCTTCAACTATAAGAATGCTGCTCTTATCGTCTCTTTTATTTGTTGTTGAATCAACATGCACATATGTAGCCCCATTACATACCTGTTTTACAAATCAGCACAACATTGATCAACCATAAGTTAAGTTAACATAAAACCATACGAGTTATCAATCATATCCATAAACTTAGCACTTAAAGCAGCCCAAGAAGTTGTTTTTGGACAAAAACAAGCAACCGAACTACAAATGAATGGCAAAAGCTTAACTTCAGAATCCCAGTAAAGTCGAAAGTCCTAACAGATTCTAGGTGTCAGCAACTTGATGGTGATAGACAAAAATGGAAGCTAACAGTGATTGGAACCACATAGTGCTTAGGTATCATTTGATATTAACATACCTTATCCTTCAGATCTTTGCCAATATGCATAGAATCCAAATCAGAGACCTCTCTGCCATGAGAAGGCGAAGAATCTGCTTTCTCTTGAAAACAAACCAAGAAATAAGTAAGACCTTCTTTCAAACCACGAATAAAGATCACATCAAAGCACAGATTCAATACCTTCAGAAAGAAACAATGCTGACAAACGATTCTTCGAGTCATGGCCTCTCTGAAATCATGAAGAAAAAAACGATGTTAACACCGAAGGATTTTGTACATAATCGTGGTCAGGAAAGTTAACAAATACAAAATTCAGCTCAAATTCCTAACATTAAGCTAATAATCAACACCGGAAATAGAAACTTTTACAATCGATTCCACTTCTGAGTTCTGAGAATCGTAACAGCTAATTTGAGACTTAAATTGAACGAAATGAAACGAGAGAGTTACTTTGGACTCGACGCGAGAAGGATGAGAGACGGAATCACTCGCAGATTGCGATTGCTCGTCTCTGGCACGGAAGCAATGAAAGAGACAACCCATAGCTCTCTCTCTCTCTCTCTCTCTACAAGCTGAGCTGTGGATAAAATCCGAGGAGAAGCCTCAAGCCTGCACCGCCAATTTATGGTCCGACTCAGTTATCAAGCGTTATCATATCAGTATTTGAAATTTATTGGTGGCAAGACTGAGGAACAGCGATGGAGGAACCTACAGAGATTTTCCCGAGAAAAAAGTGAGTGAGAGAGAAAGAAAGAGCTGGTGGGTCTGAGTCGTTTGTTTTCAAATTTGAAATCCCAAAAGGGCTCGCGAGGGAACCAATCAGATTTGTGTGAGCTTTGAAATATTAAAGGTTCGTACGTGTTTTCACACTCGCGGGCGCGTGTAATGAAACGTGGATCGATCTGGTCCGTTCGTTGAAAACATGATGTGTTTCACTGTATATGAATTTTATATGTTGATTTTTGATTTTGAGTAAATTAATCCAACAATAATGAGCAAACTTTATTTTATAGGAAAATGAAACTATTTTCATAAGAAATATAGAATGAGTGTTTTATCATTCAGTTACACGTTGAAAATGTTTAAGATAGTTTTACAAATACTCATTGGAAAATTAGGGAAGATAACAATAAGAAAAACAATTTTTAATTTACTTATGAAATTGTGCTTTTGTGACGCTTTTGAAATTGCTGACAAAAATTATAATTCAAGTCAAACTTCTAAACAACTTTGGTTAGTATAGTTTACAATATTTTACATTGTGTTAAGTAAGTACATAGTAAATAACTTGTCAGGTCACACATTACTAAAATTACATATTTGCATGAACAACATTTAGTAAACTTATATTATTCTCTATTTTCTAACATAAATTTTACACGTGTGGTATAGTTTAGTAGCTAATTTAACATAGCACAAAGAAGTTATATACATTAATCAATTTAAATCATGTATACTGTAGATAAATTTAACCAATCTAGAGCGCAAGTAATGGGCCTTAAGAAGAAGTCGGGCCGAAGAATATTCTTCCGAAGTACCTTTTTTTCACAATCACAACATCCAATTTCTGCTGACGAGATTATTTTTAAAACATTTTATGTAATTACCGAAAAAGAAATGAGAGAAAAAAAGAAAAAAAAAAGAGAAGGAGAAGGCGGTTTATAATGCAAGCAAACTTTGGAAAGGCAAATCGAACAAAAAAGGCCTCTTCCCTGAATCTCAGAAGCCGTACCGTTTCTTCGCTCTCTAGTGTTTCCTCAGGTACAGAGACAGACAGAGCAAAACCCTAAATAAGCGATGGGGAACAAGAGGTTCAGGGCTGAAAATGCAGGGAAGCCAACTTCCGTCGAAGCTACTAGAATTTGGGCGTCCAAGGTCATCGACGACTTTCGAGCTTCCGGGAACGAAGGTGAGTTATCTCCGGGAAACGAAGTCTTCTTCCGATTAAACTGATTTATATGTCTTTGAGCCTGAAGATTGATTATACAACGCTCCAAATTGCGAATGTTTTAAACTGTTCGATTGAAATTTCGATTTTTTTTTTCCTAATTAAATTTGATTGAATTTTATTGCATTGTGTAGTTTACACGTTTGAGCATAATCTTTCAAATAGCGAGCGTGGCGTAATTCATCAGATGTGCCGGAAAATGGGTATTCAATCGAAAAGTTCCGGGTGAGTCACTGCCTTCATTGTGCTTTATAGTGTTTTCTGGTTTGAGAAAGTATACGACCTTGAGAGTCTTTTGGATATGATTATAGGCGTGGGGATCAAAGGCGGCTTTCGATATATAAAGGCAGGCACAAAAATGGAAAGAAAGATGAGAAATCAAATAGAGAGAAGCTTAAATGTGTGTCATTTCCGCCGGAGGCAGATGCTATTCTTCAGGAGTTGTTTACTCACTACCCGCCTTGTGACGGAGACACTGCCGCAACGTCATTCAACAAGTACTCTGGGAAATCCGGTAAACAAGGGCAGTGGAACGATGATTTTTTCCGGAAACCGAAAAGTAGCAGTGAAGAGATCCTTGAGAAAGTGGCATCTCTGAGTTCTAGGCTTAGGAAGGATAAAGCTCTTCAGGAGGTTAGAAAAGATAAAAGCTCTTCTGGTTGAGAAGTTATGATTCATGACAAGTAGGGGAAAGTGAAAATGAAGTTGTTTTTGTTGGTTTATGTTGCAGATCTCTAAGCTGCGGTCAAAGCTTCCCATCACATCTTTTAGAGAGGCAATTACATCTGCGGTGGAATCCAATCAGGTTCTGTGATTTTTTTTTATATATTATGCTTCCAGTGGTGATTTCAACTGCTAGAAAAAGAGTTCATTGCATATTCTTACTCTAAATGCAGGTTATTCTCATTTCTGGTGAAACTGGTTGCGGGAAAACTACTCAGGTGTGTGTTGCCCCTTGTTTTTTTCTTAGTTCGGTTCAATAGAATCATTTTTTTAACAAATATTAGTTATTCATCCCTTGGATCGATGGTCAGGCTGTCAACTTTCTTGTCCAGTTTATGCAACTTTAAATTTTAAAAGTATGTTGTGTTATAAGGTTTTGCTAAATGTGAGTCTGGAATGTGATATTGTCCATGGAAAAAGTTTTCCGTTTGAAATTTCCCTCAATCTTTTCATTCTCGAGGTTTCTTATGTGCTTTCCTTGTGAATGTTTTAGGTCCCTCAATATCTTTTAGACCATATGTGGTCAAACAAAAGAGAAACTTGTAAAATTGTTTGCACCCAACCTCGTCGTATCTCCGCTATGTCAGGTTGGTATTTTTCTTATTTAGCTACTTATTCTCGTTGATCTGTTAAAAATTTGGTCCAATGCTCATGTATGCTGTAATCTTCTAATCCCTTGCTTAATGTTTTTGGTTCCTATTTTGAAGTATCTGAAAGGATATCCTGTGAAAGAGGCGAAAGCATTGGAGAAAACATTGGTTACAAGGTCAGTAATCTTTGTAGGTTGACACTTGCGATTGTACATGAATGGTTGTTGTGTTTGAATATTATAGACAAGTGCACCATTGACTTTATGTTGCAACTCCAGGTTCGACTGCAAAGCAAAGGTGGAAGACACTCATCAGTTGTTTTCTGCACGAATGGCATCCTCCTTAGGGTGCTTGTTGGCAAAGGCTCTGCTAGCTATGTATCCGACATAACTCACATCATTGTGGTACTTGACATCTTGCTTAATCCGCTATCATGTGTTCATTAAGTTTGTGTTTCATATATATGATGTGCTTCGTCTGACAATTAAATTGCTTGAAGAAGTGGTAATAATGAAATTGTGAACGGTCACTGTAGCATACCTTCTTCATATTGTTTGTCATATCATATTCTGTGGTTGTCTACACTAATAGTGACCTGAATGTTTACTTTGTAGGATGAAATCCATGAAAGGGATTGCTACTCCGATTTCATGTTGGCAATTATAAGGTAGACTACCTAGCTTTCTCAAATATTGAGTCTCTCAACCTATCAACGTGTTTATCAAACTAATCATCTACGTGGCCTAAGAAACGGATGTTAAGGCTATTTTTAATTGTTAGCCACCACAATTTATATGCCATACTTGTGCACATGCATTTAACTTCTCTGAAGCTGCAAGCTATGATATTTGAGTGAATGGCAGAACTCAAGCTAATTTGCAATACTTTTTTTTTAATCTGTAGGGACTTGCTTCCGTCAAATCCCCATCTCC